TTAATGTTATTGAGACATCAAACAATAATTTTTTTTAAAACTTATTTGTTAGAAATTGTACTTATTTCTTTAAAAAAATTGATCCATTTTATTTAATTTTGAAGCTTGATCTTATTATTCAAATATTTATTTATTTTTAAACTGTTTTCTTTTTAAAGAAATGTTGAATGGTTATTTGAATAATATTAAGTTAAAGTTCAATCACGGTAAAAATGCTTCAACCCAAAATGCAGTCATCAAATAAGCTTAAATATGATAGTTTATTTAAACTCCAATAACTATTAAAACTATTCCGGGTTAGTTTGAATATTTTGGTTCAATAAACTTTCAATATATATGCTTATTTTTAAATTCACTAATTCTTTTATTAATAGCTTTTCATTTAGCTGTAAAATGCAGTATCAATTTCATTCATATTTTAGTAGTGTATAATTCATAATCTTGCTATTTTTTTTTAGTTGAAAATTTCTTTTACTTTATTCAATAAAACATTGAATCTAATGGCTTATCAGCTTTTGGAACAAATCATGATTTGTTACAACTTTCTACATCAACATCAAACTTTGTCTCTTGTCATGTTAAACAAAATCATCTTTACTTAACAAGAAGATATTTTACATAAAGTTTATACTTATATATTAATTAAAACAATTCGACTTCAATTTAATTTGTTCTTCTATACATCTAAATGGATAAGTTATGTTTAATTTGTTGAAGGTAAATTTGATTTGTTGCAATAATTGACCCTCAGTTCGACTCCAGACTGAAAAGTTTATTGTGAAAACAAAAAATTATAATAGAAGCAAGGGATAGCGTTGATACTAATGATAGATTTCTATTCCTTGAATAGAAACAAGAATAGTTTAACACAATTTAACATTATTTAACACAGTTTATTTTAGACTGTTATACATTATGTATATATACGATAGGCGAAATTGTTTCTAAACAAACATTTAAAAGTATCTATAGAACATACTTTACTTTTTTTTTCACATTTCAATCTAGTGATTAGTAAATTTTTTATTTTAAAAAAAAAGAAACGCTCAATGGCAAAACCTTCAAATTTTGACAATATTTTTCTACAAAAATGGAAGAAATAGTCAATACATACAATTGTTATTTTTCTTGAACAGAACTACTATAAAGTTTAAAAATAGAAAAATTGAAAAACATAACGAGTATTCATAACGTAACTCATAGTATTAGCTATAATCACGAGCTTTTATTTCCTCTTGTGAGCCCGGAACTTTATCAAATCATTTTCAAACTGAGAAATATTGTTACTGTATTAGGCAATTGAGCTCTTACATTACATTGTAAAAGTATGAGGAACTTTTCAAAATCTTATACTAATAAATGTATATTAATGAAGGCAGTATCAAAGGTTTTTTTTTTATTATTATTCTTCATTATTTAAAACAAAAATTCAACACTTCAGCTATTAAAGTTGTTAGATGTAAATAGCTTTGAAAATTGATTAAAAAAATTGAATCCTATTAAACAGCAAGATTGAAATCATTGGTCAAATTCACGGAATTACTAATTTTGTAAATTTTTTTTTAATAAAGGTTAAATGAAGATACAATTATTTTTCATTTTCATTTTCATTTTTTTTTTTTTTTTTTTTACTTTTTCAAAAATCAGCTAACATCTTTCTTATTGAAACTAGATTATTACTTCAATATTAATTTGACTAATAGATTTACAAATAGAAAGAATTCATTCAAATAACAAAAAAAACTTTTTAAAAAAATAATAATAAAAAAATCAAATGATATTTAATTTTTTCTCAAACATTTATTTGAAAAATATTTTTAGACAAACTGATATTAATTTATGGATTAATTAGTTTCAAGATAGCAATTAAATTTCTTTCAATCCATAAGTACGGTAAATAAATATTTATAAATTTTTAAAAAAAATTTAAAACAACCTCCTCAGGGCAATCTTTAACATCATGATGTTTGATCATCTACAGATTTTGTTGTAGCGGGACCTTGTTGTGAATTGAATACAATTGCGTATTTTCGGTCATGATGTGTATTTTAAAGAATATACTTGTGGTCATGATTATTCATGAAAGTGGCTTCTAATTATTACTAATTATAATTAGTAGCCGCTTTTTGAATGGACCCTAGGGGTATTATGCTTATGCAGCAGCACCCTAATATTTTTTCACTAAGCTCAAAAGATCTAGACACAGTTTGGAACAAAGTTGAACAAAAACAATTGTTTTAAATAAAAAAAAAAAGAAATAAAAAATAATTAACACAATACTCAACAAGTATAATTAATTTTTTTTCTTTATTCTATTAAAATTTGTTTTCTTAATACTAGTTTATTGTTCTATTTTCATCACCTAGATCTTGCTTTAAAGATTGGACCTCATGAGACATGACTAAATATCAAGGCGCAAGCATTTAATCCCAAATAAATGCAAATAAGCGAGTATTTTATTTTATACCGCATTAGAAGGATAAATTCTTGCTATTGCTAATGGGTATTTGGATTTGTATAATTTTTTTTTTATAAATGAAGATAAGAGACATTATAATAATAGCGTTTTTTTTTTTTTTTTTTTTTTTTGCCATCATGTCCTTATGACATATTAAAAAAATTAACAGCAAGAACAAAATAAAAATAAAAAGGAAAAATCAAATGGAACATGAACATTACCAGTAATATTACAAACAGCCTTCAAGGACTTCTATCGGTATCAAAAATTCTGGAAAAAAACGAATATGTTTTATGTTTGAATATTTTTTTTTAAGAAGTTGATACCAGCAACGATTTTAAATTTTCTAACTTTAAAAATTTTAATTGCTTTAGTGTAGCATAGCTCATCGAATCAGGTTATGCTTACCCTTTTTTGGAGATAGCGGGAAATAACTACTGAGAGACTTTTTTTTGAAATGTAATTTAAAAGAATATTTTATCTAAAAATCTTTTTGTTTAACAAGAAAAAAAAAAGATACAGTAATACAAGTCCTTTTTTAATTATTATTTTGAGCAAAACAAAAGAATTTTATTTTGGACAAGTGAGCTTAGCGCTCTGGAGATTTGCCATGTTATTAGCCGCACCATTTATGCCAAAGAAGCTCAGCTCAATTTCCCATAAATCTAAAGTGCCGTCCACAGCAATTCAAAATAAAAGCAACTAACTCTTCACAAAAAAAAAAAAAATATTTTTATTATTAACTAATCTTTACTGACGTACTGAATATTCACTGTAACTAAACATATTAGCATATCATTTTTCCCCTTTAGTCTTTTATCTTGTAGTCTTTTAAAAAAGAAAGATTAAACAAGACAAAAACAACTACATGTCTACCCAAAAAGTACCTTAGCTGCATGTCAGCATATTTTTGTTCAGAAGTTGGCCTCAAGTTGAGGCGTAATTAAAAATTGCACTTAAGTAAAAAAAAATGAAATAATTATTTTTTTAGGTCGTTGAAACTAATCAAAACGCCCAAAAAAAAGAGGTAAATAAATAAAAACTGAATTATAAAATGCTAATGTAGCTTTTTTTTTTGTGGTTGTAGTGTATTTTAGATCCTTCTGCAAAATATTAAGGGCTTAGTGGTTCAAGTTACGAATGGGTTTACGCATAAATTTTTTCATGACTCAAAAATTCTTTTGATAGGGTTATATATATATATATATTGGTTAGTTACCGGAAAAACAAGTGATGTTGAGCATTATTTTTGTTTTGGATATCGACAATTATAATAAATGATTGCATTGTTTATTCACCATTTTCAGCACACGTAATAATATTCTATTTTTTAAACAGCTCATTGGTTTATGATACTTATTGTAATCATAATAATAATAAAGTATGCTAATGTGCTTGTACGTAATTACGTGCAACCTCCCTTATATCCATAGGCTACATTGTCTCCACAGTATTTAATCTAAAAAGGGTTCATGGTTGAAGCTGACAATGACCATGATACTACTTAAACGCACTAAATTTCCTATTGTCATTTTAAATAAAAGTAACATTGAAATTTCTTTGTATTAACGGCTTTTGAAGACATTATAATTAAGTGGTTCATATTTAGTAAAAATTATTAAAATTATTAAAATTATTTTAAAAGTTATTAAAAAGACGGCAGCGTGACCTTTGTTCATATTTTAATGTTATTATTTTACGTTTGTTACAATTGTTTCCCCCCATCATTATTGATCACAGTGTAAATATATGGAGACATACAGCTCAAATGTCGTCTAAAGAATGAGCGATACAACCTAACCGACACAGAGCATAACTCTAAGAAATATTATCGGCACATATTGCACCACAGAAAAGCCGATTTTTCCCACCTACAAATCAAACTTGAAAACTTAGTTCATGAGCAACCTTAGGTTTGTATTATGACCCAAGAACACACAGAGACAACCCATCGAAGACTTAGCTCTTAACGAACAGTATAGCAAACGATGCTAATAAAAGAATTAAAGACAAAATAAATTGAACAAAATCATTATGGTTAGCCAACTCAGAATTGGTCCGACTTTATCCTCAAGGTGCAGCATTCTCATAAAATAGCTGCATGAACACGCTATAGCAACAACAGGAGCAAGCAGTAATCCTCCATCAACCCTGGTACTAAAGAACTTATTCAACTAAACAAAGTAGAAGTTAAAAACGACAAACTAAAGTTTCAGAAAGCCATGGAAAGTCTCGAAAACTTTTTACCAAGCATCATAAAACTGGAAATGGGACATCTTTATGTTTGCCAAATACATGTTTGATACCTACGATATGGAACTGAAGCAGAAACTCCTCAACATGTCATCGGATTATGTAATTTTAAAAAAAACTACATTAACCACGTGATATATTACATGAACTATTGTAATACTTTTTGAACTTCAATGCTGTCACAATTGCCACCACCGACAAAACCGCCACTCTTGGCTTCCCTGTAACAATAATAATAATAAAAATACTCACCCTCATAACACCACACCAACCAATATTAGAGTAAGAGATGCCCCCCAAAGACTCCAACAAGAAGAAGTTTGCTACGTTTGCTGATCTCAATGCCTCAGGCAGCGGATCTGGCTCTGGGAATTCGCGTGACCGCCCAGGTTCCGGATCAGCATCGCCTTTTGGCAGTAGAGACGAGCGCGATCCAAATGATTTATATACGGGCGGTGAAAAATCAGGGCTGGCCGTCATAAACCCCAACAACAATAATAATAATAACGGTGCAGGATCATCTGGTGCCAGCTCACGCAGCAGTGATACTTCCTCTATCGGTGCTCATTTGGTTAATGAAATTATGCGCCACGCACGCGAAAACCGGCCACGCATACAAGCCGAAGATAGTGATGAAGAAGAGTATGATGAAGATGACGAGGAATCTACCGAGGCTCGTAAGAGACGTGCATTTCAAGGACGAGGTCACCAGCTAAATGAAAGCAGCGATTCGGCTCAAGGTGATGGGGATGAATCGGAAGATACTGAAGATGTGTTTGCACGACAGATGGAAGAATATGAGCGCGCCCGCAACACCCGTGTTACGCGTCATTTGACATTTTGGCGTAATGGATTCACAGTGGAGGACTCGCCATTGTATCGTTATGACGACCCGGCAAACATACCCCATTTGCGTGCATTGGACCAAGGCATGGCTCCTCTGGCACTTTTGAATGTGCTCCCCGGCCAGGCTGTGGATCTTAATGTCATACAGAAGAAAGATGAGGATTATGTTGAACCCAAGCGCAAGCCTGGTGGTTACCATGGCGCTGGAAGACGTCTGGGTTCACCTGTGCCCGGCGAGGCTCACATTATTGCTGGTTCTTCGTCTACTAAGGACGAAGAAGGAGAATCAGCGTCCAAGTCCTCGGAAGCTGCGGCTCCTGCAGCCCCTGTTTCCAATGAAGGAGAGGGCGATGCCGTTGTGCAAATTCGTCTTGCTGATGGATCGCGTCACAAGCACCGGTTCCAATCTGCCGGTCCGGTAGAGCAACTTTATACTTTTGTGGACCAAATATTAACGGAGTCTGGCGGTAATTCTGCAGGCCGAACCTGGGTACTTCAGACGACTTTTCCGAATCGTGAACTGACAGATCGGTCACAAGATCTCAAAGCTGCTGGTGTTGTCGGTGCTGTTGTTGTTCAAAAATTGACTTGATGATAAAAATCTAAAGAGCTGATATGGAAACAACAGGTTCTAAAGCCAAAAAAAAAAAAATAAGGAGAAAGGTGATTATCATTATCATCATTAATAATTAATCATATATACATACTTAAATGGGTTTAAACGTATTATACTAAACTTTTTGCTTACCGGGACCAGGTCGGGTCGGGCCGGTGTGAGCCCAATAAGATCAATTGTGCCTCTTTCCCGTCGTATTTCCAAAACCCGCAGCAAGTGATGGGCGGCGGCGGCGGGAATTCACAATTCACACAAAAAAAAAAAAGGTTTTCTTGCCACTACCACCACCAACCAAATTTTTTTTTCTCTTTTTTTTTTTTTTTTTTTCACATTTCTCTTAATTTACTATATACTAGACGACTTCTCAGCCCCCCCGGGACCCGACGACCGACACCAAATACCCTCCCCCAAACATCCAGTTAATCAATAGTAATGACTGTTCATACACTGTCTGCCACGCCGGGCACTGCACCCGGGCATGCTGGTCCGCCGCCACCTTCTTCAGGGCCGCCGACATCGGCTGCGGCTCCCCCCACGCACCTTGAGATGGTTTCCGCACCCGGTGCCGGATCGTCTTCAGTGCCTACGGGTGCCACCGCAGGTGATTCGGGTTCAAACAGCAGCAGCAGCAGCGGCAGCAGCGGCGGCAGCAATAATAATAGTAGCAGCAGTAACAATAGTAATAATAATGGCCCTGAAGGCCTTGCGCAGGCGCTGGAGCATGCGGTTCAACACACGTTCGAGGAAGAAGAGGAGTACGAATACGAAGCTCTTCCTGAAAACACGTCGCTTGCGGCCAATCTTATTGCTGGTGCAGCCGCCGGTATTATGGTAAGTAAGAATTTAACAGAGAAATCTAATGATAGTCGTTTTTTTTTCTTTGAATGATTTTATTGGAATCTAACGGTTTGATTATAGGAACACACAGTCATGTACCCTGTGGATGCCATCAAAGTAAGTATATCATCCATTATTCCCGCGCAATTTACAGATTCCCATTGAGCTACTTATATTTCTCTTTGATTACTGCTCTCTAATTTATTCCAACAAATCCATAAGGACACAAGATCAATTGCAATGATGAGCTATTTGGCACATTTCAATTCTCGTTTAGATCGGGAAATCTCAGGTCCTCTTTCTTTTTTTTTTCTCACTTATGGATTATTATTATTTTAATTATTATTATTCTTGAAATTGCTACACCTCTCATTTGAAACCTCACGCGCGCTAACCTAAACTTTTTTTTTAATCAAGACGCGAATGCAAGTGGCCTCCACAAAGGAGATCTATTCGGGTATTGTGTCGGCCGTGTCCCGCATCTCAGCCACCGAGGGTGCGTTCTCGCTCTGGCGCGGCATGACATCCGTCATCATGGGGGCTGGTCCCGCACACGCCGTGTACTTTGCCGTCTTTGAATCCGTCAAGAGCTCACTGGGAGGCGACAGTGCCTCTGGAAATAACCCACTTGTATCTGCCGCTGCCGGTGCTTCGGCCACTATCTCATCTGATGCTCTTATGAACCCATTCGACGTGGTTAAGCAGCGCATGCAAATCAATTCTGCAAAGTATCCTTCAGTCATCTCCTGCATCCGTCAAACATATAATGCTGAAGGTCTTAAGGCCTTTTACGTCTCATACCCTACAACTCTTGTCATGAACATACCATTTGCTGCATGCAATTTCTCCGTTTACGACACGGTTTCACATATGCTCAATCCTGAGCGCCGTTATGACCCCTTGGGCCACTGCGTGGCTGGTGGCATTGCCGGTGCCGCAGCTGCTGCTATCACCACTCCTCTCGACGTTGTTAAAACTCTTCTCCAGACCAAAGGTCTGCACGCTTCTTCTGAGTCAGCTAGTAAAATCAACTCTTTCTTTGACGGCGTACGTTACATTTACCAAAACCATGGTGCTAAGGGCTTTTTGCGCGGCCTTAAGCCTCGCATTGTCGCAAACATGCCTTCCACCGCCATCTGTTGGACTTCTTACGAGATGGCTAAGTTTTATCTCTACAAGACTGATATGATTAAAGGATCATCATCATCGTCTTCTGCTTTCTAATGACTTGTTACGACTGCTTAAGAAATAAAGATGAAAATAAAAGGAAGAATTAAAAGAATTATAAAAAAAACACAAAAAAAACCTCTACTTATAAATTTCCGACAAAAAACCGAAAAAAAACAACTATCGAAATAATTTTTTTTTTTTTTTGGCTAAGTGTCTTTGTGGAATGGATCTTATTATACGAAGAATAAGAGACTGGAAACTTTGTCCGAACTTCCCCACAAAAATTACACCATCACATCTTTTTTTCACCAAATACTTAACTTTTGCTAATATATAATAATAATATAATACTAATAAATGTAAATAGTAAAGAAACAAGAATAATAAAAAAAAACTTTTATATATGTACATTTCTTCCTTTCAAACCGCCATGGCAGTCACGGATTTGCGCCATGCGCATACACGTGCCCAGGAACACCGGCCACACTTGGCATCTGCTTCACCAGGTCCTGCTCCCAATGGTGATCTTTCTCCGCGCCAATAGGCTGCAGCAAACTTGAGCATTTGTTCCGTTCGTGCTGGGTCTGTGCGATATGCCACTGTTGCAATCTCCTGAGGCAGTGATGATGACGATGTTGCTTGCCGTAAATATTGGACCTGCACGCGATCAGAAATCCCTTTATTTGAAATTGCGGCTGTGAGCGCCGAGCGAACCCATTTTTCCACATCGCGCAACGTTATATCAGGAATATCAAATGGAGCATGCTCCGAAATCGCCGCATGTTCCAAAACCTCTGTAATCTCCGAAAGTCCACCAGATGTATTGGAACTTGAAAACAGTGAAACCGTACCCCAGGGAAGAGGCATGTCAGGGTTGGCACCAATTGCGCGGTACAATCCATCAAAATTGTAATCTGGTTGCACTAGCTGCGTCAACAGTCTATGGTAAATGAGAACCTGATGGTACGCGTTGCGTTGTAACGACCAGGAAGGTAGTGTCGGTCCCATGCGAGTTTTTGTGTCAGTTATTACTATCCCCTTCTCAGTCACCTGCAAATCATCGATAATCCCAGTAATTTCAATGCCCTTGTATTCACCAAACACATAAAGCTCCCGCGTCCGTCCGGTTCGAGCCAATGCACGCGCCTTCATGGCCATCCGCAGTAGCTTTATTGCCAATATTTCTTCTATCATTGTGGAAACTTCTTGAATGATAGGGATTACTGTATTCGATTCAGAGTCTGCGTTCTCTTCTAACAATTGATGTACGTTTGAACCACGATCACGGGCCTCAATTAAGCGCCGGTTGATTTTAAGATTTTGAACATAAAATTGAAATTTTGAAAGCAGATTTTTCCCTATGGCAAAAACATCATTTTCCTCAGTCAAAACAGGAATAGGTTCTTCCATGTTTGCAACGGCATATCCAACCAAACTTCTCAACATCTTTTCAACGTCTCGAGGGCTGTCACCATGCCCCTTTATTTGAAATATGGTATCATACATAGTTTGTAACTCGCAATACTGTGTCACCATATTAGTTACTGAAATTCGCGATGGAGAAAAAACTTGTTGTAGGGTTGCTTTCCGGGCATACGAGACTAGTTCGTTTGTTGGGCTGCTATGGTCAAGTTTACTTTCACAAAGCCATAACAACCTCGCGGAAAACTCAGGCCATGTCAGGGGTAATTCTGGATCCGATGGATTTTTGAAAAAGTTTGGATCAAAAACTCTGGAATCCACAGCGTTTGGGAATTCAGTTTTATCATTATTAGTAACCTCAGGTTGCATTGTTGGGAATGATTGCAAAGGCACATAAACTCGTCGAGGCGGTCTAGGCGGTCGAGGTCGTTCTTCCAGAGGTATTAATTGCGCCAATGATTGACCATGTTCATCTACTGGAATATCTTGATTTGATTCTGTTATCTCTGAGGCAGCTGGCTGTACACCCACAAAGGCTTGAGGCATTTGACCCTGGGGGTGAGGGTATTTTGGAATCTGCAGATTTAGTATACGATGATTTGCATCGACAAAGGTAGATCTCAGAGAACTATAATTTTTACACTGGCGATGTATGCGCATTTCTAATAAGTTGGAGGAAGCAGTGCCTTTGATCCTGAAAACTTTTGAGCAACAAGACTGAAGACAACGCAGGAACCGATGAAACCAAGGAGATTGAAGAAAGCAATTCGTGAGTACTGACGTTCTTCTTCTTCAGTGCGGAATGAGGAAAAGATGCGGCGAATATTTGGAAATGGCATGAAGAAGTTTTTATTCTTTTTTTTTTTTTTTTGAGGTACGAAATAATGGATTGTTAAAATGTGAGTTTTGAGTGGCGGTGGTAGTGATAGTTTGTTGTTCTCGAAAAAGACCAAAATAAGGAGAAAGAAACTGGTTAACAAAAATGTAACAAAAGTGTAACAATATCTGATGTTAATCAAAACCTTTGATTCAAAGCAAACAAACAGTCTTAATTTGTATATGCTTTCAGCCTTTGGAACCAGATTCAACGGTGACTAGTTAAGAACTACCAAATTAAAGATCTAAAAAGATAAGAATTAATTTCTGAACGTTTTTAAAATGTTTTAGAACTTTCTATTTTGGATTTAAACGATATTTGCGAATGCTTAATTGCTAAATTAGTGTCTGCTAATCGCTAAAAATTGCATTTTTTTCGGAATTGATACCAATAACAAGGATATCTTGAACTTTTTCAAAATAACTTTTCATCTTTTAAGGTACCTTATTTATAAAGGAATATTAATGCTGAATCCAAAAGTTGAGATTTTTATTTAAACTAAGGCACGGGTGCAAATACACTTTAATTGAGATACCATTTGAATAACTATTTGAGCTACAACTACCCTATAGATTACTAGGCAATTAAAAAAAAATTCAAACTAATTTTTACACAGGTCTCCATAGATTTATTAAATTCATAAAATCTAAAGAAAAAAACTAGCCTCGTTTAAGTAGTTTAGATCTAAACTAGATGAGAACCGTTTAAAACCGTTAGTAACAACATGGAGATGAACTAGGCTTAACTTTTTTCAAAGAAAAAATAGAGGTGACCAGTCAAAAAATAATTCAAAAAAAAAAAAGCTCTGCTTTGGTAGTTTAAAAGTCTGCTAACCATATTGACTGTTAGAGAGTGAAAAAAGTATATGTTATAACTTTCTACATAAGTTTGGATATCAAAGGAGAGTTTTGTTAATTAACTTATAAGTTTCGTCATTAACATAAAACTAAATCGATTGAAGGAGATACCAGACTAGTAATGATTAAAGTGGGAAAAGGAGAGAGTCATTAATTCAAAAGACAAATTTGTCAAGTTTACATTTACAAAAGAAGAATATACATTCCCAAAGAAACGAATAAGCATATATGCATATGAACAATTAAAAAAATAACGAAAACAAAAAAAAAAATATATCTATTTGGGGATTACTATTAATACCATTCAAGAAATTATTCAAGATAAAATTTGCGCAGAGTTACCAATATATTGGCGCGAAACGCAAAGATTTTTTTGAGAAGATCATCTCGAATAGATGCCTTGACGACATAGAGATGCCAGCATCTCATGGCATACATACAACTTTTATGTAAATGTCTTGAAAGAGAGATGTATTTCTATTAACTTGTTAATCATAAGTTTCAATATGAAAAGAAATACTTAAAAAGAAGGAACTTAAGCCTATAGTTGAAAAATATACGGCCTATTTATACCCGTAATTTGACAAACTTTTCTACTTATTTTAATTTCCATGCATTTGGGTCATAGATGTTCATACATTAGAAAAGAATAGGGAATTAAAAAAATTGTTTTCATAATATATGTTAAAGGAATACGTATTTGACCATCATATATATATTAATATACTTGTAAAGGTACAGTAGATTATAAGAAACTGTAAGTCTTTCCATTGTCATCAGTTTTATGACGAAATAGTTGAAATTTTGAGCTTTTTTTAAAAGATTTTAAAAAATCAATCTCTCGTTTATTATTACATGAAAAAAGTTTATTTTCAATTCTTTTCTTTTTAAAATTCATGAATGGTAAAACTATCTGGGATCTGGATTTTTTTGAAAAAAAAAAGATGGATGGTTGACAAAACTATAGTAATAGTATCCGACCATGTGTTATTTATTAATGACTTAAAAATATTTTCGAATTTAGATCCACGATCTAGGAACTCAAAAAAAGGTACGGAGCTTTTTTTTTTTCTTTTTTTTTCTTGAAGAAGCAAATTTGGAAATCTTAGAAAAGAAGGTGTCCAAAAGTCTGGAAATTTTGTCAATGTGATAAAATTTGTTCCCAAATGGGTGGTATATTTGGAAAATGAAACAAAATAAAAATGACAAAATAAAATAAAATATTTAAGTTAAAGTTTTGGCTCATTTGCACATTGTTTAACTCACGTGTGCACGGTTATTTTGATGCGTAGTTCTGAGCGGCTTTGCCACGAGGAGCAACAAAAGGGCATTTGCAACTTTAAAGTTCATTTTCGAATTCACTTGAATGTTCGAGATGCCGGTTTAGTTTAGTTTTGTTTAGTTTTGTTTTGTTCTGTTTTTTTTCTTACTTTTTAATGGTGCTATTGAGCACTATTTGATATTTGAATCATTATTAAATTATTGATTTTAACGAAAATACCCGCTAATGGCAATGGATTATAGAGATAGAAACAAAATTGATACGGCCTAAGCAATCGATATGTTCTACAATTATTTGATCAGCTCTTTAAAAAATTCTTCATTTCTTGGGACTAAATGCTTTTGTGATAGGTACCGGAGGGTGCCATTCGGTAATACCCACCCAATGTCCAAAAATGAGAATTTCTATTTCTTAGTATATTAGTGTGTCCATCTATCCCACTGCTAAGTTCATATTAAGATTAATTTTGATAAATACTGGATTTCAGCAAAAAAAGATACTCGGATTTTGTTAAAATTTAAAACTTAGTTAACCTATTCAAAGCTGGTATTCTAGGATCCTTTTAAAATAGGGTATCCAACTGTGTGGAATATTTAATTTTTTTAAAATTTTTGTGATAATTCGGTTGCAACAAAGCTCATTCAGTTACTAAATAACAAATATTTGAAAAAGGAAGAATGCTTCTTTCTCGGTTAATCGATATAGCTACTCAGTTCTAATCTATATACTTAGCCACATGTATATTGGTTTCAAAAACAAAAGAAAATAAGACTGGAGTAAAAACAAGAAAATACCTAACTTCGATTCCAATTATTCTTATTGCCTATATAGGTAATTATAATATATATTATACCCCTATATCTCGATTCAACAGTTGATAGCTATATTTAAAGTGGTGTGCATTGTGGTGGCCAAAACTATCTTTATCATAATCTATTTTGCCTCTCTGTTTATTGGACCAATTCGAGGTGACGATGTTTCAATGATATTTTCTGCATATTCACTAGGAATCTTTCAGATTCTCATTTAAACTATACCTTTTTTTTATTTTAACAGATTTATCAGTAACATAAACAAATTTTTGAATGGGGGGAAATGGATATATAAAAGATGATATTAATGATACCAGGTTTATTCTACATATTATGATAGATTGTGAATCACGATGCATAACAATGGTCTTATTACATGATGGCAACAAAACCAAAAATAAACAACAAATTCAAGAGTTTGAGAACCCTATTTTAAATATCGTGATTTCTTTGACTAGCTTAGTATTGATAATGCTAAGGATATAGAGTGTACGGAAGTGTTAGATTCATTTGAAAACTGAAAACAAAATTATGAAATATCAAAATTTTTATAAAAAGAAACAAAATCTATTAAAAAACCAACAAAAACAACTAAACTTTTAGAGATAACAAAAAAAAACAAAATATGAAAGCTATATATAACTTATCGGCCAAAATACTTGAGCTCAAAGGGTCTCAAGATGTTGAATGCAACAAATGCAAAGCCAAAGGCAAGCTCAAAGCCAATGTCACCACCAAACTTGCCAATGGGCTTAGCAAGAGGTCCGGTCCACCAAACTTGAGCCATACCCAAGCAAGTACCGGCGGCACCGCAAGCAAAGGCAATACCAGCAGCAATACCAGGAGGAAGTTTCTTGGCGTCGTCAAAGTCATCAGGGTTGTAGCCCTTGAATCCCTTTCTGTAGATGAAATGCTCAGAGATTGAGATAGCGGTGTAGATGGCCAACCAGTATCCAATAAGATTCATAAAGTTATGCATAACACTGTCAAAGACGTAGTAGGCAGGAATGGCAATGGCAATAGAAACACCAGTACCGGCAAGAGTCCAAATAGCACGAGGCACCTTTCTAAGACCCTCCCAGAATGTTTGGGCTGTAAGACCAAGTGAATAGAGGTTTGGAGTGTTATTAGAAACGGTAGAAAGTGCAAGAAGAACGACGCAGAACTGGCCAAAGCCGTGAAGAGAATCATCAACCAGAACCATGAAGAAAAGACCACCAATACTGTTGGTATCATAAGCTTCGGCCCAGGCGGGGTTCTTTACAGTACCCATAGCCATGGCAGCACCAAGGATCATAGCAATCATAAGAGGGAAGTTGAGACCACCATAAACAGAAAGGAAGATTTTGATACGAGAGGTATTCTTGGGTTTGTAGGCTGTGTAATCAGAAGCAAGAGAAGTCCAACCAGTTGCAAAACCATAGACAGTGGCGCCGAAAGACAAAACATTGCCGGCAGTGGTTTCGCCACCAACCATGGTTCCGTAAGTGAATTGCTTAGACTTGCCCATGCGAATGGCCATGATGAGGAAAATAATAACATTGGGGATCCAAGACCATTTCTCAAATTGGTGAACAACGTGATAACCGAAAAATGTAATGACAAAGGTAATGAGAGAAATAATCAAAACACCAGCCCAAGGAGGAAGAGAACCATCATTGACAGTATGAAGAAGTTGAGCAGATACCATTGTGTTAACAGCAGTCCAACCAACACAAGCAACAAGGTTAATGAAAGCGGGGATCTTGACAGTGTAAGCACCAAACCAAAAGCGAGAAAGAACCATTTGACGGAGACCAAAGTGAGGGCCAAAAGTGGAGAAAAAGGCAACAGAAAGGGTACCAAGAAGGTTAAAGAAGACAATGGTCAAGAAAGCAGACCAGAAATCCAAACCAAAGACGGTGATACCAAGACATCCAAGGGAAACAGTTGCAACAACCATGTTACAGCCAAAGAACATACTGGCGGTGTTCCACATGGACACATCTGTTTGTTCTTCTTCAGGGATACGTTCAATGCCTCTAACTTCGGCGTTCATGGAGTTCATGAACTTATTGAACTTGCCCACAAAGGTCTTGGGAGCTTCCTCGACCGATCCAGAGGATTGGTCAATGTAAGAAGTCTCCGAAGCTTCTTTGGAAATTTCGTAGATTGAGTTCTTTTCAAGATCAAGAGCCATTGTAATTTTCTATTTTTTTTTTATTTTTTGCTTTACTTTACTAGACCTGTCGAATGTATATTGATTGATTAATAGAATATAAAGTAGAGAATGATTGAATGTTTGAATGTTTGAATGATTGAATAATGATGATGATGATGAATTGAGAAGAATAAAAAAAAAGTTCTGAAATCATTGTGGAAACAACCTAGTTATATATCCTTGTTTTCTTTAACATTAGAGTGCCTGTTGGCTCAAGGGTTGATGGTTCTGCGGGGTTAGCGAGGGTTTACCGGTATGGGTTTTGATTTTGTTTGGTTTTGTAAAAGAAAATTTGAGTATTTACAGCACAGTGTCTCACGGACACTCCGGCGGAATATCCATTTGCAGCTGCAACGAGCAGAACAACCCCGGTGGCTGCTCCGTTTTTTTTTTTTAGTTCGCCATTTCCTAGTTTGGTGTTAGTAGTGGTATAATGTAGTGTGTATACACGAACAAGGAGGCCAGTCTGTTCTTGTAAGTAATTGTGCGTGGAAGTGTAAAGTGTAAAGTGTATGTGTGCAGCCACACACAGCAGCAATTCTTGGCTCTCCTAATGGTAATATTTTAATGAATTCTCTTTTCAACACCTGCATGAGTGAATACTGTACCGATCTTCTTCAAGAACTTTTTAAGAAGACGGATGACCCGGTGGACGCAACAGTATTACTAGCAGCCACTTTAGCACCAAGACTTGTTTCCTTATTTGAACTTTTTGAAAAGAAAAGAAAAGAAAAAAAAAAAAAAACCAATCGGTTACAGATTCATTTCAATCTTTCTTTGGCCCCTCTTTTTATTCATTTTCGCCACCACCCCCCTTTTGTTTTTTTGTTTTTTTGACCGGCTCAGGATTGCCTGGCATTTAAAAAGCAAACAGTTAAATTCGATGTCTTGCGTTTAAAATGGGAAAAGGTTGCTAATTGACTAAAATACTTCTTTGAAGGTATTAAAGTATACTAGTAGTATATATGTTTATATCTGTATATCTGTATATCTGTATATCTGAATATCTGAATATCTGTATATCTGTATATCTGTATATCTGTATATCTGTATATCTGTCATGGGTCACATTGTTATCATGATAACTTTAACTTGTCGTTTAATTACCTTAATCTTAGAATCTCACGAATTAAACTTTCAAAATACTCCTTTATTCTTGAAAAAAAAAAAAGGAAAATAAAACTGAAATAAAAACTAAATTCCTGACGAATAGAATTACAAGTATTATCAATTTCTATTTGGAATTAAGGAATCAAAGTATCAATAGGTTGATTAAGGTTTTGTATGATAATAATGTAGTATATGTTTTTATTTATTTATCACAACAAAATTCCCTATGCACTGAACGCCTTTGTTTTTGATAAATAAAAAAAATCGAATTAGTCATTTATGACAAAGAAAATACGAGGTCAAAATTACTACATGCTTACTGGTGAGAAATTATTTGCTGCCTTTAACAATTATATAAATAAAATAGCAACAACCAAAAGAGTTCCCCCTAAAAAAAATAAACAGAAAACAATTATTCAAATGGCCCATGATTTTGTTGACAAATTTTAATATGATAATAATACTGTTTTCCTTTGATTAAAAAAAAAAAAAATTTAAATCAATATAAATTAAAAAAATAATAATAATATTAATAATAATAATAACTAGTTTTGAGTATTTTATCCGAAATAATAAAAAAACAAACCCCTTTTGACGATAATAATCGGAAAGGTGTGTATAGATTATCACTGTGTTGAGATGCATTAATGTAGAACTAAAATAAATTTTTTTTTTTATTTTTTTTTATTTTTTGTAAATTTGTTATAATGTTTTAAAGATAGAGAATTATTAATTCTTTTTGTAAAAAAAAAATTTAAATGTTTAGTAATAGATAATATTTGGACCAATAAAATATTCAGTTTACTTTTAGTTTATCTTTGAGTAAAAGTTATAGAATCTAATTGACATTTAAAGAATTGGTCAACATGTAAATGATTTGAAGAATCATAGATTTTTAATAAATAAAACAATCAATTCAATATAGAACTATAGAATAATACAAAACTTTTAAGGGAAAAACAACAATGCAACTTTTAAAGAGAAAAAAACAAAAACAAATCTTTGTGATGACCATTTATCGGCCAAAGTACTTGAGCTCAAAGGGTCTCAAGATGTTGAATGCAACAAATGCAAAGCCAAAGGCAAGCTCAAAGCCAATATCACCACCAAACTTGCCAATGGGCTTAGCAAGAGGTCCGGTCCACCAAACTTGAGCCATACCCAAGCAAGTACCGGCGGCACCGCAAGCAAAGGCAATACCAGCAGCAATACCAGGAGGAAGTTTCTTGGCGTCTTCAAAGTCATCAGGGTTGTAGCCCTTGAATCCCTTTCTGTAGATGAAGTGTTCTGAGATGGCAATGGCAGTGTAGATCGCCAACCAGTATCCAATAAGATTCATAAAGTTATGCATAACACTGTCAAAGACGTAGTAGGCAGGAATGGCAATGGCAATAGAAACACCAGTACCGGCAAGAGTCCAAATAGCACGGGGGACCTTTCTGAGAGATTCCCAGAAAGTTTGAGCAGTGAGACCAAGTGAATAAAGGTTGGGTGTGTTATTGGAGACGGTAGAAAGTGCAAGAAGGACAACACAGAACTGGCCAAAGCCGTGAAGAGAATCATCAACCAGAACCATGAAGAAAAGACCACCAATACTGTTGGTATCATAAGCTTCGGCCCAGGCGGGGTTCTTAACAGTACCCATAGCCATGGCAGCACCAAGGATCATAGCAATCATAAGAGGGAAGTTGAGACCACCATAAACAGAAAGGAAAATCTTAACTCTTGAAGTACCCTTGGGCTTGTAGGCTGTGTAATCAGAAGCAAGAGAAGTCCAACCAGTTGCAAAGCCATAGACGGTAGCACCAAAGGAAAGAACATTACCAGCAGTAGTCTCACCACCAACCATGGTTCCATAAGTGAATTGCTTAGACTTGCCCATGCGAATGGCCATGATGAGGAAAATAATAACATTGGGGATCCAAGACCATTTCTCAAATTGGTGAACAACGTGATAACCGAAAAATGTAATGACAAAGGTAATGAGAGAAATAATCAAAACACCGGCCCAAGGAGGAAGAGAACCATCATTGACAGTATGAAGAAGTTGAGCAGATACCATTGTGTTAACAGCGGTCCAACCAACACAAGCAACAAGGTTAATGAAAGCGGGGATCTTGACAGTGTAAGCACCAAACCAGAAACGAGAAAGAACCATTTGACGGAGACCAAAGTGAGGGCCAAAAGTGGAAAAAAAGGCAACAGAAAGGGTACCAAGAAGGTTAAAGAAGACAATGGTCAAGAAAGCAGACCAGAAATCCAAACCAAAGACGGTGATACCAAGACATCCAAGGGAAACAGTTGCAACAACCATGTTACAGCCAAAGAACATACTGGCGGTGTTCCACATGGACACATCTGTTTGTTCTTCTTCAGGGATACGTTCAATGCCTCTAACTTCGGCATTCATGGAGTTCATGAACTTATTGAACTTGCCCACAAAGGTCTTAGGAGTTTCTTCGACAGATCCAGAGGATTGGTCAATTGAAGACTCTTCTGAAATTTCTTTGGAAACCTCGTAGAGGGTATTCTTTTCAAGATCCATAGACATTTTGTTTTTCTTTTTTTCTTTTTTTCTTTATTTTTATTCTTTAGATTGAATTGATGATTGAGAAAGATAAATAGAATTGAATTGATGATGAATTGAATTAAGAAAAAAAAATTTGAGAATGAATAGAAATTTGGTCTCTATTTATTTTCAAAGAAAACTCAATTCACCTTGACATCTTGTTCTGGGGTATTTTTCGGTCAACCCGTCGGAATGGTGGAGTTAACGTATATTTTTTATTTTTTTATTTCTTTTTTTTTTTTTTTTCACTTTGGTTTAATTTCGGTATTGTGTATGCATGCGTTGCTGCACAAACTAGATTTTTTTTTTTTTATTTTAGCATCCACACATATTGGAGGGCTACAATTTTATTTTTTTTTTTTTTTCCGCTTCGTGTAGTTATACTAAACTAAGTCTAAAGTGATATTTTTTTTTTTTTGGTCGGAAGTCCCGCGGGGAACCCTCCAACTACTCACATTTTTATTGGCTGGAAGCATTTGTGAGAAATGAAAAAAAAAAAAAAAAAAAAAACCCCTCCCAGTGTGTTTTATGAAATTTTGGCACAAACTACTTTTGGAATCGTCAACCGTTATTTTCAACTGGCTCTTGGAAGACCCCATCTGAACGGCTGCTCTATGGGAAAGCTGTTTTATTTTTTTTTAAAAAAAAATAAAAGGAATATTATTTTGATCTAGAAACTTTTCACTGGAAATAAGTTCGTTTTGTTAAAAAAAAAAAAATTAAAATACAAATGGACTTTTTATGACAGCCGTTTTGCTATTTCTTAAACTCGTTCTAGTTACCTATTTCTTTCCACTCATTATTTCATATTATATATTTCTATTTTATGTTTTACAAATTGCTCACCAAATATTCTTTTTTTTTTCTTTTCTTCTTTGGAGTCAATTAATTCTAAAAATCAAAACTCAATTCTATATAGTTCCTATTGTTTTCTGTTATCGATAACGATAATGATAATGATGATAAGGTAACCCCCTTTCAATGTTGTTCTTCCTTCCCTCTACTTGAGTCAAAACGACTACCATAAATTGCTACGGCATTTCGGATGTTCCGCGGCTTGGTCCGTAGAGAAAAAAGAAGAAGGTGACAGTTGAGGTCGGACATAAAACTCCTAAATAGGTATCATAACAAAAAAAAAAATAACCAAAATAAACTTTTTTTTTTTTTTTAATTTTACGGAGAACCCCCATTCACTATAAAGATGTGGGGAAGTTTTACTGTGAGGACTGGTAAAGAGAGGGAAAAAAAAAAAAAAAAAAATAAATTCCAACATTTGAACTGCAAGGCTGGATATCCCAGAACTAAACACGATATCCAACCAGATTATTGGGATTTTCAATTAAAAGTTTGAATAGAAACTTTTATTTTTATTTTTATATTTTTTTTGCTTTTAAACTCTTTTTTAAAGTAGAACTTAGGTTTTAAATAATATCTGGAGAGGGAAAACCGGATCTTAAAATATTCCAGGGTTCGTGGCATTTACAGTGATATATTGTCAAAGTGCATTTTTAACCGATTCAAAATATCTTTCTCTATAATTTTATTCAAAAATTTATAGTATATGGTATATTAAATCACAGTATACAATTTGAAATATCGAATTTCTAATGATGAGTTTTTCAACAAGTTGAAAAAAGCCCTAAACCTCTTTTTTTTTTTTTTTAAATCACCAATAGTCAATTGACTGTAATAATCAAATTTTTATGTTTCAAAAAAACAAGCAAAAGGACTCCTTTATTGATGGACTTTTTGACAAGCTAGAAAAGTTCAAGTGTATTAAAATCAAAGTCCTATAAATTGGAAGTTTAGTGCTTTTCTTTCCTTTTTCCTTTCTTCTTACTTTCACGCCAGCTCTTTTTTTTTTTTTTTTAATACTCGGTCTTAATTATCTTAATTATCTTAATTACAAAAGATTAATTTGTTAAAAAAAAAGTAAAAAAAAATCAATACAAGTCTCTTAACGATCTCTTTTTTTATTTTTATTTTTATTTAATTATTGTAACAAGCAATATTCTATATTTGGTTATAATTTTTCTTTTATAAAAGAAATGCATGCAACAACTTTACTAATTCTCATGGGCATGGCTGTCTTTACCGCGGCCATTCCAGCTCCTGCACCCATCCCAGTCCCAAGTCCAGATCCAGTTACCTATGACGATGGCTCATACAAGCCATGGCTTTACCCCGGAGACGATGGATCCTACAAGCCGTGGCTCTATCCGGGGTACGACGGTACGGCAACCGGGTCTAGTACAACCACAGGAAGTTCATCGTCTACAGGAACAAGTATTGTTTACAGTAATGGAGCAGCAGTAGTAACCTGGAAAGTTGACATGACTCATGCGTCGATCTGGATCGGAGTATGCGCTTTAGTCTTTAAATTTGCAATTGGTTTCTAAATTTTTTGTATTTTCTTTTCTTTTATATATTTATTTGTATAATAGTGTATAATAATAATAATAATAATAATAATAATAATAATAATAATGATTATATTTATGAGCAAAGTGGTCAATAGTATTGGCCTAGTTTTATCCAATGTCCAATTGAAACGATATAGTATTAAGTTTCTTGATATTTAAAAAAACAAATTCAATTATTTTTTATTTCATCTACATTAATAAAAGATTCACTCGGAGAAGAGCTTTTTATCATTATCATTATTAATTTTTTTTTTTTAATTGGTTTAATTTCATTTGAAAATGTTGGTTTAAAGTCTTAGATCATGAAATTTTTCACTTGGCCAAATTGTTTATATAGTATAGTTGGTATATAATGATGAAAGCCATTTTCCCACGGTTAAATCATTATTTTTATTTATTTATTTGGTTATTTAAAATTTTTTCTTTTTTCTTTTTTTTTTTAGGCCGTCGGGTTATCCGAGTTTAGGTGCTTTATGATAACGCAGTTGTCCACCACCACTTTAAAATCCATTTACAAACTTTGTATGTAACATTCACATTAAAAACATAAAAAAACCAAAAAAGAAATTACAAAAGTGATAACGTAAAGATACAAACTGTGATGTATGTGTACAAGTAAGTAATTACTTACAATTAAATATGTATGATGACACCAAAATTTGACGGACTTTAGTAAAAAGGGCTATGAATAAGGAAAAGATACTTTGCATTTGTATAAAAAAGTTTCTTCAATAGTTAAAAAAGTGCTTTATTCCGATTTTTTCAAGATTCAAACTACAAAGTGGATAAATCTTCAAAAGAGAAAAAAAACAAAAAAAGAAAGAAAAAACCCCACCTCCTTAGTTTTGCTTGCCCAAAGTATCACCAACTAGGGATTTTTTTTATTTTTTTTTTAATTAACACCTTATTTAATTATAAAAAACTAAATGATCTCTCCCATATTTCATGACATCTTCCTGCCATAAAACTTTTTTTTTTCCCATAATTTTTCTTCTTAATATTTTACTTGCTCTTTTAGTTTTTTTTTTTTTTATCCACCTTCTTCTCCTCCACAAAGTTTGGCCCCTCCGCGGCCGTGTTATCGGGCTTGGCACTGTTTTAGTAACGTAGTGTTGACAGAAGAAAAGAAAAAAAAAAAAAAATTCAATGACAAGAAATTATTCTTTTATTTTTCAAATGAATACTTTTATCTAAACTCAAAATGATATATACATAGCCAAAGATAAGACCTTTAATAACATTGGCATAAATCAATAGCATCATTGGCCAAAATGCCAATCCTTTAGATCGGTAGAGTTAAAATATAAATACCAAGAAGAATCCTTGCTGATCGATTCTTTTTTTGTTTTTAATTCTATTCTACTCTATATTCTTACTTCTCTATATTCATTATCATATCTATCACCTTAAAAAAAAAAAAACTAGTTCTATCTTTAATTTTTTTTTAATAGACTTGTTTATATAAATCTACACAAACACTATGAATAACGACTTGGAAAAAACCGCAGTCTATTCAGAGTACCCCGTCAAGGAGTCAAACGTCTCAGTTCGATCCTACGATGTTGGAGACATTGATCCAAATGAAGCCCCAGCCACAGGCTTCTCGGGCAAGTTCAACAAGATGATGAACAAGCTGAATGCAGAAATCAGAGGTATCGAACGTATCCCTGAAGAAGAACAAACAGATGTGTCCATGTGGAACACCGCCAGTATGTTTTTTGGTTGTAACATGGTTGTTGCAACTGTTTCCCTTGGATGTCTTGGTATCACCGTCTTTGGTTTGGATTTCTGGTCTGCTTTTTTGACCATTGTCTTCTTCAACCTTCTTGGTACTCTTCCCGTAGCCTTTTTCTCCACTTTTGGCCCCTACTTTGGTCTTCGTCAAATGGTTCTTTCTCGTTTCTGGTTTGGTGCTTATACCGTCAAAGTCCCTGCCTTTATCAACCTTGTTGCCTGTGTTGGCTGGACCGCCGTCAACACGATTGTCTCTGCCCAGCTTTTGCACACTGTCAATGATGGTGCTCTTCCTCCATGGGCTGGTGTTTTGATTATCTCTGCAATCACTTTTGTTGTTACCTTTTTCGGTTATCACGTTGTACACCAGTTTGAAAAATGGTCTTGGATCCCCAATGTTATTATTTTCCTTATTATGGCCATCCGCATGGGTAAATCAAAACAATTCACTTACGGCACCATGGTTGGCGGTGAAACCACGGCGGGAAATGTCCTGTCGTTCGGGGCTACAGTATATGGCTTTGCCACAGGCTGGACTTCGCTTGCGTCCGATTACACGGCTTACAAGCCTAAAAATACTTCTCGCACTAAAATCTTTTTTGCAGTTTACGGCGGTCTCAATGCGCCCCTTATGATTGCCATGATTCTTGGTGCTGCCATGGCTATGGGCACTGTAAAGAACCCCGCCTGGGCCGAAGCTTATGATTCCAATAGTATTGGTGGTCTTTTCTTTATGGTTTTGGTTGAAGATTCTCTCCATGGCTTTGGCCAGTTCTGCGTCGTTCTTCTTGCACTTTCTACCGTTTCTAATAACACTCCAAACCTCTATTCGCTTGGTCTTACAGCCCAAACATTCTGGGAGTCGCTCAGAAAGGTGCCTCGTGCAATTTGGACTATGGTTGGTACTGGAGTCGCCATTGCAATTGCCATTCCTGCCTACTACAAGTTTGAGAGTGTGATGCACAACTTTATGAATCTTATTGGATATTGGTTGGCCATTTATACTGCCATTTCAATCTCAGAACATTTTATTTACAGAAAGGGTTTCAAAGGTTACAATCCTGATGACTACGAGAAGCCAGAGAAACTTCCTCCAGGAATTGCAGCAGGTGTTGCCTTTGCTTGCGGTGCTGCTGGAACGGCTCTGGGCATGGCCCAAGTGTGGTGGACTGGTCCTTTGGCCAAACCCATTGGCAAGTATGGTGGTGACATTGGTTTTGAATTGGCTTTTGGGTTTTCGTTGGTTGCATTTAATATTTTAAGACCCTTTGAGTATAAGTACTTTGGTCGTTAAATGGTGATGTTTATTATTAAAAACATTTTATCTCCACTTTTGATCCCCTATCCCCACACATAATAGGCTTTAATTTCATCATCGTTATGAATAGTCCCTATTATCTACAATGCTTTTTTTTTTCTCTCTCTCTTTTTTTATATAAAATTTTTTTTTAAACCTTTGTTTAGTATTTTGTTTAGTGTTTTTTTCTAAAAAAAAAAAAAATTATCTTTTAAAGACTTTCCTTATCTTGTCGTGTGACTGAAGAGTTTTAGATACAGTGGCGCTGAGCAAAGGATGCGAATGTTGTGTATTGAGATTATCCAAAGCATTTGGTCTTTTGTGGCACAAAGCGCATTTCTGTGATGTAGTGTTCCCCCCAGAAAAGGGTTTATGCCTTGATATTCCAAAAGTACTTAAAAAAGAGAGAGAAATAAAAAATAAAAATCAAAATAAAAAAAAATAAAAAATAAAAATCCAACTTAAAATCAACCTCCTTCTCCTGACGGATTTTACACTTGCATAAAATCCGCTCGAGTGCAACTTTTCATTCGCTTAATTTTTATTTTTATTTTTATTTTTATTTTTATTTTTATTTTTATTTTTATTTTTATTTTTATTTTTATTTTTATTTTTATTTTTATTTTTATTTTTATTTTTAATTTTTAATTTTTAATATTTTGACTAACCCGGAGAAGTCCAGTTTTATTTTATTATTATTATAATAATAATTATTATTATTATTATTGTTTTTTTTACACCAACCGTTTGAAGAGTCAAAATTTTTTGTTTGTGTAGACATAAATATTTCTCTTTGAAATTGGTAGTCTCTAAGACGGTTAATAAAACATCATATATATTCTATGGAAAAATAAGCAAAAAGAATATCAATAACAAAAAAAAAAAAATTTGGCAAATGGATTTATAATCTGTGGCCATTTTGACACATTAATAGAAAGAAATAAGGCAGTCATTTATATGAAAAATAAAATAAAAAAAAACAACCTTAAACAAAAGACTGGGGAAATATCAACTAGACCGAAAATTCAAGATTCCCCAGAAATAATTTTCGTATATATCAGGACCTAAATGGCCTTATCCATTTGTATCACTAACATTTCAAAAGAAGCATCTGTTTCCTGAATCCTTCCTTTTTTATTTTTATTATTATATAAGTTTTGAAAATATTTCTAAGTATATTTGATTCAATTAATTATTTAAAAAATGGAAGGACCGAGAGAGAGAAAAAAAAATAGACATTTATTTGTATGTGAAAAAAAAAATAAGTGATGGAAAGAGAAGTGTTTTGGATATTCTTGAAAGAAAAAATAGCTTCCCTTGGAAGTCAAGATGGAAGAACGGAGTAGCGAAAAGCGAGAAATATTCTTAGAGAGAGAAGCAAAACGCGAAAAATTCGCTTTCAGAGTCCAGAAGCGAGACACGACAAAAAAAAAAAAAAATAATAACTTTTGAGAGACGCAGCTAGTAATATGATTCAAAAATTTCCGCATCAAAAAAAAAAAAAAGCAAACAAAGAATACTTTAAAAAAAATAATTTTTTTTATGTAAATATTACAGAAATAGTTAACACTTTGGTTAGTCAGTAGTAATTTGTAAAAATATTAAAATTGGTCTTTTAAAACCAATCACTGTCTTTATCGCCACTGTGAAAGATCAGACTGGTACAGTGCAGACTAATGTAGCTTCTATTAGAATAAAAAATAATATATATATATTGAGAGAGAGACATATTCAGGAGTGAATCGGAGGGGGGGAAGGGCCCAAAAAGAGCATCCATTCTCGGTTAGCCACCTGGACACATTATTAAAATCTATATATATATATATATATATATTTATGTAAGCTTTGATGATATATCCCATATATGAATATATATATCTTTTCTCAATATAGTAGATTGGCGAAATAAACCACAATTAAAAAGAAAAATAACCTTTGCTAGGCTTGTATAATAAAGGAAAGAAATTATAATTCATGGGGTCCCCTTAATAGATTTGGCATTTAAACGGTGGTTGGCAAAAATATCTTATTTTTTTTTTTTTAATTTTTATTTTTCAACAAGTTTAATATATAGTATAATCCGAGTTCCGGAGGTTTTGGTTGGTCAAGAATTTGTTTTGTTTAAAAAAAAAAATTTTTAAGGACTTTTAAAATGTAAAACGAAAAATAAAAATAAAAATAAAAATAAAAATAAAAAAATAAAAAAGAAAATTTTTTTAAAGTTTTTTTTTTTTTGATTGTCGGCATTGCCGCGCTTTGCCCGCGGTTTGGGGCTTATCGATAAGAAAAAGGTTGGAGGCCATCACGGCTTTACATCAATGCAAAAACCTTAAACTCCTATTGTATACATTAAATATACATTGTCATTAATGTTTAGTGGAGAAAAAAAAAAAAGAATATTTACACTAAATAAAAATAAAAATAAATCATAGTCAAAGGAAGCTTTTACAAAATTATTAAATTTCTTTTTCGTCTGTTCTATTTATTTTCCAAAAATATAAAAAGAGATGGATTTTTCCTATTTAATCTAACTTTTTTTTTTTTTTTTTTTCTTTCTTTCTTCTTTTCTTTTCTATTCTCATTCTATATCTTTATTCTACATTCATCTATACACCCATCTACTCAATTATTTACTTGTTTGTTTTTATTCAATTTTATATTTATATACTTATATAAACACACTTTCAACAGGTTTTATTACATCAAGTTCTAAAAAGAAAACAAAAGAAAAATGGTTTCAGACTTGGAAAAAGAGTATCCTTTGGATTACTCAAAAGAAGTCGCCCATATCGATATCGATCAAACAGATGGCGAAATTCAAGATGAAAAACCCACAACCCTTGTCGGAAAGTTCAACAAGTTCATGAACTCTATGAACGCTGAGGTTCGCGGTATTGAACGTATCCCTGAAGAAGAACAAACTGACACTTCCATGTGGAATACAGCAAGTATGTTCTTTGGTTGTAACATGGTTGTTGCAACTGTTTCCCTTGGATGTCTTGGTATCACCGTCTTTGGTTTGGATTTCTGGTCTGCTTTCCTCACTATTGTCTTCTTTAACTTTCTTGGTACTCTCCCCGTCGCCTTTTTCTCCACTTTTGGCCCTCACTTTGGTCTCCGTCAAATGGTTCTTTCTCGCTTTTGGTTTGGTGCTTACACTGTCAAAGTCCCTGCCTTTATTAACCTTGTTGCTTGTGTTGGTTGGACCGCTGTTAACACAATGGTATCTGCTCAACTTCTTCATACTGTCAATAATGGTTCTCTTCCTCCTTGGGCTGGTGTTTTGATTATTTCTCTCATTACCTTTGTCATTACATTTTTCGGTTATCACGTTGTTCACCAATTTGAGAAATGGTCTTGGATCCCCAATGTTATTATTTTCCTCATCATGGCCATTCGCATGGGCAAGTCTAAGCAATTCACTTACGGAACCATGGTTGGTGGCAGAACAACTGCCGGCAATGTTTTGTCTTTCGGTGCTACTGTCTATGGTTTTGCAACTGGTTGGACTTCTCTTGCTGCTGATTACACTGCCTACAAGCCCAAGAACACTTCAAGAGTTAAGATTTTCCTTTCTGTCTACGCTGGTCTTAACCTTCCTCTTATGATCGCTATGATCCTTGGTGCTGCCATGGCTATGGGTACTGTTAAGAACCCCGCTTGGGCCGAAGCTTATGATACCAACAGTATTGGTGGTCTTTTCTTCATGGTTCTGGTTGATGATTCTCTTCACGGCTTTGGCCAGTTCTGCGTCGTTCTTCTTGCACTTTCTACCGTTTCTAATAACACTCCAAACCTCTATTCGCTTGGCCTTACAGCCCAAACATTCTGGGAGGGTCTTAGAAAGGTGCCTCGTGCTATTTGGACTCTTGCCGGTACTGGTGTTTCTATTGCCATTGCCATTCCTGCCTACTACGTCTTTGACAGTGTTATGCATAACTTTATGAATCTTATTGGCTACTGGTTGGCCATCTACACTGCCATTTCAATCTCTGAGCATTTCATCTACAGAAAGGGATTCAAGGGCTACAACCCAGAAGACTTTGACGACGCCAAGAAACTTCCTCCTGGTATTGCTGCTGGTATTGCCTTTGCTTGTGGTGCCGCTGGTACTGCAATCGGCATGGCTCAAGTTTGGTGGACTGGACCCCTTGCTAAGCCCATTGGCAAGTACGGCGGTGACATTGGCTTTGAGCTTGCCTTTGGCTTTGCCTTTGTTGCCTTTAATATTTTGAGACCTTTTGAGCTCAAGTACTTTGGCCGATAAGCTATAGGATTTGATAAAAACAAATTAGAACAAAGCAGAGCTTTTTTCTATACTCTTCCCTTTTTTTTTATAGTTTAGTTTTATTTGTGTGTGTTTTTTATGATTATTTTTTTTTGTTTTATCGTTAATAGATGCTATTATTTAAAAATTTGTTTCTCAAAAATTCTTTCTTTATTAAATCAAAAGTCCAGGCGGCGTAGATATTTTACATATATACTGGGTTTGGGTTGTTATCAACAAATTATTAACAATTAGATATCGTGAGTATTTGATTAGTCATTTAACTATTACAAAGAATTTCCCAACCTTTAGTCATCATAATTCTCGAGGCTTTTCTCATTACTTTCTTCTCTGATTGATCACCCATATTGTTGCAAAGTAAAAAGTCATAAGAAGAGAAGAAAAGAACATTGCATATAATGCAGCTCCCAGAAAGTCCGTCTTTAGTATTCGGAATCTGTTATTCAAGTGACTTGCTGGCTTTTTTATCGTATTTGTTTTAATTGCTAAAGGTGGTCCGCACTTGATGATGATCTCTTGATCCACTCCAGGATCATAGATTTCATAGATTTGATCTAGAGTGCTTGATTTACATAACTTCTTAGCAGTATCAAGCAAATCTTCTTGGTCTGTTATGTATTTGGTAATGGCGAATGTTTTTGGTTTCCATTCTACTGGCTTTTCCTTTTTTTTCTCTCCCTTTTTGGCCTCTGCCATAATGGCCAGTGCAAATAAAAGTATTAGCGATGCTTGCAATAGGATTCTCATGGTTGTTGATGGTTCAGAAACTTAAGAAGTCAAACTTGTTTATATATATAAAATTTTTTTTTTAAGAGAACACAGCCTTTTTTTTTGCTCTTTGGTCACGAATTTATCTTTGGTTTACGTATTAGGTCCTTGTTAACCTTATTTTCCCTTCCATTCTAACTTATAAGTTAGAATAGGATAATTATCCTCCTTTGATCACCATTAAACCATATTCAATCTTTTGTTCTATTTCCAGTATCTTTTTTTTTATTTATATGGTGAACAAGAAATACCGATAAAAAATCACCAACATTTCAGTTACATTATAGACCAAAAAAAACATGCCATAGACTTTTTCAATTTTCTTCTTTTTTTTTTTTTTTTTTTTGAATACTGTTGAAATAATCCTAGAACTCTTGAAATTCAACAATAGTTTTTCTGTTACGTGTTGCAATTGGTGACACGCATTTCTTTCACTGTTTATAGCTAAAGTATCTACGTAGACTTAATATTACGCAATTTTTAAGTAAGTGCTAGGTAAGCAGAGCTATTGGGGAAAGAAGTTATTGAAGCCATAGCTTTAGTTTAAGTCTAAGGTAATTTTCTAATTTTTAATTGAGATTGAAATTAATTTATGATTCAATGTTAATCAAAACACAGATCATTATCCGAGATTGGAAACAATTGATGAAAAGAAATCACAGGAAGAAAATTTAAGCACGAAAAAATTCTAAACCTTTATTAGACAAATTCTCATAACGTGAATCGTTTCCGCAAACTGACTAAAGAATCAAATCTCTCATTCACATTCACATGTTTTTGAAAATTTGAAACCAATTATAACAGCAATAGAATGGTATATCCGGAACGGTATTATTATTAAATAAACAAATAACATAGTGAATTGAATAAAATCTCCAACATCCTTGAATTTATTTTGGTTCTACTTAGAAGCTTATAAAAAAATTATTTCTAATTGGATACATTCACTTTAAATAAAACAGTTTTCCATCTATATAACTAGTTTTGAAAAAAAAAAAGTAGAACAATGGATAAACAGATCACCAAGACTACAACGATATTGCAGATTTTCAAAATAATACAGTAAAGCTACTTAGGAGAAAAAAAATAAAAATAAAAATAAATCAGAAATCCCCCACATTTTCTTACATTATCGCCATATCGGATAACGCAATGAGGCTATAACCGAGTTTCTAGTTGCCCTGAGTTTGGCATCTCCGGAAACGGAATGACATTGAAATACATGTCAATACCCCGGATTATTTGGCACATTTATGAAAAATTTCTTTTTTATTTTTTTATTTTTAAAAATAAAAAAAAAAAAAAATTCAGAAAATAAATCAAATAAATGGCTCAAGTCTGGTGAAATTGAAGAAAAAAAAAGTATAATTTTTAAAGAAAACTAAACCGCGGAATGGTTCCTAGAAAACATTATAAAGATATAACAAAAAACTTTCGGATCACCGTTGAAAATTACGGAAAAGAAAAGAAAAAAAAATTCAATTCCTGGTTTGGCTATGAAAATAAAAAGCCTCAGCCTATTAGTTGTTTAAGAAAAAAAAATACACATAAATACAGTAAAAATATTCAAACAGTTTCAGGGTTTGCATTCATTTCGGGTGCTATTTCTATCTGTAGAACAGGGATGGTACTTGGGTTTGTATGTGTTGAATATGAATGAAAAAAAAAAAAAATTTTTTACTTATTAAAAAATAAAATGAATTTGGCTATTTTGTATCCTCCGCCGCATTTCTAAAGCTTCAGATTTAAAAAAAAAAAAAAGAAAAAAGAAAAAAAAATGCTGGTTGTATGTTGAAAATGCGTGTCTTCCAAAAAGGGTGCTGGCTGCTTCATGGCTGCAATCATAAAAACTCATCTGGCCGTGGAGATCCCGCCGGAAGGTTTGGTCTTTGTTTCTTAAAGTGCATTTTCTATCTTACCACCGGGTTATCCGTGCACCGCACTCTTTCATCATGACCAACCTTCAAAAATACTGATGAAGCAATGATTGAAAAAAAAAAAAAAATAAAAAAATAAAAAAATAAAAAAATAAAAAAATAAAAAAATAAAAAATCAAAAAAAAAATCAAAAGTATATAATTCAAGGGGAATGCCAAGACATTTCCACTTTTTTTTTTTTTCCGTTTCTCTTCTTCATCAAAACAATCTAAATCACATTCTCAATTCAGTTCATCAACTTCTAAAATTATCACTACTACTATACAATGAACGCTGACCTTGAAAAGAATAGCATCTACGAAGTATCTAAGGAATACCCTGATGATTCTTCTTCTGCTGATAAATCCAATGGCTCTGTTGAAGAGGCCCCTACTACCATTATGGGCAAGTTCAACAAGTTTATGAACTCCATGAATGCTGAGACAAGAGGCATTGAGCGCATTCCGGAAGAGGAGCAAACTGACACTTCCATGTGGAACACTGCCAGTATGTTTTTCGGATGTAATATGGTCATCGCCACTGTATCAATTGGATGTCTTGGCATTACAGTTTTTGGTTTGGATTTCTGGTCTGCTTTCCTCACTATTGTCTTTTTCAACTTTTTGGGAACCCTTTCTGTCGCCTTCTTCTCCACTTTTGGCCCTTATTTTGGTCTTCGTCAAATGGTTCTTACTCGCTTTTGGTTTGGTGCTTATACTGTCAAAATCCCCGCTTTTATCAACTTGGTTTCTTGTGTTGGTTGGACCGCTGTTAATACTATTGTTTCTGCTCAACTTCTCCACACTGTCAATAATGGTTCACTTCCTCCTTGGGCCGGTGTTTTGATCATTTCTTTAATCACCTTTGTTGTCACTTTCTTCGGATATCACGTTGTTCACCAGTTTGAGAAGTACTCCTGGATTCCCAACGTCACTATCTTCCTCATTATGGCTATTCGTTTGGGCATGTCTAAGCAATTCACTTATGGCACTATGGTCGGTGGCAGAACCACCGCTGGCAATGTTCTCTCTTTTGGAGCTACTGTTTACGGCTTTGCCACAGGTTGGACTGCTATTGCTTCCGATTACACAGCCTACAAGCCCAAATCCACTTCTCGTTTGAAGATCTTCTTTTCAGTTTATGGTGGTCTCAATTTCCCTCTTATGGTCGCCATGATTCTTGGTGCTGCTATGGCTACTGGTACCATTAAAAATACTGAATGGGCTCAAGCTTACGAAGATAACAGCATTGGTGGTCTTTTTTACATGGTTCTTGTCCAGGATTCTCTTCACGGCTTTGGTCAATTCTGCCTTGTTCTCCTGGCCCTTTCCACTGTCTCCAACAACACCCCTAATCTTTATTCTCTTGGTCTTACTGCTCAAACTTTTTGGGAAAAGTTTAGAAAGATCCCCCGTGGTGTTTGGACTTTGATTGGTACTGGTGTCTCTATTGCTATTTCCATCCCTGCCTACTACATCTTCGATAGTGTTATCAGCAACTTCATGAACCTTATTGGCTACTGGTTGGCTATTTACACTGCTATTTCAGCTTCTGAGCACTTCTTCTTCAAAAAGGGATTCAAGGGCTACAACCCAGAAGACTTTGACAATGCTAAAAAGCTTCCTCCTGGTATTGCTGCTGGTATTGCCTTTGCTTTTGGTGCCGCTGGTACTGCAGTCGGTATGGCTCAAGTTTGGTGGACTGGACCTCTTGCTAAGCCCATTGGCACGTACGGCGGTGACATTGGCTTTGAGCTTGCCTTTGGCTTTGCATTTGTTGTTTACAATTGCTTGAGACCTTTTGAGCTCAAATACTTTGGCCGATAAATTATTTTCTCCCCAACCTTAAAAAGTGATATTTTTTATTTGATAGATTTGTTTTTTATAGATGTTTATTTTTGGAATTTTTTTTAGAGTTTTATTTGAATATATTTGATGTTATGTTATACTATGAAAAAAATACTTAAATACTTAAATAACTATTGATATAGTTATACAATCAAAATTTACCAGCAATATGTGATTAAAATAAGTTAAGGCAATAGAACCAAGCCTTTTAGCCACTTTAGTGGGTTTTTGCATGAGTGTTGGTACGGAGTTGCATAGAGAGTTGGTGAAGACGGGTAGTGTCAACATTGTACTGCTTAGCAGTGGTGGCCAAGTTGCCCAAGGTGTTGGCAAAGTTGAGTCTTATACCCTGGGTGATAAAGTCAATGGGAGCACCAACAAGGTTGGAGATGACAACCTCAGCACCGTTAGTAACTGACTGGGCAAAGGGACCAAGAAGAGCCTGACCAACTGCAAGAGAGAGACCACCAGTCAAGGGAGCAAGAGTATTAACAACAGTGGCAATACCGTTATCAATCTGGGAGTCAAGACCAGTAATGACAGCAGAAATGATGTCAGAAGTGGGGTGGCCATCATTGGCACGGAGCTGACGGATCAAAGTATCCATAGTCTGCTGGCTGTTGGTAAGACCAGAATGGTACCCGTCAACAATAGGAGAGTCGGAAGCCATGACAGTGGCGACAAGGGTGGCAACAGTGAGGATCTTGAAGGAAACCATTTTTGATTTTTAGTTGATAAATTAAATGAGTGGCTAAAGTAAAATTTAAACGAGCGACTGAAGCTTCTTTAGAAGACTGAAAATGATTGATGAGAGAGTTGAATAATCGAATTGATTGATGATGAGAAGAGAAGAAAAAAAAATCTAGATTGACGAAATCCACGGTCCTTTTTATATTTTTTTTCTCCATTCATTCAATATTTACATCTTGGTATTTTAATTACTTTTATCGCATAATTCTATATTTCTAAAACTTTTTATTATTGAATAGGAGTAATTCCTATTTGTATTAATTAGTGATTATAAAACAAACAAAAATGTGTTCATTTATTTGTAGTATCGCCTGTATCATCTCGACTTTTTCCTTTCAAAATTGAGTTTTTCCTTTTTTTTTCTTTACAGTATATTGGAGTTTTAGAAAAGATTTAGTTTTAACCCCTTGTATATATACAAATTTGCATGAAATTCTTTAACAAAACAATGATTATATTGGATTTTAATGTTTAAGTCTATCAGTACTATTGTACAGTTTTTAATAAAGAAGTGAGATTGTCATAATATAATAAATATTGTATTATTAATTAAGCAATCAAAGCTTTGATTATAAGAGAATATTTATTACTCAAAATAGATGTCATTTAGCCTATTTCTTTTGTAAAAATTCTATATAACTGGATCCTAAGCTGGTAGGAAGCATACAAATTTTCTTATCTGGTTTGTCTTATTATCTTTATTTTTCAGACACTTAATTAAAAGATAAAAACTTGGGTTGAATTTCAACCAAAGCCCAATTTTTTCATAATTCTAAGCGAAGACATTTTAAAATGTCTACTGAAACCCGAATGTTAGAAAATAAGTTTTTTTTTACCAAATTATTAAGTTTCGGATATGCGAGTTTATGCATTTTAACGGGAAGGGAGATCAGAAATGATGCCTGACAGGTTTAATAACAGTGCACCTTTTTGTAAAATACGGGAACTCTATTTTTTTTTTCATACAATCAACTTAATATCAAAGCGAGGAGTAATTATAAATGTGTCGGATTACCATTCCTGTGAATAACTAGGATTTATTTTATCTAGTGCGAAGCGTTATTCAGCACCTTTAAAAAGTCTGAATCTAGAATATATTCTTGAATTTTTTTTTATTTCTTTCAAAATTTTGTCTCTGGAATCTTACATACATCAATAGAGTTAGAAGAAAAAGGAATAAATTAAAAAAAACCACTCGTTTACTTTATTTTGAAACCAGTTATTAAAAATTATTTTTTTTGCCATTAATTTTTTTTCTTTTTGAAAATAAGAATTGAAAATCATTTTTTTTTCCGATCAGGGATATTTTAGAACAAAATTTCCATTAGTGAAACTACTATGTATAAACATTAATCATATAAGTCTAAAGATTTCACCATTATTTGAGTTAGAAATGATCTTAAAATCATCAAGTCATTTGAAAAAGGTGCAATTAAAAAGAGTATCACAAACTTTTCTAACCATTGCGATATTTTTTTGGGGGCAGTGTCCATGAACAAATCTATAAAATTAAAGGAATATATAAAAGTTCTGCCACAGCTTTAAATTACACAACCATCGTCATCTTGGCATATTACAAATGGTGTCACGTTAAACTTGAAATCGTTCCCCCATTCAAAAATAATTAGTTAAAGACGGGACCTCCTCTACATGGAATGCATTTTTGGTATTCCCGACATTAGATGATGTACAAAGTGATTTGCATCTTTTGAAGATGTAAAAACATAAGTTTCTCTCGTACTCAGTTTTAAAAAACTGAAAGACTTCAAAATTCTTGTACTGAAGAAAGTTTTAGAAAAATAAGAGAAGTTCAGAGTCGGTTGAATAGTAGGAATTTTGCATCTAAAGTATATTAAGTACAATCTCCAACCGTTATACAATTGCCGAACATGTCCACATTAATAAGTACAATCCATCGAAAAAATATTTCTAAGCGAGGTCCTTAATGCTTATAGATTTATTTAAATTTGTTTATGTCCTAATTTTTGGTGCTTTGGTGCCCACAAATAAAGAGAGACACTGAAATATTAAATGTTTTAGATGACGTAGGATATATTAGATGATAACTATGGAGAATTAATAAAGCAAAGACACTAGATCATGAACGGCGACGACTTGTGTTAATTTCTGTTTGAGCCTTAATAAAACTCGCATGAAGCTCCTCGGTCTTTTTCGCTTCAAGATCTTCAAGCTTTTGGCATGTGTAGATGCAATCCAAGACATAAGCAAGTTGAACCAAATGAATTCTATACAAAACAGATTTCTGAATTTCATTATATGTGCCATATGGTCCAGTGGTATCCTTTTCATTTTTGGTAATCTTGCCTCTTTTAGGCTTCTTGCTATTGGTTAAGGAGTATTTACGAGCAGCCTTTAAAAGTTCTGCCATTTTAAATTTGGGGTTGAGAGACTTTGAAGACACATTATTTACCTGGGGTTTGCAAAAAGACATATCATTATCACAATAACGTACAATAAAACGATCAATTTTGCTGTACTTTCTTTGATACAAAGTTTCAACTTCCGAAAGTTCTTTTTTCCAAGAACTAATAATCATTTGACGTTCTTTAATTACTTCATTCAACTTTTTCTTCTGTTCTTCAAGCTGACCAAGTGGTGCTATTATTTTTTCTTGAATGGATGCGAAGAGTGTTTCACAAGATTTAATATCATTGACTAATTTCTCTTCCACTAATTTATGAGAAGTTTCACTAAAAACAAGGAGAAAAAAAAGTTAGAATAATTCCGTTTATCTAGGTTTAAATCATGACTACTCTAAAACAGATAAACCAATATCTTTGTTCAAAGACGAGCTGCTCAAATAAGATTTAACATTTCCCATCACACGTTCTTGCTGGGTTGTGACAAAGTCAAGAACAGTTTGAGCATGTGCATTGGCATTTTTCTTTACCAATTCCACAGGGCTAATGTCATGAACAATTGAAAGATTTTTGGTGACATCCATTGGTATCATATTTTTAATTGAGAAGAAAGAACAGTTATAATTTATTGTTTATCAATAAGAAAAATGAAATGTTGGAATGGGAAGTTAATTGGGTTCGATGAACTTTTTGACAATCCATCCAAAATAATAACCTTAGTTTTATCCCCAATCTCAACCCCAACCCTAACCAGTAAACTGATATTGTTACTATACAACTTTTCAGTAAACAAACACATAAATAAGTTATCCATCAAAGTTACCCGGTATTTAACTTTTTAAAAAAATCTACAATTAACGTCGGGTTTACGATAGTAAACCTGACACAGGGTTATTAAACATAATTATTTGTCAAAGTTCTTGTCTCACTAGAGCAAAGTTTATTTTCTAGTAAATACAAGAAATGCTACGTGGTGTTATTATAATTAAATCACCAAAACCATAAAGCGCTAGCTATGATTAGACGGAATAAATGGGATAGGAAAAAAAAAACAGTTGTGCTTTACTTTTAAATGCAAATAAGCTGTCGTGAATAACTGCAGTAGAAGACGAAGAATTAAATTGCAAATAATACCTAAAGTGAAAAAACCCCTGACAAAAAACAAAACGAAAACCTTGAAAGAAAACCTTGGAAAAATATTGAGCCATTAATCAAACAAAATTCAAAGATTTCGCAGTGGTTAGGGTATTGATAGACACAAATGATTTTGCTTAGAGCTTAAACCAACGCGCGGGTTTAAACGTTTTGAAGATCAGTATTTTTTTCCCTCTTTCAAATAAAATGAGGAAGAAAGAATAAATGACATTTTTATACAGATGTTATAGGAGGTTCCAGGCGTTTGTACTCTTTGATCACATCCATGACATGCTCGCGGGCATCTTCAAACTCAGAAAGTCCATTTTCAAACATGGGCTGACGACGATATGGTTCTAAGAAAGCCTGTCTTTTAAGAAGGCGGTCAAACTGATCAACTGTGCGATTAAAAAGGGATGAAATTGCGGTGTGATTTGCCAACATGAGACCGGAGATTCTAGTTGATGGATCCATAGCAGCCGATTCGGCATTGCTACTATTGTTATTGTTATTGTTATTGTTATTGTTATTACTATTGCGATAGAGATATGGTGACCTTCGAGAGAGCGAAATTTGAATAGACGTAGGTGCCGACGGAATAAAGTTGGCAAGGTTACGTTCGCGAATACGCAACAATGCCTTGTGGATATCTGTAGGGTCAACATCTCCCTGGATAATGTTCAGGATAGAGAGGTAGCACGCAGCTTTGGATTGGCCTGTAGACACCATTCTATTTTTAGGCTGAAGAAGGCGGCGCATGACATCTAGAACCGTAGTCTTACGTACCAGCTTGGCCTGGTCGACAGTTTCATTGCTAAAAGGGGTGTATGCTGTCATAAGGAAATGACATCGCGGTAGGGGTATCAAGGATGCGAGAATAGAAGCAAGATCATTGTGAAGGTATCCTGGATAGCGTAGAGTGCTTGTAGACGCTGACATAACAGTCGATACAAGCTGATTTGTTTGATCAAAAGTTGGAGATTGAACTTTGAGTGTTTCAGCAGCGATTCGGGCAAGGGCACCGTTGTCAAGTACAATGACTGAGTCAGCATAAAGAGCAAGACGCTTAAGAGTAAGGACAGAGTTGTATGGCTGAACAACGACATCGGAAACTTGTTGGGAATCTGGGAAAACAGAGTAGGTTTGGATAAGTTTTTTAGGGAACCGATCATTAATATGTTCCAGTAAAAAAGAGCCAAGACCAGAGCCAGTACCACCAGCAATAGAGTGAAGAAGCATAAAACCTTCCAGAGAGTCAGAACCCTCGGCTTCTCGGTCAAGCATATCCATGATAGAGTCGCTGATCTGTTCACCAGCATGGTATCCAGCTGCCCAAATGTTTCCTGCACCACCACCGTTTGGCGACACGAATATATTTTCCGGATTAAACATACGAGCATGTGAGCCAGCCATGATGGAGTTAATGACACGGGGCTCAAGATCGATGAGAAGAGCCCGTGGAATGTAGCGCGTGTCATCAGACTGATAGAAGAAGACGTCTTTACGGTCACCAGCAATGGCAGTATTTGCGTAGGGCTGAAGAGTTCCATCAGGGGAGATACCGTGCTCCAGGCACAGTTGCTGCCAAAACTGAGACCCAATTTGGTTACCACATTGACCTGCTTGTATAGTAATAAGCTCGCTAAAAGAAAATGGGTTAACAGATGGATGGAGAATGTTATAATGTGAGCTTACCGAGGCATAGTTATGAGAAAGAGAGGGCACTAAATGTACACGCGTAAATTATGGTGGTTTTGGTGGGGTGTTAAAAAAAAATGTGTACATAACAACCTCCATTGCCTGCTTACAAAACTCACACATTGTCAGGTTTATATAAATCTTCAAATATATTTTTTATCTTGCCCATAAGCAACCATTCGCAAAAAGCTTTTTTTTTTTTTTATTTTCTAGAACAAACGCAACCACAGGGTATTGCCATGTCGTCGTCCTCATCTTCTATTGATGAGACTCACTTACCGGAGCAGCAGCAGCAGCAGCAGCAGCAGCAGCCGCAACAACAACAACAACAACAAAGTTCTTCACAAAGCTCAGAATCATCTGCAACAGATAACAACACTATCAAATTTTACAACTATCATGAATACTTTCTCCAGCCTGACGACTATGAGGCTCAGTTAGACTATCTGGAAAATCCAGCACTAAGTACTATGGTCCCAGCTACAGATTATCGACCAGTGACACCGGTACAACCCGACGACCAGTCAAGCCCAACTTTGATCAAGTCTGCAGAACCGCCACAACTCGAAATTCCCACCAAACCTGTTTTGATTGTACATTTTCCAAACAGCTACTATCCAGCAACTCATCCGTTATATCGGCGCACACGCATTGTTCGTATCCCGCGGGAGTATTCGCAATATGGCGATATAGTACCTCAGTTTTCGACATATTTTCCTGGGACAGAACCCGGTGCCTTACATTCACGGACATCAAAAAGAAGGGAAAGGGCTAAAAAAATAAATAACAGTGAAAAAGCCTTTTATACGAGTGCAGAAAATAGAGCGGATGACGTCAACGACAATAATGAAGAGGATGAAGTGACATATCTTGTGCCGGAGACCAACCCGCTGGCGGGGTACCTCGGGCTATCGCAGTTTTCCGAAATTGTGACGACTGTAAATTTGTTGCTGAAACGTGCCTTGTGGCCGTATAGCGTAGTAAATGTGGTGGAGCAGGCGCTTGGGTACGCAACATGCTGGACGCATATGTACTTTTTACAGGCCGTGTTAGCAATGGTTGCAACCGTTCTCTCAGCAGTTGCACCCTCCACTGCAAAGACAGGGGCATGGGGTTTGCTTCCAGAGCTACGTAACGGATCGCTATCCTATTTGTCAACACATACGGGTCGCGGACTTGCCCGACTTGAAAGATATATTGTACTGGTGAATCGGCAGCTGGAGACACAGCAACATCCAGTACGGATAATATCCCCACTTCGGTCAGCGTACCTGTCTTTAGACTTTGAGGTGCCGAGTCCAGTCCCCGGCGAGCAATACGAAGAGTGACATAATTTTGTAAAGTGATACTTTCCGTATACTGTGACACCCCCTCTTGTGATAGTTTATTTTACAAATTTTTTTTTAAAACAGCTTTTAGTGACCACCTGAAACAGTTTAAAGAAAGAGAGATAACAAAAAAAAAATAAATAAATTATTATATTAGTGTAGTAGGATTTGATTAAAAATTGAAAAACTTTCTCATTTGAAGGAATAAAAGGAATATCGAAACAATGATAAGAATGATGGAAAAGAATTTTGTAGCCTTGTAACCAAACTTTTGGACAATAGCACGTTGGTTTTTGCGCGAGACCTCATCGACAGCAGCAATATTTCTGCGGAAGATTTCTTCTGACTCTGCAATAATTTCCAGCTTTTGTTCTTCAGAGAGTGAGTTGCGGGTGGCAAGCTCAAATCGTCGCTTAAAGTCGAGGCGCAGGGCATCTTCATCATCAACCATTGGGAACTTGAAAAGGTGAGTGCCATTAGCAGAAACTTCTTCTTGGGTCTTGCCAGGAACAACTGGGAAAAGGCCTGTTGACTTAGCTACGGATGAGCGCATGATACGGCCACCTGCAAAGAGTGCTAGGTAGAGGGTGTGTGCATAGGCGAGAATAAGGTAGGGTTTTTCATGAAGGACATCTTTCATGTGTTTAAGCATGGAAATCTGTTCCGACATAACCGGGTTTTGGTACTTTTGAGCAAAGGCCTCCGCCGACTCTGTGTGGTAATAGAAACTCAGGTCGAGTTCCAGGGCTTCTGTTCGGGCCAGTGCAGGTGTCCAGACTTGTTGCAGAATATCCTGGATTTCTCTCTGATCTTCAGTAAGGGTTGTAGGATCTTGTGCCAGAAACTCAACCCATATGTGCTCAAACTCGCGGAAAACATAATAAAAGGCAATGATACCTTGTCTGTAGATTTTGGGGTCGCGTAGAGCAAAAACCATTTTCAGAGAAATGAGATTGTTGATTTTATTGTGGATAGCATGAGTAGCTTTGTTGATACGGTTTGCCAGTGCACCAATATCGTCTGGCGCTGGGATCACCTCTTCCTGGGTGAACTTCTTCTTAATTTCGTAAGAGCCTGCATGGGGATCAAAAGCCATTTTGAATTTTATAAAAGTATATGAATGGAAAAGGGTTACTTGAAATGTTTTTTGTTGTTATTTTCTAAAAGAAATACAAATATTTGTATTAATTTGTATTAATAGATATATTAGAAAAAAAAAGAGGGTATATAATTAAAAATGATGATTTCTTTGATAAGAAAAAAAGGGATTAAAAAAAAAAAAAAGAGAGAGAAAGAAATGCGGATTTCATGCGGTTTAAATAATAAAAAAATTTCTTGTCTGCACGCCCGTAGACCAACGTGACTCTTGGAGGCTAAGACCAGTTACCTACTTCCTTAAAAGGAAGAGTCAAATTGATTGATTTGATTGTAACAAAAGTTCCTTATTAGGAAATGATTTGATCGTGGGCAACGATTCTATTGGCTGAAAGAATCAAAAAAAGATCAACTTACGCATAGCGCCTAGCCTTCGGGATTACTATACTTCTAGGCCGCCAGCTTTGGAATGTAAGACAAGCGGAGAAGACGGCAGGACACTTGAATTTGTGATCGTGTAAAAACCGAGCAAACAACCTAAAGATGGAAAAAAGAGGACACAAAAAAGAAAAAAAAAGGGCCATTTGATTATAATTCACAATAGAAGGTGGGGATGTTTCCCGAGACTCTATTTGTTTTATTATTAAGGGGTGGGGATGGGGCAAGTTAAGATAACTAAGGAAAAAAATATTTATAACTGCAAGGCACATATTTCTGAATTTTTGATGATCCAACATCAAATGGTTTTAACAAGTTCGATTCGAGAATTGAATTTGATTTATTAAAAGACTGTAAAATATATTTAGAATGCTTCTTTATTTTAATTTACAAAAAAATAAAAATAAAAATAAAAAAAAGATGGTTTTTTGTTATTATTATTTTTTATTGCCAAGATAGAAAATGTCCGTGGAAAGTTGTAGACCATTTAAAAAAAGTAAATGGCGAGCAACTTAATACGAAACGGGTCTGGGCTTTTTTTATTTATTTTTTATTTTCTTTTTAGTCAAATACAGAAGGTACAAAGTACATGATAAGAGAGAGAGAAAAAAAAAACATAAAAAAAGGCTACATGCTTTTGGAATTAGAATAGACATTAAGAAAAAATAGCATTTCATGGTTTTGATCATTATTATGATCGGTTTCAGTCCAAAAATAAGCTTGTTCCAAAGGTTTGTGTGTGTCTATATATAAGAGTATGCTTACCCTATAAAAAAAACTGGTCCGAAAAAGTCACGTTTTCGCCCGATTAGTCTTTGCTTTAGGCTAGAAAAAAAAAAGGCAGGATCAAATATAAATTCAAGAACCTAACCCTGATCTCATTTCAAAAATCACCTAATTGTCTCAATCTTGTAGGCCCTTTAACCACAACACAAGATGGGTAGAAAATCAAAAGTTGATAATTTAAATAGATTGATAAAACATTGCTTTGATATTTTATAGGTTTGATATTGCAGATGAATACAAATAAAGATTCAGGCATCCTGGAAAACCTGTTGAGATTTGTCGGACGTTGTTCTATCTCTTCTTGCAATCACTCTCCATCTTGAAATTAATATACATGGGTATCCAGTGTAAAAACTTCATGATTTTAAAACAGAAGATCAAATAGGTCTTTAATAGCTTCTGTAATTTCCTTATAGATTGTTTTGAATATTGTTTTTAATTCATTTTTGATGACTTGATAAGCTTGGCCATGTCTATGTGAAGAAATATCCATAGTTAACTTGATGAACAAGTAGGGTAATTTTACCCATTTATTTTTCTTTGTAGAACAATACAAAATTTACAGGCAGGCTTATTTGTTTAGCTAAGAATAATTTCGTTTCTGGCTTCTGTTTCCTATTTGAGCGAAATAATATTTTTCGGGCCAGTTTTTTTTATAGGGTAAGCATACTCTATAGGGGGGACAATAAAAGCGACCATAGACTAATTTATGAGTAATTATTAGATAATTTCACCTGATCAAAATATTACATAAATATTACAAACTAATTATTTGGTAACTTTTTATCATACCACCAAGTAACTTGAACATGACCTTTGACTTTGACTTTGACTTTGACTTTGACTTTTATTGGGCATTAAGACCTTTCAGTCTGTATAAACTAAAATACTCTGCAAATCTTGTTAATACCATCGCTACTTTTGCAAAATCCTAAAATAGCGGCAGTCATGCATTCGATTCAACCGAGCCTTTCATGCAAATCTTTACTTTAAAAACGTGTCGATTTCCCTGTGAGAAAAAAACAAAAAGAAGAAGAAGAAGAATAAGAAAAAACGTGGTCCAAATAGGCATTTTTCTTCTTTTGTCACGTTTTAAGCCGCACTTGCACCACCAATCCTTTTATTAATTTTATATATATCAGTGGCCTACATCCACATCCACCCACACTCATAATCATCATAGGCACAATAAAGACTTTTTCATAAAAAAAATCTTCAATTAGAGGTCTTCCCGTTTTTTGATCGCGTGGACTAGGGTTAAAACTTTGTAAAGCACTTTAATATCAGCTTTTTTTTTGTGGATTTTCAATAACAAGTTCCTTTGGATTACCAAAATACCCTGCCCATTCAATCATATCCTATATTGGAATTCACGGCCTAAAGTCTAAAGACTTACACCAAGCATCACATATCAAATATAGATTTTAAATACCCTCACAATGACCATATCTTCATCATCTTTCTCACCGAAGCCCCCCGGAGAGGATTCTTCGAATAAATCATTGGACCTATCTCAGCCTCAGGAATCACTTATACAACAACAACAACTTTTGGAAACCACTTCCTCTGCAGAACACACTACACTTCATGCATCGCCTAGTAATGATCCATACACGGCCTCCTCCACTCCAGATAATAACATGGCATCCACTCTGCGTACGCTCACTGAGCAAACTCATCAATTCTACATGAGCCCACGCACGGCAGTAGGTGTTAGCGAAACTGAACAAGAAAGCTTTTCTACAAACCCTCCTAAAATGCCAGCTATTTTAAAAATTAATAATAATTCTCCTGCTGCTTCATTTCGAAACTCACCTGATATCATGGAAGAAGAAGAGGAAGATGATGATGAAGATGGTATGGGAAATGAGTCCGGATATGCCGACGGTCAAGATATTGATGAACGTACCGAACGACCGCTCTCAGAGGAGGTTCAAAACCTTGCACACCGCCATCATCATCATCACCACCACCACCACCACACAGATGATGAACTCCCCACTGAACCAAACGAGCTCAATGAGCTCACTCGGTTTTCTAGTGCTGTAGACTTGCTTTCAGCCAGTGATGATGAGGACCTACTTTCGCGTGGAAAGCTCGATGAACTACAAGCGTTGTGCAAACAAGTCTTTAGCGGTGCGGCAGAAGTCCACCGGCTCTACGGCATAGTTTCTGGTATTAAGCCTCTTCAAATTATAACTCCCTCAGACTCTGAGATCCGCTCTCTTGTAGACTCATATGTCTTTGACAATGTACCTGAGGGTACTGATCTTGACGATGACCTAGAGGAAGACGAATCTTCGACCCGAGTGGCTCAATGTATGTCTGTTCTTCGTGCACAACTCCTCCTCGAGTCTGAGTACCTACAAGCTGTAGCGGCTCAACTTCAAGATCCTGCGAGGAAGGCAACTTTTAATGCGGCCACTGCCGCTGCTCCTCTGGCTACCATTCTTTGTGGTGATAGCCACACAAAAGAGCCTCTTGTGTACTATCCAGCTGCTCTTCAACAAGCACCACCACCACCATCTTTATCTCCACCAATTGCTACACAGGAACCTGTTGCAGAGACAAGCGAACAAAGTGGATATCCTGTTTTTTCTCACGTTAGAATTTCCCACGAAGACATGCTGCCTGCCCCAGAAAATTTTAGTATGGTGGTAAATGGCATCTACCGTTCTTCTTTTCCGCGCGCTGATTGCTTTGAATTTCTCAAGAAAATCAAACTCAAGTCTATCTTGTAAGTCCTTTTGGGGTTTCTTCGGCTTTTATTTATTTTTATTTTATTTTATTATTTTTTTTTATCAGCTAACAAAAATTTTTTTAGAGTCCTTATTCCGGAACAGTATCCAGATGAAAATGTCGAATTTCTCAAGTCTCAAGGCATTCAATTTTTTCAAGTAGGAATGCCTGGCAATAAAGAGCCCTTTGTACATGTCCCCCATTCCACAATCACACAGGCCCTTGAGATTGCTATCAACCCGGCGAATCATCCAGTGCTTATCCACTGCAACCGCGGCAAGCATCGCACTGGCTGTGTGGTCGGGTGCATTCGTCGTTTACAAAATTGGTCGCTTACCATGATTTTTGACGAGTATCGCCGGTTTGCATTTCCCAAGGCTCGACCATTGGATCAGCAACTTATTGAGCTGTACAATGATCACGAAATTTATAGCTCTGCTACTGAACAAGGCTGGCTGCCGCTCCAGTGGTGATAAAAAAGAGAGACGAAAAAAAAAAAACAGGAAGCATTAGAATCATCATTTTTATCTTTTTTTTTCTTTTTTCTTTTTTCTTTTTTCTTTTTTCTTTTTTCTTTTTCTTTTTTTTTTTTTTTTTTAAATGAAAAATTTCAACATAGATATATGAGGATTTATTTATGAGAATAAGTTATATGCAAATTTGTTAGTTTGGAGCCAAAGCTGGAGATCCATGAAGAGGTGTGCTAGCTGTAGAAGATGTACAAGAATCATCTTTAGGTCCAGAGCGGAGCTTCTGCAACGTATCACCGTCGCTTCCACCGTTTGGAGCCTGGCCCGAAATGCCTGTAGAACCAGTTGTTACCTCAGATACTCCGAAACCGCTCACACAAACATCACTGTCCCCATCAACGTCGCCAAAGCCATCGCCATCGCCATCGCCATCGCCATCGCCATCGCCATCGCCATCGCCATCGCCATCGCCATCGCCATCGCCATCGCCATCGCCATCGCCATCGCCATCGCCATCGCCATCGCCATCGCCATCGCCATCGCCATCGCCATCGCCATCGCCATCAACGTCTCCATCGCCATCTCTATCTCCATCTCCTTCACCTTCGCCATCAGCTTCGCCATCACCCTGTTTGGACTTCTCACGCTGGCGCACGCGCTTGCGCTTAAAGCACTTGTTGGCTTTGTGGCCTGCACGCCCACAGTAGTTACAAATCGCAGGTGCGCCTCCAGCAGACACTGAGCCCAGCCCAGTGTCTGCTTCTGGGCTAGCACCATCGTCCTCTGAGCAACTGCTCAGGGCAAGGTGCGGCACATTGGTTGAGGCTCCAGTTGGACCGGCCCCAGAACCAAACTCCTCGGTAGGACTACCTCCGGAAACAGTACCACCGCTATTGCCTTTTGTGCTACTGCGGCGGAGCTTATTGTGGGCCACAGCTCCAGAATCAGAGTCTGCAGCGCCATAATCACTTATGGAGCCAATTTTGGGGTTACTGTAGACACGAGTTTGCTTGCTGCGATAGTGTGATGTATCGGAATCAGCGTTGTAGTCATTGTAGTTACCGCCGGATGGCACGTATTTACGCGACTTGATACCAAGTCCAGGATCAGAGTCGGGATCATTATCATTATTCCAAGTGGAACCGCCGCGTTTAATCTTTGGGAATGCAGAGTTGTTATGGTGATGGTGATGATGATGGCGATGATTAGAATTGTTATTATTATTGTCGTTATTGTTATTAAAAGTCTGTTGTTGCAAATGCTTCTTGACCACTTCATCTTTATAAATAAGAATAAAATCGCAGACCTCGTCAATGGTATTAAAAGGCATTGTGGCTGTTTCGCCATAAACAGTATTAATTTTTTCAAGCACAAATGGTTTACACTCTGGGAGGACCTGGAAGAGCAACACAAGACGCTCAGCCAAAGGTGCAGGTGATTCCATTTGAGTTTCAATGAGACGGAAGTGGGTAATGATCAATTCAATGGCAGGTCCATCAATAGTGAAGTTAGGCTGTTCAGAAGAAGTGGAAAGTGTCGACGATGTTGACGTGGCAGGATAGCATGAGGACGCAAGCCTATTTTTCTCAAGCTGGTCAATAAGCGTGGGACGCAAAAGTGACATGCGATTGTGGAGGTACAGGGTGCGGGCAACAGGGTTATCTAGCTTATAAAGCTCGCGCTTAACAGTGTTCCAAAGAACTGGATAGTAGCGCTTTCTTTGAGGTACTGACTGTTGCTGTTGCTGTTGCTGTTGCTGTTGCTGTTGCTGTTGCTGTTGCTGTTGCTGTTGCTGTTGCTGTTGCTGCTCAGTGTCCAAGGTATTATTCTTTTCCTGTTGCTCCTGCTGGTTAGCTCTTTGAATAGATTTATATAGATCAAAGGCTCGGGAAGACAAAAGCCTGGGAATAAAGTACTCAATGTCAGAATTGCGAAGATTAAATGTCTTGATAAAAGAGTCAATTTGAGAAGACCACCAGGAAAAAGATTCCGAAACATGGCCTGAGTACTTTGGAAGACTCTTCATGAGCTCTTCAATGTCTTCTCTGGGAACAAGAGTGTGCTTGTTGTTGTTATTGTAGTTATTATGATGATGGTGATGATGATTGCTGGCAAAAGAATCATTGCGATTGTTATTGTAACGATTACTATATCCAGAAGAATTTGAGTTTGGATTAAAGCTTGAGGATCTAGCACGGTTATTGTTATTATTGCTGGTGGAAGAATTGGCACTACGACTAGGACTAGCTGTGTTTTGTCGTCGGCCCGCGGGATTAGTCTTGGAGTTTGCCACAGTCTGCTGCTGCTGCTGCTGTTGTTGCTTTTCAGCAATAGTTGTAGCAAGATTCACTATTTGACTAGTGAGCAGGTCAAGCTGTGACTTAGGTACAAGAATAGCGGGTTCCATTGCATCAGTTGCGACAGGATCAGTCTGGCCATTGGTTTGGGTCCGCGCGGCGTTGGGATTAATTGTAGACCTACGGGAATCACGAGATCCTGTAAGTTTTACCGGCGAATTTGTAGTAGTGCTAGCAGAGTCCCTCGGGAGGACCATGGTTAAAAAAATTTGATAGTGAGGAATAAAAAAATAGAAGTTTAATGTTTTAGAAATTAATTGTGTGAATATGTGAAAGGGGAGGAATTTTTTTTTTTTTAATAGAGAAAAAAAAAAAAAAATCTTTGGAATGATGGGCAAAACTTTTTGGCGGATTTTTCCAATGATTAGTTATAATGACTAAGAATTTACAAACAAGGCTTAGAAATAGCTTGGATTTTTTTATTTTAGTGTATTATTTAATAACTTACCTTAAAAACCAATCCTACCAGAATCAGCCGCCTTCGTAAAAAGTCTTATTTGCACCTTTGTTTTTTTTTTTTTTTTTTTATTTGACTCCGCCATTCCAATTCCGACTTTTATTTTTTTATTTTTATTTGATTTATATATAATAACAACTACATAGAAGAAACAATTTACAACCCTTTAGATATATTTTCTTAAAAAAATCAATTTATATTTTTCATTTGTTTTTAGTTTAAAAAATCCGCAGTTAATATATATTCAAAATATATATACTTCTTGGATACTTTAATCATTTAAACACCGACATCCCCAAATGGGTCCTCATCACAGCCCAGACCCAAAACGACCGTCGCCTGACGGCCAGGACAATGACGGAACCCCAGACCACAGCTTTAGCTACGACTCTTCCTTTGGTGATTTCAATGTTGGAAATGTCTCTAGATCTCCTTTGAACCCACAAGCTGCCTCAAACAGTGGTAATTTCAATGCAATTCCCCCCAGCACCCCCGATCAATCAGCTTTCGGCAACAGTCATCATGCCGGCTCCGCCTCACTAACCTCCTCGCAACAACTACAAGAAAAAGCAATCCCAGCCACTACCCCCACAGTCACAGAGACTATATCAAACCCTCATTCTTCTTACCATCATAGCTCTTCAATGGAATACCCTAACGAAAAGATAAACCCACTTCTTCCTTACAGCTCACCAACTGCTGCGGCTATAGCTGCATTCCCGGAAACTGACCGTTCCCGAGCAAGTGAGGAGCTTCGACATCAGAACTTGCTCCATGTCCAGTATGATGAACAACAAAGATTTTCAGAAGATGGTTTGCATCAAACTCAAGATTTTGGACACCGCAAAGCCCGTATTCCTACCGGCAAAATTAAGAGAAACTTAAGTATCTCGGCCAAACTACACAGCACAGAAAACTCTCTTCGAAGAATAAGTAGGCGCATCCCCATTGTGCAACAATACGTCCACAAACCTGACGATGACAATGCAAAGGAGATTGAAAAGGAACGCACTGTTTATTTTAACCAGCCTTTGCCAGAACACGAAAAGGATCCCGCCACAGGTAACATTTCGGTAGAGTATCCCAGAAACAAGATTCGAACAACTAAGTACACACCACTAAACTTTCTTCCAAAGAATATTTACCACCAATTTCACAACATTGCCAACATTTATTTCTTGTTCATTGTTATTCTTGGCGCCTTTTCAATTTTCGGTGTGGAGAACCCAGGTCTTGCAGCTGTTCCAATTATCGCTATTGTTGCCATTACAGCGTTTAAGGATGCCATTGAGGATTACCGTCGTACTGTTTTAGACTTGGAGGTCAACAATACAATTACACACCGCTTGATCAATATAGAAAATCCAAACATTGAGGATGATGTTATTAGCCCTTGGCGTAAGTTTAAAAAAGCCTCCACCAAAGCATCGGTGCAATTTATTCGAGCCATTGTTCGTGGTTTCAACAATGTGTTTCGCAGAAAGGCTATGGAACGCAAGAGGCAACTCGAACGAAATGTTTCCAAGTCAAGTCTTGAACTCGACACAGTTGCAACTCGAAACACAGTTTATTCGCAAATTAGTAATTCCATATATGATGCCTCTCTTCATGGGAACTCGCTTGATTTGAATCGATATGGTGCTTCTTCCAAAAAGGCTCTGGAAAAGGATGGAACTGTCATTGATCGTTCTCGTTCTTGCCCTGGTCAGGCAGCCTTCAAACGCGCTTACTGGAAGGAGATTAATGTTGGTGACATTGTCAAGATTTACAATAATGATGAAATCCCCGCTGATGTTATTATTCTTTCTACGTCGGACCACGATGCAGCTTGTTATATCGAAACGCGCAATTTGGACGGTGAAACTAATTTAAAGGTGAGACAAGGTCTCAATGCCACAAAGGCAATTCGGCATTCTCGTGATTTGGAGCAGTGCGTTTTTCAGGTCGATTCAGAAGCTCCGCATCTTGATCTATACTCATATTCAGGTCTTTTGAAATGGAAGCAGCGTGAAAACCCACTAGACTTGGCTTCTCCTATTGTTGAGCGTGCAGAAGCTATAACGATTTCCAACATGTTGTTGCGTGGTTGCACCATTCGAAATACAAAATGGGTCATTGGTGTTGTAGTTTACACTGGTAGCGACACCCGTATAATGAAGAATTCAGGTGTCACTCCAACCAAACGCTCTCGACTCACTCGTGAACTCAACATTAATGTTATTATTAACTTTGTTTTTGTCTTTATCTTGTCTTTTGTTTCTGGTGTTGTCAATGGATGTTCTTTCCGATCTAAGCAGTCATCCAGATACTTTTTTGAGTTTGGCTCTATCGGCAATACCGCTCCAGTGAACGGTATCATTACCTTTTGGGCTGCAGTTATTTTGCTCCAAAACTTGATTCCCATTTCGCTCTACATTACTATTGAAATTGTCAAAACATTCCAAGCCTTTTTCATTTACTCGGATTGTTTTATGTATTATGAGCCCATTGATTATCCGTGCACTCCTAAATCATGGTCCATTTCAGACGACTTGGGTCAGATTGAATACATTTTCTCTGACAAGACTGGAACTCTGACTCAAAATGTTATGGAATTTAAAAAATGCACTATAAATGGAATTTCGTATGGTAAGGCTTTTACGGAGGCTATGGCAGGAATTATGAAGCGCGAGGGAACTTTTACCGAACAAGTGGCAATAAACAAGCGCCAAGAGATTATTAATGATAAGGAGATCATGATGGCTAAACTGCGCGGGATTTATGATTCTCCAGAAGTTTTTGACAATGAAGTGACATTTGTTTCTTCTAAGCTGGTTGATGATATGGAGGGCCAATATGGTCCCGAACAATCGCAAGCCATTAATCACTTTTTACTTGTGTTGGCCTTGTGTCATTCAGTTCTTCCAGAAAGAACTAAGGATAGTGCCAAAAAGCTTCTCTATAAGGCTCAGTCGCCCGATGAGTCTGCGCTTGTGAACTTTGCACGTGATATGGGTTATGCATTACTCGAGCGTACTCGTAACGGTGTTATCATTAGTGAGAAGGGCCAGGAGCATGAATATGAAGTATTGCATTCTCTGGAATTTAATTCAGCGCGTAAGCGTATGAGTGTTATTGTTCGAATGCGCGAAACAGGCAAGATTTTCCTTTTTTGCAAAGGTGCCGATAATATCATTTATTCGCGGTTAGCTCCAGGAGTTCAGGGAGAATTACGTCAGGTTACAGCAGATGAACTTGGTGAATTTGCACGCGAGGGTTTGCGTACTTTATGTCTGGCTGAAAAGGAGATTCCCGAAGAAGAATACCAGGTTTGGGCATCACGACATGAGCTTGCTTCTCAAGCGTTGCAGAACCGTGAGGAGCAGATGGAGAAGGTTGCAGATGAAATTGAGCGCGATCTTTATTTGATTGGTGGTACTGCTATTGAAGATCGTCTGCAGGAAGGTGTACCTGAGACTATTGAATTGCTAAGTCAAGCTGGTATCAAGCTTTGGGTTTTAACTGGTGATAAGGTGGAAACTGCCATTAATATTGGTTACAGCTGTAACTTACTTGACAATGGCATGGAGTTGCTCCTGTTGCAACTTGGAGAAAAAACAGTCGAGTCTGCCAATGCTTTATTGGACTCTTTGTTGCAAACAAAGTTTGGGCTTCAGTATACACCTGAGGTGATGAAAGCTGCGCAAAAGGATCATACGGTGCCTTCCCGCCAATATGCTGTTGTTATTGATGGTGATTCGTTAGATATTGTGGTATCACCGGATGTCAAGGAGCGTTTTGTGTTGCTGTGCAAGCAATGTCGTTCTGTTTTGTGTTGTCGTGTGTCGCCTTCGCAAAAGGCTTTGGTTGTTGCTGCTGTTAAGACCACATTGGATGTGACGACGTTGTCGATTGGTGACGGTGCCAACGATGTGGCTATGATTCAGGAAGCAGATGTGGGTGTTGGAATTGCTGGTTTAGAAGGTCGTCAGGCCGTTATGTCGTCTGATTATGGTGTTGGACAGTTTAGATTTTTAGGTCGGTTGCTATTAGTGCACGGCCGATGGGCATATCGTCGATTATGTGAAATGGTTGCCAATATGTTTTACAAGAATGTGGTTTTCACACTGACACTATTTTGGTACAATTTCAACAATTCGTTTGATGGCTCATATTTGTTTGATTATACCTACATTACATTGTTTAATCTGGCTTTTACATCACTACCCGTTATTTTTATGGGATTTTTAGATCAGGATGTTAGTGATAAGATTTCCATGGCTGTCCCAGCACTTTATAGACGGGGAATTTTGCGATTGGAATGGAACCAGCTTAAATTTTGGATATATATGATTGATGGTTTGTACCAGTCTGCAGTATGCTATTGGCTTGCCTTTTCCATGTTTTACAGTGGTGGCTTTATTAGTCCCAATGGTCGTCAAAACAACTTTCGTGAAGGTTATGGTGCACTTGTCGCAACATCAGCTATTGTTGCTTGCAACCTTTATATTTTGATTAATGAGTATATGTGGGACTGGCTCTTTTTGCTTATTGTTGCCATTAGTATTTTGCTTGTCTTTTTCTGGACTGGTATTTATACACTTTTTACGGCATCACGGTTCTTTTATAAGGCTGCACCTCAGATTTATGGTTCTTTGGCATTTTGGGCATATTTATTACTTGCTTCGATTGCTTGTCTTCTTCCACGCTGGGCGGCCAAGTGCTATCAAAAAATGTATATGCCACGCGACATTGATATTGTTCGTGAGCAATGGCGTGTATTGGGTATGTTTAAAAACCTGCGTCATGAAGGTGATACAGAAGACATGTGGGCCACACATTCGGAAACTTCTACTGGAGACATTGGGCTTCCTATTGGAGGAATTGAGGGTGCTTCTGATGGAACAGTTGTAGGAGGACCTAATGGAGGGGTTGGCAATGGAATGATGGATGAAGAACTGGGTGAGGTTCCTATTAAGAAAGAGCATAAGCACATGCATTTACCTCATAGACACCGTGCTTCTGAGTCTTCATCATCATACAGCGGCAAAGTAGCTGTTTAAATCAGCAATTTTTTAACAAACAGAACCAAGAATTGGTTTTTTTTTAAAAAAAAAAAAAGAAAAAAAGAAAAAAAATTGTGTTTTGTTTTATGTTTTATCTCAATTCTGAATCTGGTAAATGATGCGTAATAATGCGTTTTTTTTTTTTCTAGATGTCTCTCTAATTTCCATTCTTTCTCTTTAATAATTTTTTTTTGTTTATAATAATATATAATATATAAATACTTAATAATATAACTGTACTAATACTATCGATAAATTAACTATGTTTTTTTTTATATATATATTTTTTTTATTGAAGACTAAATATCGAAGAAGTTGTTGAAATATATGGAATTATATATATATATATATATAAGGATAAAAAATTGGTGACCTTTTTTTTTTTTTTTTTTTTGAACTGCCTTGGTGCCCCACGATCCAGGCGGCTGACTCAGTGTTTAGTCAGCCACTGCCACTTTTTTTTTTTTTTATATATATATATATTTTGATAGACTAAAAAAAAAAAAAAAATTGCTACACAGCGCGCGCTGCCTTTGCCAAGTTTACGTTTATTTAAATTTATATATATATATAAATATAAATATAAATATATATAAAGTCGAACGATTCCTTAAAGTTTTTTTTTTTTTTCATTATTATCATCATTCTTATTATCATTATTATTGTTATTTAAAAATTCAAATTTATTTCTAATCATTTAACTATTAAGTTAATTCAAATATAATTTTTTTTTTTTTTTTTTTTGAATATTTCTTTACTTTTAATTTATCTCATTTTTAATATCAAATATGCCTGTTGTTCCTTTCACAGAAACAGTTGACGCCTTAATAATAAAAAGAGACGACGGTATGCTCTTTATCAGGGGTAAGTCGATTATTAACTTACACTTGAATCATTAATTAATAATAATAATAATAATAATAATGAATGGCTTGGGCAATTTATTAACTGATTATGGAAATTTAGGTTGCGATATATGGGGTAATTGTGGTTATTACGGTGGATGGTATTATTGGTATGTTTATTAGACTTTCTCCTCGAATATTTTTTCCAGTATACCATAAAAAAAATAAAAAATAAACATAACATAATACTAACACTAAAATTTAAATCTAAGGGGTCGTTGGATTCTTGCCGGTGTTTTGATATTTATCTTTTTCCTGTGTATGGCCTTAATCTTTACAAATTCCAGGAAACGAGTTCGCACAGGAGGCACTCCAATCTACGGAACAGCTTGGCTTGTTTTGCCAACATATCAACAATCTCAACATGCATATGGCGTAGATGGTGGCGCACCTCCGCCTCTTTACCAACCACCAGCACAAGGTAGTACTACTATGCCTTCAAATGGAATGCCAATCCATCAAACATATGGCCAACCCCCACCACCCATGGATTCTGGGTATATTGGTCCTCCAGCAAACCCTCCTCCAGCAGGCTCTTCTTCAAACTATAATGCCAACAATGAATTTTATGCTCCACCTACAAACCCACCACAGGCTTATGTTAAGAATTAAGTGTGTTGGATAAAGGGAAACAAAGACTAGCTTATGTCGTAACTTCAAAATCACATACAAATCCCACGTAAGCTATGAGAGGCAAGGATGACAAGGATGACAAGAAGGGAGGGGTTTTTTTTTCTTACACACGCATACATCCCATAAAAAGATGACTTGCTAGAGTCGTGGGCAATGAGAACTGAATATTTTTTTTGTGCTACTTTTAGAGAAAGAAACTAAAAATAGACCATTCTAACTTGAATTTTTTTATAAAAAAAAATTTTTTTTTTTTTTTGATGAACTTTTAATGATTCTCATTGTTGCTCTTGTTATTTTTTTTTTTTTTTGTTAGCAAGAGTTTAACATCATTTTTTTTTTATTTAGTTAAGTTTAGTTTTATGTTTTCATTAATTTTTATTATAATAGAATTTTTTTTTTTTTATTTTTAAAAAAATTAATGGGACAGATGTTCTCATGAATAATGACTTATTTTAAAATTAAACATTAATCTTTTTTTTTTTTTTTTTTTTTTTTAATTCATGATTTAAACTAATTAATATCGATATATCGATATATCGATTTTAACTATATAGTTAAAATCATGAATCAATAATAATATATCGATATTTATTTATTCTTTAAAACATCCTTTTATCGGATTTTGACTATCTTGGTGATTAAAAATTCTTAAACATTTTCCCAATCACAAGTTTAAATATTTTACATTTGTCCTTTTTTTCCCTTTTCCTTTTCCTTTTATTTTTTTATATTTACTATTTTTTTATTCATTTAATTTTATTTTATTTTATTTTATTTTATTTTATTTTTTATTTTATTTTTTTTTTTATTTTTTTTTTTTTTTGCAAAATTGGAAATTACTAGGATTTGTTTCTAATGATGCGCAATGGTGAGCTGGCTTGTTTTTTAGAAAGAAGTCCGCGGAGTAATTATTATTATTATTATTATGCATGTAATTTATTTTATTTTTTTTGTTCAACTCTATAATGCTTTTTTTTGTTTTTTTTTTCTGTCTATTTGTTTTTTTTTTAAAGTCTATCATTTTAAAATTGTTAAGGTTGATGATCATTGATCATCATCATCATCATTTTCTTCTTCTTCTTCTTCAGAGCTGCTATCTTCTTCATCTTCGGACTCAGAACTGCTTGATTTGCCTTGGTCACTAGAATCTTCTTCCTTTTGGTTGCTGTCTTCTTCTTCAGTCTTTTCTTCCTTCGAGCTCTCATCAAGACTATTTTCTTCTACAGATTCTTCATCTTCACTATTTTCCATTTCCCCATTTTTCTCAATAACCTCCTGCTTCTCTTTCTCTCGTCGAAGAACAGCCAAGTTTTCAAAATATTCTTCCATCTCACTCTTTTCCCGCTCAGCATACATTCGATGTCCCTCTTGTCCTACAAGGCTCTTCATAAACTCCTCTACAACAACACCAAGCCCAAGAAGTGCTGTCTCATCCATAGACATGTATGCTTGTTTATACCCTAAAGCCTCATACAGTTCGGCCGCATATAAATGAAGAGTCTGCAACAAATCTGGAACACTGTTCCCTGTATTCCCACCACTTGCAAATGAAGCTGCTCGAGAAAGAAGCTCGTCCACTGTCTCTTCTTCCTCAGGTAATGACTCGTGTCGTGACAAAAACCGTGCACCATAAAGGGCATCAGCCAAGCCAGCACGAAATGGTAACTCTGGGTGGTTATGGTATATGGGGCCCCATTGTCCATTGCTGTTTGTAGCATCAATCTGTGAATCTGGGGTTGCCACAACATATTGGCGTGTTTCTTTATGGGTCCCTAAATCAATAGTCACTTTGCGTGTCAAGCTGTGCTTCAAAACCGACCGATTGACATTGATAGATTCCTCATTTTCCTTAAATTCCTCCTTCTCATAGATTTCATCGTCCTCATCTTCTGTTTCTTCTTCATCTGTATCATCACTAAACTCATTCTTAACAGTTCCCAGCATCTTTTTCTTCATAATGACTTCAAACGGATTCTTATAAATTGCCAAAGGTCGAGGCTTGGCTTCATCCACAGAAAATAAATAATCTCTTCTAGGGCCGTTCCCCGCAGCAAATGCTTGGTATGAGGTGTATAATGCATCGAGTTGTTGAAGGCGTGTTGCTGCTTTTTTTACGGGAAGAAAAGCTCCTGTTTTCAATTTGGATTTTCTTCTAAGCTCCATTTGTGCCCAAAATTGATCATCTCCCTCAGTTATCAGCTGTGTAGAATTTTCCTCGGCTTCATTGGTCTTGAGCCGTTTATAGCTTGGTGTTGCATCGTCATCAGAGCTTTCCTCTTCAGTAAACTCTCTTGGTCGCTTAGGTCTACTGCCGATTTCAAACTTTTTGGTGATAAGCTCTAAGTCAGCTTCAGATAAAGTCATTCCTAGTTTTCCCTTGGCAAACTCAATGAACTCCTCCATGTTTTCTCGAGGGGCAGGTTTCCCGGAAACTTCATCCGCTGCCTCACCACAACTATCGTCCTCATCTGGATGCAATCCAAGTTTAGTTTCACGAATGAAGCGTCGCTCTAACGTCTTAAATTGAAGAGGAAGAGTAAACAATTGAGATGATGATGCATGAAAAACAGTGGGGACATCTTGCCCAGTGGGCTGGAAGAATTGGCGTGAGTTGCTTTGAATAAGGTTAGGGGAGTGGTCGCAAGAAGAAGATAACGGGTGTAAAAACCAACGGCGGGCTGCACGGCTAGTGAACCCACTGCCAAGCCCTGTTTCGGTAGAACACGAAACACCGCCAGCTGTTGCGTTAAGAGCTGCAAGCTGTTGGCGCAAATGTGGGCCGCGTGGTACATGTTGATATTCTGGATTCTCTGGAGCCAACCCGGGGTAATTTGATAAATCGTCACCTTCATCATCTCCATCATCTCCATCATCGCTTTCGTCCGCATCTACTCGAAATTCTTCCATAGCCTCCTTAACTTTCTTTTTATGTTTACGCCAATCAGAGTCCAGCTCTATTTTAGAATTCAAATACTGTTGGTTTGTTGTTTGATTGTCTGAAAGACGTTGCTGTTTTAATCGCTTTTCTTCTTGCTTTTTCTGAATCTGACGTTTCTTTTTCTGCAAAGCTCGAAGTTTATGAAGCTTCTTTTTGTTAAGCGTTTTCGAAACACTTTTCCAACGACCATTTAAACTTCGACCTCCTTCAGGAAATCGGTACATGGAATTGTACATATGGTTAGAATGCCCACCATGCTTAAACATGTAAAAGTTTTGCGAAGATGTTGAATTATCAGGTAATGAATGGGAAAAGTATCGTGTTTGAGGACCTAACGAAGGGTACATTTGTTCTTCTGGATTTTCAAGAGGCATTCCTACAACACCAGATTTGCGAAACTTCTTACGCCTGTGAATAGAGGAAAATGGGAGATGAAGGCGATAAATTTGTGGCAATTGATAATATGATTCCTTAAAAAATGAAGGTCGGGTATGATTCAAATTTCGATCAAGTAAATTATTTGCAGAAGCATAGGATATGTTGGTAGGATGTCGAAATCTGTGAGAAGATTCATTTTGATTAGACTTTTCTGATTTCCCATTAATCATATCGATGACTTCAGGGTAATATTGTTCATCAATGGTATTTTTGGTAGTCTTGTTCGTTTTCAAAAGTTTTTTACCAATTGTATCGGCCTTAAATAAAATATTATCATTAACTGTTTGCGGGCGCAATGTTTCCGGACGCAACGGTTCGCCAGGAGCCATTTCTCTATTAGCAACAGTGCTTAAAGATTCTTCCTTATGATCTGGATAAGTTTCAGGAACAATTGTTACAAGTCCTTCTTCATCTTCAGAAATCGAACTAGGCTTGCCATCAGGCCCAATTACATAACGTGTATTTCTTTTTACCTGACTAGGGTATCCATAAATATTTTTCACACTTCGTTTTTTCTTTTTAGGTTTATCATTAGGTAATGATTCCTGAAATGGAAGGGTTTTCGAAGATACAGCATCAAAATGGTTTTGCAAAGCACCTAAAGCACTATCAAATATATGTGGTGTAAACCTTGGTAAAGAGTAATTTAAATTATTCAGTAAAGGATTGGTTTGTGCCTGAAAGTTTTCTGAAGATTGTTGGACTACTGATAAAGATTCAAACCCTGGTGAAGGTTCCATACCGGATGAAGGTTCAAATCCCAACGTAGGTTGAAAGTTAGATGAGGTTGGGAAACCTGACGAAGAGAATTCTGGACTGGGAGACGGAGGTTGTGGGCTTGATGCAGGTGATTCAGAAGTCGGACTAAAAGCTTCATTTATTTCAGGAGGTGGTGATGGGGATTTAAATAAAAGGGGTTCATGCCTTTGAGCATACCGTCGGTGGTTTCTTGAAGGTTTTTTTGTTGGGCTAATAGGTTCTTGTTTAACAATTTTTTCTTCATTTTGAGGCCGAGAAAATGAAGCAGGTGATTCCTGTGAAGAACGAGGCATTGGTGAAGGTGATAATGAGGGGGGTCGAGAAAAATGAGGAGGCGGGGATTGAGATTGTTGCTTTATAGGCTGTGGGGAGTATTCTTTGGGAGCTTGTAAAGAAGGTTCTCGAGAAACATGGGGGAGTGGGAGTACAGATGATGATTGCTGGTTTATAGATGATGGAGAATGATTTTTAAAAGACGGTGGAGATAAAGATTGCTGCTTTATAGGGGTTGGGGAAATTTCTTTAGGAAATGATGATGAAGATGGTTCCCTAGAAGTTGATTCTGATGATGTCTGAGGAAACCCCTTAGCTTGAGAAGCCCAAGAGTTGATATGGGTAAACCGAATAGGAGGTGGGTGAGCCGAAGAACACTCTTGTTCGTCTTGATCCAACTGTAGTTGTTGTGGTTCTACTTTATGCTCTTTATGCGGATGCGGGTGCTGATAATGATTTGGCTGCTGCTGTTGCTGCTGTTGCTGCTGTTGCTGCTGTTCTTGTTGTTCTTGTTTGTAAAATGCCACTCTTGGATCTTCAAAACGTCGCACTGACAGTTGTGGTGAGGTTTGAGTCTGAATTTCAGCTTCATCATTGCTTCCATCTCCAATATTTCGAGCAATGGGAATTTGGAGTCGGATTTTGTTAGGTGACGTTTGATTCCGTGGAGATGTGCCTACAGGTACGCGCAACTGAATGCGTGTACGTGGAATAGAAATGCTAAGAGGGGTAGATGAACCAAGAGGACTTCCTGGTAGTTCATGAGGGTTTGGGTATACTTGAGATAGGGGGGAGCTTGGACGGCTGCGTAAAGAGAATTGGTGGCCATTTGGAGATATGCGGTGTATTGGTTGGTTATATGGGGTTCTATTTAAAGGAGAATGCAAAGGAATAGGAGTGGGTTGGATAATGCGATTTGAAGGTATAGGAGGGGTATTAGATGCAGGAGTATTTTGAAGAGTGTGGATCACACCCGGATTGGTGATATGAGGTGACCCTGATCCAGTTGTATGCTGGCTAATAGGTTGTTCCGGATTAATGGCTGGTGGAGCAGAGTCAAATAAATTATTTAAAGATATATTGTAACCATTAGTTAATACTTGATTAGAAGTTTCTTCATGCTTATCATTATTTTCTTGACGTCTCTGACTGTTTTGAAGCTGTCGCGCCGAGGGCTCCGAGTTGCTAATAATTGAATCCTGTTTCAAAAGAGATAATGACTCGTTTAACCCCGATCCAGACTGTTTAAAAATTACCCGAGTTGGCTTTGGTGGAGAAGAAGCCAGAGTTTCAGAAGAACCAGGAACATCAACACCAGAAGTCAGAGTTGTTGTTATGTCCTTAGAGCTTTTAGAAGAAGAACTGGGAGAGCCATTACGCCGAGTCCTGCGCGTATTTGCCGGTCCAACATTCAAGCTGCTGCTCATAGATACCGCAAGATGTTTGACCGGATGGGATTTTAGTGTTTAGAATGGGGGGTTTTTTGTGGCTATAATGCCAGTTGTGTTGGTTCTAGTGAGCCTTGTTTGTATTTTTTTGGTCAATGGGTTTGGTGATTGTTTATTTTTAATTTTTTTTTTTTTTTGGAAGTTTTCAAAAGAAGAAGAAAAAAAAAATTATTTTTTTAATATATTACACCTATATTACATAATATTGTAACAGACCGTTGCAAAAAAAAAAAGTGTCTTTTAATAAGCTTACTTAAGCCTCTATGACGTAGTCAAAAAGATTCTTAAAAAAAAATCCAAAAGTTCATTTATATCGGACCAAATGATTTCTAAAAGTAGTAAGTTTCTGATGATGATGTAAAATTTCTATAAATACTATATGATTATGATAAAAATACAATGATGATATAAACGTCCGATATATTAATAAATAAATAAAAAAGTAGTGTTGCTGCCGTATGAATGTCAATATCGGAAATAAAAATACAAAAAAAATAAAAATAAAACTGAGTTAAAAATAAAGAGAAAAAAAAAAGTATCCAGCTCATCGCCACGGCCCGCGAGGTTTATTTGTTGGTTCTTTTTTTCATTACTTTTTATGTTTCTATTTGATATTCTCCATCCCTTGAGTTTGAAAGATATAAAGGACTGTCGCAGAGCCGTTGTTAAAAAAAAAAAATTCCGTCGTTGTGTGTTTAAAAAATCCCTTTGTTCTATCGCAGCATCACTCATATATCCTGAGTGCGTCTAATTCGAAGAACCAACTAGGGAAAAGAAAAAAAAAAAGGAAGAAGGATGGAAACCTCTTTTCTAAGGAATTGGAATATTGTCCAGAAAAATTTGGAAGCAAAAGAAAAAAAAAAAAAAGGGGGGGGAACGGTGTTGTAAGATAGTTGAAAGGTGTTTTGGAGGTGTCAAGATACCGTGCTTTGTTCTGTCGCAGCATCACTCAACAAAAGTGCGTCTAAATCGAAAAACAAAAAAAAAAAAAAAAAAAAAAAAGAAGGGCACACCAGTAACTTTTAATAGACCTTAGTTTGTGTAAGGAGGATAAGAATTATTGGGAGGCCTTTTGGAATTCATTGCATATTGATGGTAGTCTTGAGCATTTTGAGGGTAATACCCCACTGCTGGATGTATATTACCTTCATTTTGTCTGATGGAATTGTTATTGGAACCTCCAGCCAAACCAAAAAGTTTAACAATAACTGTAATTATCAAAGCAATCTGGATTAGAGGTTGAATCCAAGAGCGAACCATGCCAAAAAGAAACTTGAAAGAAACATACAAGGCCAAAATAACAAAGGTCCAAGTCAAAAACTTGATCTCTGTGCCAACGTTATGTACATGAGGACCTCCCATAATCTCAGCCATATAGATATTCATCTGGGTGAATGTATCTGGAGGTGCAGGACTACTACCTTTAGGTCCAACCATTGAAATCATACGCTGGCCATAAATTTGTTGTTGTTGGCTTTGCTGGTGCTGCTGAGGATAATAATAGGTTGGATTTCCAGTGTTATAAGTAGTAGTAGTAGTAGTAGTAGTATCGTAAATAGACTGTGGAATAGGCAAGGTACCCTGTCCCAAGACAGATGAAGCATTACTTATAGAAGAAGATGATTTTGACTTATGTAGGTTGCGGTGACTTCTTTTGTGTCTTATCTGCGGATTAAGATCAGCCTCAGAGCGTTTATGAAGACGTTGTAGTTGCTGCTGTTGCTGGTCATTCAACATTGCCTGGGCTCTTGAAGGAGAATGAGATAATGAGCGAGGCTGTTGTGAAGGTTGGTTATTGTTATTGGTTGCAGAAAGATCAGTGCTTGAGCCATGATGGCTACCCTTCTTAATATACAAGCCATAAGTTGAGTATCTAATATGAGCATCTTGATCCTTGGAAGTAGGAGCAGGAGCAGGAGCAGGAGCAGAAGAAGAAGAAGAAGAAGAAGAAGTGGCTCCTTCTTGGGAATTGCTGGGGACTTGGGTAGAAGTCATATGGTTGCGAGAATGGTGAGAAGAGGAAGATGAAGATGAAGATTTGAGTGCAGACTTTTTAGGCAATACAGTGCTGTGATGCGGCTGTTTAGTTACAGTGCTTGTAGTAGCGATTGTTGGGTCTGAGGTGTTTTGAAAAGTCACAAACTTTACGCGTGGTGGATTGGGAGAAGAATTGGACCTTACAGCCTTGGTGCTTATAGATGCAGGCTGTGTGACTAGTTCACTAAAGGTTGCGGCGCTATTCTTTGGGCGCAATCTGTGGTGTGAGGCTACAGGTGCCAACGGTTTAAAGGAGTAAGGGTTATTGATAGCAGCCAGATCTGCATTAGATCTTTTTGTTGGATCATCAGGATCAGATTCTGAATCATCGCTGACAACAGCAACGGAAAGACTACTTCTTTCTTGATTCTGTTTGCGACGTTGTTCACGAAGTTGCAAAGGATCCAAGTGAGTGTAATTGGATTCTGGGGGGTAATGACTTGTATATGAACTGCTGCTGCCTCTACCACTAGTGCTACTAGAATTGTCTGCTGTCGCAGAAAATCCTGAGAAACCTGAGGAAGAATATAAACTACTGTTGAAAGTTGCGGCATCTTGAAAGCTTGGTTGGAACTCATAGGAGGGTCTATGACTAAACTTGGATTTGATGTTGCGAAGAATCTTCTTTTCGATGGATACCCCATAAACATCGTCCCTAGTATAGTGATGAGACCCAGCATATTTACCTTTAGATTTTCGTCGTCTTGATGTTGAAGAAGAGGAAGCTTCTGGCAAAATGGCAGCCACGACAGAGGCACTTGGCATAGCAGCATATCGTGGTTGGCTTGATGAGTGAGATGAGTTGTTGTGATGATAATAGTCGTTGGAGGCCATGGAGGTGCAATATTAAAAGTGATGTAGTGGGAAATGTGTAGAGTTGTTGTTGGTTTGTGAGTTTATAGAGTCAAGAAAGAGAAAGAGAAAAAAAAAAAAAATACAAATACAAATACAAATACAAATAAAAATAAAAAAAATAAAAATACAAATGAAAATGAAAATGAGATCTATTTAATTTCTCGAGAGGAATCATTGGAGTATTTATATTTTTGAAAAGAAAAAAAAAAAAAAAAAAAAAAAAAAAAAAAAAAAGTGTATAATAAAGAAAACTCTTTGTCCCATATTAAGACCATTTAATAACCACTATTTATTATTCACCAACAAAACAACAATAATGTGGCACAGCGGTGCCTATTCAAAACTTTATCCTATGGCCCTAAATAATTTTTTTTTTGTATATATATATATATATATATATATATATATATATATACAAGCTATTTATATTTTTGATTTATTCTCATGAACCTGATCAGGTTCCCTTTTATATTTTTAATAATTATATAATACTGCCCTGTTACTACAATAAACAAACCTCTTCTTTTCCATGGTTCCGCCGAGCGGTAAGCTGCAGATGGGACCTTCCTAATTTTGTTTAAGGATGTTTGTTTCTTTTGGAAGATCAAGATCTTAACCTTTTTTTTTTCTCTCCCCTTAGTAAAAGGCCTTGCTTAGCAAACTTCTCCCCAGACATAAAGGGGAAGACAAAGATTAGACTCGCAACCAACTCTTTTTTTTTTTTTTTTTTTTTTTTTTTACTTTTTACTTTTTACTTTTTATTTTAAACCCTAGTGTGAGCATTATTATTATATATAACTATAGACATTATTTCTCGAGCCATGAGTTATTTTTTTTTTTTCAAAAACCTCATTTGAACTTATCCGGAACATTCGATTTTGGATAAAAAAAAAATATAAATAAATAGAAATAAAATAGAAAAGAGTAATAATACCGTATTTAGTTTATTAATATTTCAATTATGATATCAAAAAAAAAAAAAAAAAAAAATTCCATTGTATGAGCTTAAAAGTTGCCATTATAATCAAATGAGGTCGGTGTAACCTCTTCTTTGGTCTAAAATGAGGATTTTCGCTAAAATAAATTTAGACAAAAAGCCATTGACATTAAACGCCTTCAATGGAATTTCACTATATTCGATTGAAGGCAAATTAAAAAAAAGATATTTAGTTAGTTGTTGAGTTGTTTGATTCTTTAATTGTTTTGTTATTTGCAAGAAGTTAAAATTTAAGTCAATTGCTATCAGGACCTCATCTTACTCATGTTAAAGATGGGATCAATTATCGGTTATTCTACTTATATGTCAATTGATGAGAAAGATTAACAATAATTTATCGTTTACAAAGAATTTATTTAATTTTTTTATTTATAATTTTTGTTTTATTTGGGGGAGAGGGTGTAAATGATTATTTTTCTTAGTCGTTTGTGTGAAAATTGTTCTTTCAATCAATCAATCGATCAATCAATTTCCTTTAGCAACCAAGTCAAAGACAAAAACGAAGAAACCGTTGTGCTCATGTGAGCAAATCTCAACACCCACATGCACCAGTCTTATTTGACATACACACATACACACTCCCATCTGATTTGAGGCACGGCTACAACAATCTTTAAAATAAATTTGAATGCGGAGAGAACTGGGCATATAAAAAAAAAATTAAAAATTAAAAATAAAAATAAAAATAAAGTCCTTGTTCTTTTATAACCCATGAGTAATATAAGAAAGAAAATTTGTGTAATTTTTTTAATGAGATATTTTTGGATTTTAAATTTTTTTTTTTATTTTTTTTATTTTTTTTATTTTTTTTATTTTTTTTATTTTTTTTATTTTTAATTCTAATTAACAATAACAATAACATAAATTTTTTTTTTTTTTTCTGTTTCTCTTTAGATGAAATGTGACGCAAGCTCAAATGATTTGAATTCTTTTTTTCTCACTTACTTACATATTCTTTTTAAAGCGTTTGCAGCGCAATCTAAAGTCAAAAATTAAAAAAAAAAATAAATAAATAAAATAAGAGAAATGCGTGATAAAGCTAGCTTTCTTTCGGTTATCAATCTACCCGTCATTAACCTGACTCATTATCCGAACTGGAATTTTTAACGATAAACGTAGAATAAATAATTCTTAAAATATTGTTAACAATATATTAACAATATATATAACTAACGTTAATTCATTTATTGCTAGGGAAAAAAAAATATCACTCCCTCTTGATGTCACGATGGTATCACCAGTTTTTTTTTTTTTTTTTTTTTTTTTTCTTCCTTTCCATCTTCTCTCAAAACATAAAATACGACATATATATTCTCTTTCTTGCTTTCGACATGTCTTAAACAAAAGAACAGTGGAACCTCAAAAAGTCGTCACTACCTCTTTAGGAATAAATGTAATAGATACTAAAAGATAATTAAAAAAAAAAAAAAAAAAAGGTTAAATTGATGTATAAATGCATAAAGTACTAATTATTGTTGATGTCATTAAAAAAAAAAAAAAAAAAAAAAGGTGAAATACCCACAATCGTATACTTTTTTTTTTTATCAGGTTTTTAAAAACAGCAATATTGAGTCGATGGTGGATATGACATTGCATTGATGTTTTTGCAACTCCTTTTTACTTCAAATTCGTTCCATATGATGACTATAAAAAAAAAATGACGCTACTTCATCATTGAAATCTACCGTTTTATGCTTGTCTTTAATCTTCTTTCATTACCATTTTCATCGTTTTTTTTTCTCCTAAGGAATAGTACAATACTTGACTTTAAAATTAAAATTAAAATTAAAAATAAAAATAAAAATAAAACTTGACTCTTTTTTTATCATTAAATATAAAACAAACATACAGAATGTTTAAAGGAGTAATCAAATTTTTTTTTTCTATTTGTCCAATTGACTTAATCGTCCAAAAGAAAAACAAGTCTTCGAACAACGTTTAATTTTTTTTATTTAATTATCCATATATATCTATCTTTATTTAAAATATGGGGAATAAAAAATTCTTTTTTTTTCCCCTCCCATTTCTGTTCGTTTAATTAAGCATTTTAACAAATCGGGGAAAATGGAAAAAACAATAATCCATTTTCTTCTACACATAATAAAATACCCCACGTTTCTCTAAAAACTCCACAGATTCCCTCCCCCATAGAAAAATAAAACTCTCCAAATTTATTATCAAATAACCAATCTTTGCAACTATTTTAAATATATTTTTTAATAAATTTTAAAAGTAATTTTCTTTCCACCCATCGTTCTGAGTAAATGTTGCACTTTAATTTTTTTTTTTTTTTAAAATGTAAGTTTCTTGCTTCTCGTGAAAACCCTAAATACTTACTACACTATAGTGTAGCAAAGTTTATAACCTTATTAGCAAATAAAGTAAATGATGAGCTCTGAGCGAGAAGAGATGAAGAAAAAAAATTAAAAATTAAAATAGTATATGTGCATGTGTTGAAGCAATATAATTCTAATTTTAAAAAAAATAAATATATAGAAAGAGATGAGAATCAAAGTGTTTTTTTTTTTTTTTTTTTGAATATTGAAATTGAAGTGATTTTTCAGTCCAAAAGGTTTGATCTAACCATCCTTCTTTCCGCTATCGATACATATATTCTGCGCAGAATGCTGTGTTTACAAGATTATTAATACCAATGTGGAGAGAAAAAAAAAAATAGGAGATAATTTTTATGTAAGGCAATTTTTTTTATTATTATTCAAAAATTTTAAAAGTATTTTCCTCAATTATTTCAGAAGGCTTTCAATATAAAGCAATCTTAATTATTTTTGTAATTAATATTGCAATTTTCTTGAACAACCTTCATCGTACCCATGTTGATTAGGTGATGATCAAAGTGGTAGTAGGTACTATTGCAGATTTAAGCTCTGATAATAACTTCAGGCTCAGCAGTTGCCACCATTAAGAAAAAGAGGCAATCATGTTTCTTGCCATTTTATTCGTAATATTGGAATCGTTTTCCTTTTTTTTTTGATTAAAGAATCTTTGAAATATTTTAAAGTCTCATCCATCCCTGTAAAAAACAGGATTTTTGCTTTAGACTCTTTTATTTTTCTTCTGTGTTTCCAGATTCTCAAAAACCATACTATCATTCTTACAAAATTAACTCAGCTTCAATTGCAACGTTGATAAATTATTTTCTTGCAAACTCTTATACCACTCTCTCCCTCTATATATATATCTCTTTTTTCCCCTTGAAAGGTTATATTGCTTTATACTTCAAGTTATAATGTCTACTCTTGCTGCCTAGAAATATATCCACAGCAACATTGAAACCTGTACATATGACCAACGTATGAATGGTTACGCCTGGTTTTAATTCTGTGATTCGTAATCTCAGCCACTTTCTTGTCTTTTCTCCTTCATTTTCATAATTGCCGAGTGATTGTAACTCAATCTAAAGGGTTTCTTAGGGCTTGGCCAAAAATTTATTGTCACTCATTGTGCCGTAGAGACCAGCTTTTATTATTATTATTATTATTATTATTATTATTATTATTATTATTATTATTATTATTATTATTATTATTATTATTATTATTATTATTATTATTATTATTATTATTATTATTATTATTATTATTATTATTATTATTATTATTTTAAATGTAACCCCAAATTTTGGTTCTTCCATGCATGCAAGGCACATAGAAACAAAAATAAAGATGTGAATTACTAACTCTTTTTCATTTTTTTTTTCTCTTAGGGCTAAAGAATGCCGGATACAAGAATGAAAGTTGTCTTTTGCAACCATTCAATGGTATCAGGCAGTTGTGTAGAAGGGAAAAGAGGAAGGCGTAAAAAATTGCCTCTATTAAAGATCTTGGCTAATTATTTATTAATTATAACAGCTTATAAGCTATTAACTGGTGCCAAAAATTAAATAGTAATTAAGAAGAAATATTTTTTATTGTTTCGTACATTACTACTCATACAAACATGTATTAAAGCAGTGCGTTTGAAAATATTTTTAGAAAAAACATACATCTATTTCTATATTCTTTTTTTTTTTTGCTTAAAACAAATTAAGAGTACAGTCAATCTTGCGTCGTCATCGTTGTACGCATAGTAATTCCAGATCAAATGGAATCTCAGTTTTGCAGGATATGTTTTTTTTTTTTTTTTTTTTTTTTTCAGGAAATGTCAAATGTCTTTCCCTCACCTTGTGCGACTTACTTTAACTAAACGGTACTTGCAACAACAGTTTCAGTATATCCCTTTAAACAAAAAGTAATTAAAGAAAAGTACCATATAGAAGCAGAAAAGATTTTTTTTTCTTTTTTTTTAAAAAAAAAAAAAAAAAAAGCTTTAGAAGCATGCGGCATTGTTACAGTTGTATAAACTCTATCCGGAAACGAGATGGAGAAGAGAAGTGCCTCCCATCTCCGAGAAGACATCGGCCAGTAAACCATAAAAGCTACTTTCCTCTGTTTCTCCTTTTTTTTTTTTATTTATTTTTTTCATTTATTTTTTATAGTTTATTTTTTTTAACAGTAGCGAAATGATTTACTATTTTAAAAAAAAAAAAATTTGCTTATACACACACTGCCTGAATACTAGATAATGCCAACCCAAAAATCTATTATTTTCAAAATGATGATAAACTCTAATATTCTTCATACTTCTAAGCTTTATTTTTATTTTTATTTTTAATTGTATTTTTAAGAATAAAGGCTTGGAAAATATATATTTTAATATTTGTATTACATTGAAAATAATCTCTAAAAAAAGTAATAATAATAATAATATTCATTTTTTTTTTCCTTCATTTGAAAATCTTTTAATCGTGGCATATATTATTTACTTTCATCATACAATCAAATTGCTCAATAAAAACATTCACCCTCAATCTTATTGTATAACTGCTTGGAAATTTTTCTTTTCATTTGTATACCTTGCTCATTTTTTCCCATTTTTTTTATCTTCCCAGCACGTTGACTATATCGCATTGAAGGCGGGAAGTCGATTGTAAGCTTCTCGTCTTGAAAAAATTTATATTTTTTTCCCAATCTATGCAGTATGAATTGACTGATTAAATGAAAAAAAGAAGAAAAGTATAGGTTTATAAAAAAAAAATAAATAAAATGCTCATAGCACTGTTGAATAAGACCATATGGTAAGTAAAATACGCTTCATAACGTGCTAACCTTCTTTTTTTTTGTTTTTTTTTTCTTCCATCTTTTTTTTTTTAATTTTTTAAATAAATAATATTGGGAAATAATATTTAAAATAATATTCAAAATAATAAATATTTTTTCTTACGGGAAGTTTCAAACCTTTGATTATAATAATAACCCATTTAAAGAGTATAAAATTATAATTATTATAATTTCGTACTCTTCAAATTTTTGCTTTTTTTTTCCCCTTTTAATTTTTTAATTTTTTTTTTCAAGTTTTTTTATACAAAAGGTGATTTTTCATCTAAAATGTTTTCTAAAAAATGTGCCCTCAATTTTTTGGTTTTTTTGTATTCAAAAAAAAAAAAAAATCAAAAAATCATATTTCCTTTTTCCTTTTTCTACTTTATACTTGTTAAATTTAAAATAAAATATTCCGAGACATTTCCCATCTTCTTTGCATCCCACTTTTTCCCTGTTTCTTTTCTCTTTTCTTCCCCCTTCTGTTTCTTATTCATTACCTCTCTCTAATGATGACGATGTTGACTCTAAAAGATTCAGTTTTTTTTTGTTTGTCTCATCAGATTATTTTTTACGTTGCTGTTTTTCCCCCTTTTTTTGAACCTTCTTATTTTTATTTTTTTTTTTTTTTGCACAATCACATTATGCGTACAGTATACGCGGTAAAATAAAACAAATATCCTGTTTTTTTCTTTTTTTTTTTTTCACAAAGTAATGTTTATTTTGTTTACTTTTTTTTTATTCCTGTCTTTCTTTCTTTCTTGTTTCTTTTTTGTTTTGCCTTTTTTTTTTAAGGGTGAGATGAGATGAGATGACCTGCAATGTTATGCAAAACAAAAGGTATACATTAACTTTTAAAAGATTCTATTTGAATACTTTGCAAAAGATTTTCAAAATAAGTATTAATAAAAAAATTTTTACTTCAACCTTTTGAAAGTCATACATGTATATTGCAGTGCAAAACTTCCTCAAATAGTCTTCTTCAACTTGATCAAAAGTTTACCAAATAATTACAGTTTTATTTTTTCTATTTCTTCGCCCCTGTTTTTTCTCATAATATTTATATCGTGATGATTTGATCATCTGAGAAATATAATTAAAAAAGCAGTGTATCAGACATACAAAATGTCTCTTTTGTCATACTGTTTAAAGAGAGAGGGGGAAAAAATATAATATAAATTAACCATTATATCCAATTTATGACTTTTACAAAAATTATACCCAAAACCATACACAAATTATCACCCTATAATACCAGCAATTATTTCAATTCATTGTTACTTTATTAATATTGCTTCGCACTTTCTCTCTGATACCTCAGTTGCCAATTTCTCATGAAAAACGCCCATACTGTGCTTGCAATCACAACATTAATAAGAAACATATCCATGCTTTTCAAGAGTCCAAACTTTGCAAACAAATTAACCAAAAAGTCAAGCGAAATGAAAAAAATCATAAACTGAGCAGTCACCTGTAATAAGGGTGGTGCATTGTTGAGCTTAGCATATTTTGAGGCAACGCGCATAGCAATATTTTTCACTTTGGCTAAAAGCGAGCTAATAATGATTGCAGTAGTCAACGTTGTCGCAGTTGGGTTACTACTTGGGAAATGAGGCTCAAAGATTCTCTGAGGCAGCAACAAAGGCGATCCGGCACGTTGATAGCATTGCAATTGAGACTGTGACATGAGACTCTGCTGTTGTTGCTGTTGTTGCTGCTGATGCTGCTGATGCTGCTGATGCTGCCACAATTCTGTCCGGATCGTTTCTTCCTCGGGTTCTTTATCATCGGTAAAAATCTGGCGTTCTCCGAATATGTTTTTTTTGCGCGAAATGCTCAAAGTTAATTCCATGCTAGAGTTGAAGATTTGGCCCGGAGACGGAATACGAATAACACCCGGCTCGGAGTGATCATCCGTATTCTGTTGCAGAATCGATAAATCTGATTGAATATGTTGTTGTTGCAGCTGTTGCTGCTGGGCCTTAACTCTACTTGCCCGCATCCGAAGAGGAATCTTTGGTTGTTCCAAAGCAATGCTAGTACCACTACTATTGCTGCTGCTGCTGCTACTTCCTCCTCCATTGCTACTGCTTCCACTGCTACTACTCTCGCTACTGCTGCAACTACTATGGCTGCTTCCTGCTGAAATGCTCCCAGCATTGCTTACACGACGTTTTGGGTAGGTCGAGTAGAGATTTGACATTTCCTGGTTACTTGCAGTGGAGCTAGAAACACGCGATGGGATGGGTGGCTGGGGGTATCCTGGCCAGGTGTTCCCGTACATGGGTAAAATTGGTGACTGAGGTGTGGCAGCAGGGGGGGTCCCATAAACCGTTGGTGCAGAGTAAGGCTTGTAGAAAGTTGGGTTTTGATGCATGGGTTGTGGAGGATAATAGGAAGTGTGGCTCCCATAGACATAATTGGCATTGACATGGTTTGTTTGGATTGGATGCAGGTACACCTGTTGTTGTTGTGGAGGTGGAAACAAGTGCTGGGGTTGTTGCGGCTGTTGTTGAAGTGGCTGTTGCTGAGTAGGATAATAAGAGTACTGTTGTCTATTGTCTTGTGAATATGGAAGCAGTGGAACCATGTTATGAGGAGAAATGGTTTGTAAATATGTGTTTTGATGTGATGAAGAAGCAGGAAGAGAAAATGTTGGGCTAATACTCTCTGGTAGATGAATTTTCTTTTCTAACGTATCTTCGGAAAACTCTTTTGAAGGGAACAATGTCGAACTTTGACGGAGAGAAGATTTGATTTCAGAAGGCGACACGGCAATGGAGTGGCGATTTCTTTTAGCTCGGGCTTTGTCAGCGCTAGTTGATTCAAAGTGAACTGTTTTACTAGGTCTTCTAGAGGAAGTAGTAGACAAGGAGGAGGATATGGAAGAATTTGCAGTGCTAGGAGACTCAAATGCAGTGTTCAGGCTGGGGTATGAATAGAAGTTTTTGGTGTTTTTAAGAGGAATCGTTCCTAACGAGCTGGACCTTTTATGCTGGGGAATCTGTGGAGCAGATACCGTACGTCCAGGTGAGTAAGGAGGGAAAGAATATTCTGTTGACTTGGCACTACGTCGGTGATGATGGTAATTTTGGATCTGACGTTTAGGTTCAGAGCCTAGTATGAGAGGTTAGATTTCCATTTTAGTTTTGTCTTTTTACTTTATTTTATTTTATCGTTATTTATTTTTTAAAATGACGGACATTATTTCGGAAGATATCTTAAAAGAGTTCTTTTTATTGATACGATACGATATATAGAGATATATAGTCACGTTATGTAGGTACACGATAACTTACCATTAGATGGATCTGTAAGGGGCATGTATGTAGGAGCGGTGGAAGATGGCCGGTCGGGGATGTTTTTCGAAGCAAGTTTATGATTCCCTGACCAACGTCTCGAGGACTTTTCCACATAACCATGAGGGTCCATTTAATGCAATTGAAGTCTAGTAGTGGATTTAGAGAGTGGATGGAAGGATGGAAGGATGGAAGGATAGGTGAAGGTATATGTAAAAAAAAAAAAAGATGTATATGTTTCCTTATGAGCTCAAAAGAAAAAAGAAAAAGAGGATAAGACCGCAAGAATCTTTGTATAAGATTTTTTTTTGGCTTTTGTCCTTGTACTAATAGTTTAACTTCTTGACTGACTGTACTACACGTGAAAGTAGTATACATTCTCAGTGCGGATGTGGGATAGTTTCTTAAACAAACAGATTTAGTTGGGCCTTTCTTTTCTCAGAGCTTTTTTTTAGCACATTTTCTATGGTAAAATAGAATTTTGGCTTTTTTTTTTGTATCTCGTCTTATTTGCCAACTCCTAAAGAACTAGAAACATGTTTCTTTTTTGGTAATTTAAATTCAAACCGTGCAACTGTACTGTCGTTTTTTTTTAACCAAAATCAATACTCTCTTTCTCTCTCTTTTCTAGCTTGTGTTTTTCATATCGTTATATATATATATCAGTTGATTTTATTGGTATTTTTTTTTATTCTTTTTATTTTTTATATTTTTTTTAAAAAAAAAAATAAATATCAACAAATAAAATTTCAAAATGTTGCATCAGCAGTAGCTTCATCAGTTGTGATAGTAACATTATTGGTAAAAAGATCTTCGTTAGAAAAGGTCCTTACATCGTTGGAAAAGCTTAACTTTAGAATTCCGCCTTACACAAATTAAAAATAGAAACTAGGACCTTTTTTTTTCTTGTTTATTACTCAATTGTTTATTTTTTCTTCTTTCATTTTTTTTTTTCATTTTTTCCATTGTGCTTAGAAATTCTTTGAAAGATAATACGATAGTCGTTTAATAGAAGCAAAAAGGGCTACGTGACAAAGTTGAAAAATTTTAAAAACAAGATTAAAAGAACGGTTGGATGACGTTTTATGAGATTTAATTTTATCGTTTGATCTGGGAAAAAGATAGATTTAACTAATTTGTTTTTTTTTTATAAAAAAAAAATCTCTGGTATATATAAATCATGTCAGTGCACATACATCATGCTTGGAAAAAAAAAATTTTTTTTGTTTCAAAGAAAAAATTGAAAAGAAACTTGAAAAGTTTAATTTGATGAAAAAAAGTAAAAAATAAAAATAAAAATAAAAATAAAAAAAAAATGTTCTGAGCACGCGCTACACGCGCAGAAGAAACGCGACAAGTATTTTTTTTGAAATTGGGTATAAAAATATACATCTTCCTTAATGGGACAGAAGAAAACAACTGGGATAGGGAATAAGGCAAGGTATCATGTAAGGGAGAGTACAAACTGTTTCAAAAGTAGGTTCGTTTAAGTTTTGAGAACGTGCATAGGGAGGTGGGGGAGAAACAAGGGTATTTTATCCCGAAAAAAAAAAAAAAATATATATATATATATAAGATATTATTGTGACGTTAACGATGAGTATTTTGTATAAATATTTATATATAAATTAACGTTTGTTCCTGAAAGATAGAATCATTATGATTTTTTTTGGAAAGAAAATGGTATATTTATATAAATATAAGTGAGTGGAGGTTTATTTGTTTGTTTGTTTTTTTTTTTTTTAATTAATTAATTTTTTTTGATAGAGACTACTGGACTTTTGCAAATGTAACAAACAAAAATTCAAATATATATTACGTAAATATTATTCATCATGATGTCATTGATAGTTGGAGAAAAGTCACCACAGCCATATACCCATACAAAGCTTGCCCATTTTTTTTTTTTTTTTTTTTTTGCTGTTGGAAATGAAATAAAATAAACAAAATCCCTATGTGAGCTCAGTGCCTTGTATATAAATTTATAAATATTTAAAGAGAAACTTACATTATTCTGATCTTCTTTATCTCTTTAACGAATAACTTGATCATTTGATTTAATTATTCTTTTCTTTGTGGTTTATTGCGTAGTTATTATTCGTAGTTTACACCAGTTGCTGTTTTATATATATACATACCCCTCCCAACACTTATCCTTACTTTGATTGCTACGAAAGAAGCCAAAGAACGGTAACTTTAAAAACAAACAAACAAACAAAAAATCATTCAAATTGAGTTCCTTTTTTTTTTTTTTTTTTTTTCTGATTACTCTTTTTTTTATATTTATTTACCTTCATTCTTCTTTTTTTTTTTCTTCATCTCACAATACTTATCGGTAATCAATTAATTTTTCAAATAAAAATGAGCCAAAGTCAAAATAATACAAAAACTACCTCCGAGTCAACAGTCGTAAAGACAATGTGGGGTCAAGCAGTGGCAAGCACAGAAACACCAATTCCTGCATGGTCTTTTGCTGTAGGCTGTAAGTTGATTTGAATTGATTTAATTTGATTTGTGTTTATGATTAGACCATATGACTGATAAGAAATGACAGTATGGTTGGCGTTCCCTAAAGCAACTCAAAATAAAGCTTTCAGACCAGGAACAAAGGGCATTGTTGGGTTCAGCTTGGCTCAAATTTTGGGAGGTTAGTTGATTCAGTTTATGTCGGAAAATTCTAACTGAAATGTTTTAGGATATATGATTTATGATGATGATTTGATCAACGGTGCAGGCTTTTCTTCAGGTATTTATTAATTTTTTTTCCGCTTATAAGTATGATATTTTAACATTTAAACAGTCTGGAGTGCTTTATACTTGTTGGCTTATGGTAGACCAGCCGTCAAGAGCGTGCGACCGTTACCTCTTGGTCTTGCAGCGATGGCTGGGTTTAACGCAGTATACTATGGCCGTCACTTTTTCTTCCCCAAGAATCGAGCATCTCTACCAGAAAATGGTGGTATTTAATTGATTTAAAAAGAATCAAAACAAAGACATTATCAATGATAATAGCATAGCATAGTAATATATATACTTTTAAAAAAAATAATAATAATAATAATAATAATGGTATTAATAATTAAAAGATGAGAATGACTGAGATATATATATATATATATATATATATATTCGTGTAAATTGCTATTTTATCATGCGCGGCTAGAATACAAGGTTGATGTTGACGGCAGCCTATTTGATGTTGTGTGTGTACAGTTGTGGTTGCTTTTTTTTTTTTTTTTTTTTTTTTGACTGAGTCAAACGATAGTCTTTTGTTTTTTTTTTTAATTTTTTTAATTTTTTTAATTTTTTTAATTTTTTTAATTTTTTCTACACTGCCACCCTATTTGTGAACAAAACACAATCTTTAAGCTTTGCTGAAATTCCTCCTCCCAAAAAAAAAAATTTAAAAAAAAGAAACAATTCAGCGGCATTTTTTTTTCTTGTCGTCTTAAATAATTTGGCTTTCATCTTTTTTTTTTTTTTGGTTTTTTGTTCCTTGTAGATATTTTTCTCTTGCTTATTTTTCATTAATATATTAAAAGAATATATTCTTATTCTGGCTGTTGTTTTAATCCATCAAAAAAGGATTATTATTTTTTTTTTTTGTTCCACACATCACTCTATTGTTTACTTTTTTTTTTTCTTTCTTTAATTAGTTATGTCTGGAAAAATCGACTGTAAGTATGAATTTAATGTCTTTTTTTTTTTTTTTTTTTTTTTGCTATACTTTCGAATGAACTGTCGACTAACTTTTTCATTTTTTTTTTTTTTTTTTTTTTTTTTCAAAAAGTGGGGAGTCTTACGAACGCTACGTTTACATCAGGAGACACCATCAAAGGTGTATTAAAGCTCCGGTTTGAATCTGCAGAGACGGTTCGCAATATTCAACTTAAGCTAGAAGGTGTTGCCTTTTCACGAACACCCATTCCTCAAGATGAAGAAGACCGTCGACGAAGGCGTAAAGAAAACTATGCCATTGAGATCCACAAATTCCTTTACCTTACAGAAACCGTGTTCCCACCCCGGGCTGTAGATGAAGCCTCCTCGTCCCACCAGTTTACTCTACCGGCTGGTGAGCACCAGTACCCGTTTTCTTTTAAGATTCCAAATAACGCAGACTGCGATCGTGTCAAGCAACCTGGATCGTTGTCTTTATCGCGACTTGTGATTGATAGCAGTGGCATTGACTATGCACGTGAGGCCTCGGGACATGTGCGCGGCCCTCTACCACCGGCACTTTCAGACATGTCACAGATTGCTTCGGTACGATACTTTTTAAAGGCAACTGTTAATAGAACTTCATTTCTTAAGGTCAACTTGCGCATATATCAGCCGTTTATTTACATTTCACCTGATCGAATTGATCCCAACGTTGGCATGAATGAAATTCGTTATGCGCGCAGACAAATTTCATTGCCCCTGAATGGAACAACTGCTTTGGCTCAGCAGCAACAACAACAGCAACAACAGCAGCAACAAAAGGGGTTTCTTAAGTCACTGTTTTCGTCTGGACCCAGTACACCTGCGGTGCCCAGTCTTAATATTATGTTTGACATGAGGTTCCCTACGTACATAAATCCGACGAGGGAGCTTCCGCTGCGGCTGTTTGTGATGCACTTGAAGCCTCCCAGCAAGTCAGCTGCTACTTCTGGTAACGCGCCAACCATTATTCTGGATGATTTGATCATTAAGTTATATGCCATCACCGACACACGGTCGCAGGCGTATGCCAAGCGACATACGCATTCCATCACGTTGATGAATCAAACTAATATGAAGATTGCGTTGCCTGGATCTGAGTTTTCTCCAGCAACAGTGCCCAAGCTAGGACAGGTCTGGGAGGCTGAACTTCCCTCCGGCATTTGGGAGAAGGTGAGGATTCCTGATTCTGTTGCACCTAGCTTTAATACTTGTAACATTGCTCGGAGCTATTCTTTGGAAGTTGTTGCTGGGTTTTCTTCAGCAAGTGGTAGTGGTGGCGGCAGCAGCAGCAGCAGCAGCAGCAACAGCAGCAACGGGGGCAGCCATGGGTCTTCTTCTGCGGCTCAATATGTTTCTGTGATTGGTGACATTAAGATTTTGGCAGGTATCACGTCTAAAGATTGGTCCGCGCCGCCTCCAAAACCCCCACGGCCTGCAACGGCAGCTACAAACGTAGACCCTGAAGCTGGGACTGATGCACCGCCACCATCTTACAATGAAGTTATTCGGGACGAATTGGGGCAGCCGTCTGAGCGACGTACATTCCAGCAATCTACGGAATATTATTCAAATCTGGAGTCATTAGATACAGACACAAAGCATTGATTATTATTATTATTATTATTATTATTATTATTATTATTATTATTATTATTATTATTATATTTAGCATTGAAAATAAATTTTTGTTAAAAAAAAAAAGAAAATGAAGCAAACAATCATCATCATAACACAGAATAGTAGAATTATAAATATATATATATATTAATTAAAAGACATATTTTTTTTAGTCAGTTGCTGGAGGAGTAGAGGGCTTAGATGCAGAGGGAGATGAGGGTTTGGAAACATCAGGAGTGGTAGGTTTTGAGAAATGTCCGTTATCAATCTTAGCCACCCATCTAGGTTCAATGACGAGAGCTTCACCTGAGACGCATGTCTTGGCTGTATATGGAGTTTCTGAGGATTCATCTCCACTCTGGACGACAGAAATGGTGCCCTTTATGGTAGCTTTACGTCCGTCAACTTTGATGCACCGGGCATGCAGTGCCACAATGGAGTTTGAGGGAGTTGGTGCAAGATACTTGATGTTGAGGGAACCAGTGACGCCGAGGCCATTAGGGAGACATGGGAAGCCACATCTGCAGAGACTTTCATCCATAAGGGTGGCCAATAGACCTCCGTGGATCAAGCCCTGATGACCGCAAAGTTTTTCACCGAGGTGATAGAAGACTATTATTTCATTATACAATTGATCATTTTCTTCATCTTCTGAAATGGGTCCATCGTTGTAGCCAGGAATCACTGGAGACTTTGGACGTGGAGCCAAAGCTTTTTGACCTGGAGAACGCCGCGCAACAAGAGTGAGAGGAGTGTGTGCAATCATTTTGGGGCCAGCCAAAGTTCCAGCTGTTAGAGAGTATTCAGCTTGCTCCTCGGGGAGATCGTAAGGATGCTCGATATCAAACCGACCCAGAGCCAGTAAGGCCTTTGTGTAAGGATGTGTGGCAATGGTGTCATACTCTTCTGAGTAAGTTGCTTCGAGGGCTGGCTTAATTGAAGATGTAGATGGTTTTCTATTGAGATGATTGTGGGTCATGGGGGGAGTTATTGGGATAGCGGTAGTCATTTTGTGAGGATGTGGGGTATGTTATAAATGCGTAAATGTGTAAATGCGTAAATGCGAGAATATGGGATTAGGGATGGATAATTGATTTGGTATAGCTTGTATAGTGGTATGAATAGTAAGACGATTTGATTTAATAGTAATAGTAATAATAGTAATAAATAATTAAGAAAAAAAAAAGATTTATATATACATATAAATTTCAATTCATGGGAAAATTCTCGAGTATTTATATATTTGTTTCAAAAGGCAAGCGAGACAATATATAGGAGAATTAGCCGTAAAGATTAAGAAAAAAAAAAAAAAGATCAACAGTGATATGATACTAATAGTACTAATAATAAAGATCATTATTATTATTATTATTATTATTATTATTATTATTATTATTATTATTATTATTATTATTATTATTATTATTATTATCAGAAAGGGACAGCCAGCCAGCATTAAATTATCAAAAGTCCCAACAAAATGAAAAACTCAGCAAAGAGTACAATTTCCCGTATTCGGCGACCGGACGCCGGTCCTGAATGATATTTTATTTTTTTATATAAATAAAATTAAAAATAAAAATAAATAAAAAAAAGAAAAAAAAAAAAGAGGGGTGCATATTAATGTATATTTTATTATTATTACTCAAGTTATGGAATTACTCTAAAAAATACTGAATTTTTTTTTTTTTTTTTTGATATGATAGATTTGTTACTCTTGAAGGTATATATTTTAGCATTTAACCAAAAAAAACCAAAAAAAATTGTTGAAGAAAGGCTTATTTTTAAATTTTTTTTTTTTTTTTTTTTTTTTTAATTATTTTCAAATCATTGACTTACAAAATCGGAGGACCGAGTGAGGGTGCCCGTCTGATTTTTAGAAACTTAATAGAGTCTTTAAGTTAAGCTACGGCTGGGACGGTCTTATTATGTGGGAAAGTACAACAATAGCCGTACGTACAGTAATAAGTTACGTAAGATGACATGGCAGTTTCCCGCAGGAAAAGTCCGGCGTGGGGTGCCAGCAGCTCCGAAGAAGAAGAATAAGAAAAAACAGAAGAAGAAGAAGAAGAAGAAGAAGAAGAAGAAGAAGGAAAAACTTTTTGTGCTATGTGTATGAAAGAGGGGAGAAATATATAGGGGTAGCGGCATTAAGACAAGATGATTTTAAGATATTCCGGAAGATTTGTTAAATATAAATTATTTTTCTATATTATTATTATTAACAAACTTGAATGCCTTTTTTATTTATTTTTTTTTTTTTTAAAGTTGATATAGAATATATATGTTGTTGATATTGATGTCTATGATTATAAACATTGTTTGTTATATTGACCTTTTTTTTTTTATTTATTTTGAATTTAACGACTTTTAAATAACAGCTTACAGACTACATATTTAATATAAATGCCTGGTTATTATTATTTATTTATTTTATTTATTTATTTATTTATTTATTTATTTATTTATTTATTTATTTATTTATTTATTTATTTATTTAATTAATTTTTTTTTTGGTCTGTTCTTCCCTCTGCCCGTGGATATATCTTTTTTCTAAACATAGTTTTTTGCGCCGCACAGACCTTAAAAGGGGAAACTTCTTATAAAATATTTTTAGCTACCCACCTATTTCAATCGGCATTGACAAAACCTATGATTAAAACAGATTCCAAAAAATAAATAAAAAAAAAATAAAACGAGAACCAGCGGGTTAATTTTAAAAGCGAAAGAGCGAAGAAAAAAAAAAAATAAATAAAAAGAATTATATATATATGATATCTATCGGCAATTGATAAAAAAAAAAAAAAAAAAAACTTTGGTATTTCTAATTAATATCAAATATCTTTAATTTGAATTATTATGGCTACAAAATTTAAGACCCCACGTTTTTACGTTTCTACGTTTCAATGTTATTACAACTACTACTACTATTACTTGTCCGTAAATCGGCCCAGGATTGACGTGCTTGTATATATATAGAATTATAATTAAGTGTGTGCCAACATTAACATTGGCATTGTAGGCGTTAACAGTTTAGACTTTTTCTTGTTTAACAAAAAAAAAAAAAAAAAAAAAAACAAATTTTCTAAACTTTTTCAAGGCCAACGCACCCAACAAAAGTCCGAAAGTGCGCTCGGTTAGGAAAATTTTATTTTTTATTTATTTTTTATTTATTTTTTATTTATTTTTTATTTTTTTTTATTTTTTACTCAGCCCCATCCCTTGCTTACAGCCACACGCGTATATCGTGGTCTAGGAATTATATATATATATATAATATTTTTATTTTATTATTATATAAAAATGAAATAAAATAAAATGAAACAAAATAAAATAAAATCTTTTATCCGAATTGAAAAGGAAAAGGAAAAGGAAAATGAAAAAAAAAAAAAAAAAAATGGGCTTTAGAGACTTCCGAGTGAATTAAAATGGTGATAATTATGAGATTGATTTAAAGAATCTCATGGAATAACAAGAAAAACTAGAGAGGCATTTTTTTAATTTCTCAAGAAAAGAAATACTTTAACATCATTCATTTTGGTATATATTCATGAAATACTGACATTTTGGTACATGATATCATGATATCATGATATGATTCGGAAATTATTATTATGGTATTTGTGAACTTTACAAACAAATATTGTTACCGTCTCCACCTCCTATCTATATATATTTGCCTAAAGTCAGCATACTTTTTTAAACTACGTAGGTATGAGGTTTCAATCTTCTTCTCTTTTTTTTTTTTTTTTTTTTTTTTATCAATTTCAATTACTTGATAAACTTTCAATTAGGGCAGAGTTGGTTCTTCTTTTATTTTATTTTTTATTTTATTAAATTTTTTTTTTATCTTATAATCTAAATGTATAGACAAACAGAAACCGGTTTTTGCTCGGTCCGTGGTACTGAACAACAAATAAAGAGAGGAGGGGAGGGGAGGTCAAGAATAAAAAAAAAAAAATTAAAAATTAAAAAAAAAATTAAAAGTCATTCTTAAATTTGACATGATACTAGGACCTCGTTTTGTCAAATGCGGGGATAAATGATGAAACTGGGAGATACCATATGAGATACCATATGAGATACCTTGTATGAGATACCTTGAAATATACAAGAAACGGCAATAGTTTTACCGGGCTAGCTAGGCTTTAATTAAATATTTGTTTAACATTATATAAGTGTTTGATTCAAATCATGATTTGTTTTGAGAATCATAAATCAAACTCAATATCCAATCCAATCATTTGAAAATGTCATCATCACCATCACTCTGTTTATTTAAAAAAAAAAAAATTAATATATAGAATGAATTTCTAAAATCTATTCAATTGTTTTTTTTTTTTTTTTTTTTTGTTTAATAAGAAAAAATAAAATAAAAATAATAATAATAATAATAATAATAATAATAATAATAATAATAATAATAATAATAATAATAATAATAATAATAATAATAATAATAATAATAATAATAATAATAATAATAATAATAATAATAATAATAATAATAATAATAATAATAATAATAAAAACAATTTTAAAAGATATTCGTCCCTGTAGTGCATCTCTTCTCTCGTTCATCCCTCTCTTCGGACCTTGAAGAGCCTCGCCCCGACGCAACTTTAAACACATGAGGCTGTATTATCATGTGATTTGATTTAAAATTTGTAAATTTATTTTTTAAAAAAAAAAAAAAAAAAAAAAAAACAATAGAACATCTCAAACATTTTTATTTTTCAAAACACCAATTGTAAGATCATCAACATAAAAAAAAAAAATGGCCCTCTTTTTACCAATAAATCTGTTGTCGGTTTGACACAATCTATTGTGTTAAAAAAAAAAAACTATCAAATGTATTCTATAACCCTTGAATAAAAACAAACAAACAAACAAACTATCAAATGTTTTTTTTTTTTTTTTTTTTCAAACATCTGTTAAAAATATATATATATAAACTTCTTAGTGCTTTAAAAAAAAAAACTAATATAAATATTTGTCATTTTGCTTATTTTTATCCCTTTTTTTTTTTTTTTTTTTTTTTTTTACTTTCTCTTCACCCAGAAATTACTTTCTGGGTCAATTTAAATTTAGCTAGTATTTTTTGGAAGTCATTATTCGTTAGAATTTTGTTTTTTTAAAAAAAGAAACCCCTCCCCACCCGATGAATTACTTGGTCAATACAAAACATAAAATGAGAAGGATTTTTTTTGTCACCCAAATTTACTCCATGAATTAACATTTTCAAAACACAATCTTTATCATTGCTTATTGAGAAATTAAAAACAGGTCTAGAAATAACAATTTCCTTTTTTTTTTTTTTTTTCTCTCTCTTTATTTTTGGGTGACCTCTCTTTTATTTGCCCTTTTTTTCATCAAGAAAGGGGGGAGGGTTTCTTTTTTTTATTTTTACCATTGCTATCAACCATTTTATTTGCTTCAACTCGATCAATACAATAATATATAAGCAATTTTGAAAAGTTTTTTTTTACTTATATATATATATATAGTTATTTTTTTTTAATATATATAAGTTTTTTTTGAAATTTTCATAATATTCTTTGTAGGAACTTTTTTTTTTTTTTTTGTGTTATCCATTTTTTTTTCTTCATTTAACTCTATTTAGGGCTGTTAAATATGAACAAAATTGATAATAGACAAAGGTTACCATTTCCAAACTGTTTACTAAGTTAAAGAATTGTTATTAAATGTTCAAACCAAGTTTTTTTTTTTTACACTTATAATTAGAGAATGTACCACAATCAATTGATAATCTATTGAAATTCTTGTTCAACTGATATGATTATACTTGTAACATAGAATAGTTAACTCTAAACTTTTCAACAACTTAAACACAATATATTCAACACTCATAGAAATCACAAAGCTGCTCTCAGACCATATAATAATTAGTAAAATAAAGCTGTTTAATGTTATCTATGAATCTATGTTTTCAGATATGACTACGTGATTAGTTGACCAGATGATTAAAGGTTTAGATACTTACTGAAACATTTCCAACTGATAGCAACTTTTATTTGTCTCTTCACAAAGCTCAAGTTGAGTTTTTTTTTCTTAAAAAAAAACATTTTGATTTTGGAAATAAAATTATTAAAAAATTTAAAGTCTATTTTGAGAAATAGGTATTTTACTATGCCAAGGTATGCTAAGAGTACAAAAGTCTATGATAAGTTGGGAAAGCCCAAGTTCAGGAATATCAGAGCGTTTAATTCAAAGAAAAGGGAAAATAATAAAAAAAAGAAAAAGACAAAGTTAGATTTAGTTATTGAACCAACATTCCAACCAGAGAAGATAGATTCTTTTGATGATCGCTTTGCTTGTAGATTTTAAGCACTAACATCGACAATCATCATCCTGATTTCTTGACTGAGACCTTTACCCGAGACACATTTCATAAAAACAATAATACAGATTCAAGCTTTGACTTATAAAAAATTTAACGTTTTTATTTTGTGGAAAAGTAATTATACGAGAATAGGAGTTTTAAAGAGAAGAGAGATTGTTAAATTATCACAAAACAAAATTTAATAAACACGTTCAAAGGGATTTTTTTTTAATGTTATGAATGACTGTTAAATATTATTTTTAATTAAAATGCCATAAACAGGCAAAAAAAAAAGGCAATTAAAAATTATCATTATAAACTGATATGAATTTATAAGCATAAATGGGATCCTTGGTTAATATGATAAACGGGAATCTGACTCAATTTTATTTAATTAGTTCCGACCATTTTGATAGTTACATACTTTTTGTTATGTTTCAAATGGATAATGTCAACTATAAAAAGCTATCAAAATCCCTCTTTTTTTTTTCTTTTGAATTTTTTTTTTTTTCCTTTTTTTTATTCCTTACCCTTCGGGGTCACATTTTATTCAAATTTTTTTTTTAAAAAAAAAATAAAAAAAAAACATTTATAACGGTTTACAATCTTATGACTTTTACAATAAAAAACAAGATATCTATCTTGTGATACTTTCTGATACCTTATTATTAATTTACTTTTTTGCAGTTGTTCTACATTATTATTTTGAGTTATTATCATTTATAATCCCTTCCTTGATTGCCGGTTTTTTTTTTTTGTTTCTTTGGATTTATATGTCTATCTTTTGATGCATATATAGAAACCTATAGTTTGACTATTTATTCATGACTGTTACTATTATTGTTATTATTATTATCAAAGAATTGGAAAAAAAAAATGGTTTACAAATATATTTCTGGTCAAAGTCTTTTTTTTTTTTAAAAAAAAATAGAAACTTTTTAAAATAAAATTCTTTTCCTAATTGGTTTATTTTTGATTTTAACAGTTTATCATTTGGATTTGTTAACTAAAACATCATAATCATACCATGACGAGCTTTTTTTTTATAATAATATCTATATCTACACTGGCACAACATGTCGCAAAAGGATGCTGACTTCTTGTTTAATAATTTAATACTTTGATTATATATATTTTTTTTTGTCTTTGATATTATATATATATATATCCTACAAAGAGATGTTTATAGTTTTTTTTATATATATATAATATACAAGAATTTTTTTTTTTTAAAATCATTTTCATTTTCTTATATTTATTGTAAAAGACCTGATTCAAGTGTACCGACCCATTTGTAGGTTGTAAATAAACTCTGTGCGGCTGAGTTGGAGTTGTCCACTAAAAAGTGGCGTTTGTGTTGCCTGGACGCGTCGCGTAGTCAACGCGCTTTTTTTGATGCTGTTGTTTCCTATGTAAAGAAAATAATAATTTAAAAAAAAAAAAATTTGTCAACACACATAGTAATTTGCAAACAACAAACAAACAAACATTATTGTTGATAGCAATTTAAAATAAAAAAAAAAAAACTGCATTTCCATACCTTCAAAGGCAAATGTCTGATTCGGAAAGTAAAGAGGATTTGAAAGCCAAAATTGCAAGGCTTGAAAAGGAGTTGGCTGCAACTAAATCTCGAGAGAGATCTCAAGCTAACAAGAAAGAGCAGGATCAAGACAATGAGCGAATCCCTGGAACACCTCCTCGCCAGGCATCCCCAGAAAAAGAAACTGTAATTCCAGGGACTCCTCCAGATTCACCTGGAAGACCGCTATTGGCACAAAGTTTACGATCCTCCAAATACCAATGCGAGAGCGATGAAGAGCATGAAGAGCGGGTTCTTGCGCGGCTCCAAAAGGATATAGTACCTCAGATGCCTCGTGGATCGATTTTCCGGAGCATGTCACAGGTTAAGGCTGCTAAAGTAAAGTCAGCTAAGGAACAGGATACTCGGGCTAGACAGAAAAAGAGAGGGTTTGGGGAGATTGTAAGCACAGAACCCAAAAAACAAGTGGTAGTAACAAAGCCTACAGAACCAAGACCAGAACGGGACTTGAGAAACAAAACACCACCAAAAGAAACCCCAGAATACTTTGCAACTAAAAGTCATGGTGTACCTGTAGCCAAGGATATTGACCAAAGTTCTAACTTGAAAAAGGGCGAAGACATTGTGGAGCCATTTTTCAAGTACAAGCTGTCGTCACAGTACTTGTCGTTTCAAGACCTACACCAACAGTTTTACGAAGAACTTGCCGACTGTCGACTTTATAATCTTTCACGGTTATGTGCAACTGTATGTCCACCAACTTTTGACGCGCCAACAGATGCTAATTGGATTGTATTTGCCGTGGTTGCACATAAATCCAAGGTAATGCACGCAACTTTACCATCAGGAAATAGAAGAGCTGGGGCCCGGCCTGAAGCTCCACAACCATTTATGATGCTGACACTTACCGATCTTGGAGCTGTTGAACTGTCACTTGCATTACAAGGTGCAGCATTTGACCGATACTGGAAACTGCGCGAAGGTTCGCTGGTTGCGTTGCTAAACCCAGCCGTGTACATGACAAAGGCGCGCCAAGCGCGCGATGCACAAATGGCTGGAGTATCACTTCATGACACTGTTAACGGTAATCAACCCTCGTTTACAGGAAGTGCCCCTCCTGGTCCTGCATTTGCGCTACGCGTGTCACACGCGGACAATAGTATTTTGGAAATAGGACGGGCAAAGGACTTTGCAAGGTGTGCGGCCACTACAGCACGCAATTTGCAGTGCCAGCGATGGGTCAATGCGGCACATGCGACCTACTGTGACTATCATACGGAGCAGCGAACTAAGGCTGCACGAGCGCAACGTTTGGAGATGAACTCCATGGGACAAGGCGGTGCTGGTGGTGGCCGGACTATGTATGCAACAATGAGAGTGGGTAAGGGGGGTCGGTTAGCACTCAATTCCAAAGGATACGATACTGCCAGGAAACAAGGGCTTTTACCTGACACTACACGGCGGCCTCAGCATGTGCGGGATACAGGGCCTGGGACTGGGGGGTATTCGACGGTATACGTTGCGCCGCCGGCGGCGTTACGGCCGTTTGATGCGTCGTACATTGAAACCATGCCAGCGCAGCTGGAGGCTGGGATGCGAGCGCATGCAGGTGCAGCACGGCAGGCTCTTAACAAAGCTCGGGACAGTGAGCTTGTAGCGCGGTTAAAGAGTGCTCCTGGGGCTGCAGGGGATGTTATACGGAGTCATCTTGGGGTGACGATATCGCAGGTGGCTGGGATGTCTTCTGATAAGAGGGGGGGGAAAAAAAGGAAAGATAATGATGGTGATGGTGATGGTGATAATGACAGGGACGATAGTGAACTAGTTACTGGGGAGAAGCTTGGTCCGTTTAAAACTGAGCATATTCGGCGGATCGGGTTTGATCCATTGGTGAGACCTGGGGCATTTACAAACGGACACGAAGATGGGCCATCAAAAGGTTCTCAGGAACTTGCAACTAAGTTACGTCGGATTGCAGCTCGTAAAGAAATTGACTTGTCTATGGGACCTCGGCGTAAACATAAGCGGCCACGGGTGGACGAGAAGGAAGGTTCAATAGTTAAGCCTATAACTGCCAAGGTTCCTCCTATGGATATTGAGATTGAGATTGATTAGAAAGGGAGGAGGAGGGGGAGGCAAGGGAAATGGATAAAAAAAAAAAAAAAAAACGCCATTGTGTATATATTAAAAAAAACAAACAAACAAACAAAAAAAAAAAAAAAAAAAAAAAAAAAGAAAGAAAGAAAGAAAGAAAGAAAGAAAGAAAGAAAGAAAGAAAGAAAGAAAGAAAGAAAGAAAGAAAGAAAAAAAGAAAAAAAAGTGAGAAGGTTGAAAAGAATAAAAGGTTTACAATGTATATTTAAAAATCTTTTTTTTCTTGTTTCTTGTTTCTTGTTTCTCGTCTTTAAGTGACTAAGTTAAGGGTCCATCCATGCGCAACATAGGTTGGCAAATGAATCTTGACGGGCCCTGCGTTTGCTGGGACATGGACAGTGACACCATCAAGACACCATCGTTGGTATGTTGGGTTTGATTCGCCAGGCCACACTTGAGCCGCCAGCGGCCCTGGTTGCGAGTCTCTTGATGGTTGGGCATTGTTTGATGTTTTATATCGCAGATTATAATACTGGACATTATCACCCAATTTGAAAAAGGCACCATCAGTGTATGGGGCCATCATCATGGCTAAAAGATCTTCATTAGAAGTATAGTCGGTATGCACCACGTGGAGCTCACACGCAGAGGGTGGGTTAGAGTTGGGAGAGATTGTATAAGTTTTTTCAATTTTGGAGACGAGTGAGAACAAAAGATATGCATGGTCGTGGTCTAGTGTATAAGGAGCTTTAATTTGTTTTGATGGAGGCTTGATTACATCCAAGGTCGAGTCTACACCTAAAGTGACTGTACCACGGTACCTCTGGGGTCGTGCAAGGTTTTCCTCGGCGGCTTTTTGGAATCGAGTAGATCCAAGAGTCCGGTAAGCTGGGGAGTCCGAGTCAGCAACAAGAGAGGCATGGACGGCCCAAGAAACAATTGCAATTGCGTAAAATGTAAGGGCAGATGAGGAGCCGAGATCCGTAACAGCGGTATCTGAAGATCCTGCAGATCCACTGCGATCGACCACGGTACTACATGAGGATGAAGGTCGGTCATTGTCGGATGAAGACTCGTCTTGATCGGATCCGGTGTGGCTTCCTGGGGGGAACTCTACAAATAAATTTGCAAGAGGTTTGGGGTTCCCAAGGAACAATCTTGAGATTGCAATAGGGATTGAAGAGAGACCACATGAGTTTGCGAGGGCATTTCCAGTGCCAGTGGGGATGACCAGGAGACATAAGGGTTGAAGTTGGTGTTCTGGGGTGCCCAAGCAGTTGATAAACTCTGAGACAGAGGTATCTCCAGAGAGTAGGACAACGGTGCTTGGGTCAGTAAAGGATTGAGCGTGAGTTTTAACTGAAGTTTTAGAAGAAGTTGCAACATATACATGAGAGACTCCAAAGCGGTTTAGGAGAGGAGCTAGAATGGCAAAGTATATTTCCGAAGATCGGTGAGTACCTGAGGTAGTTGAATTGATGATGGTGAGGTATTTGAGGTGACGTGGAAGAGCGTCAGTGTCTGTTTCAATGGGTTTTGAGGTAGTATTATTAGATTGCGCAGAGTGAGTATGTGATGACGTGCTGAGGTCTTGATGATAATGATGATGTTTATGAGAGGTACTATGTACTTGGGGAGGTAGAACAGGGTATGGAGCAAGGTATTGTTCAAGTTCTTGAGGAACTGAGGAGAAAGATTTTTCAAAGAGGTATGGGATAAGGTCTTGGTTAAATGAAGAGGTTGATTGTTTAGAGTCTGGAGAAGCGCGGTGTTTTTCAGCGTAGGCAAAAAGGATATATTGTGGAAAAGTTTGAGTTGAGTGGGCAGAAGACAGTGCGACCGGCGCAATGACTAAAGGCACAGCAGTTGAGGGTAGGCCGAGAGATTCTAAGGATGTCATGAGAATAAAGCTGTGACTGAAGGTGGTTTAAAGGGATGGTGATGGTGGTGGTGGTGATTGTTTAAAATGGAGGTTTTTTTTTTTATATATATATATTTTTAATATTTTTTTTTTTTTTTTGTTATGCTTGTGCTGATAAGGGGAGGGAAGGGCAAGAGGAAAGAAAGAATTTTAAAGGATCTGCGGGTTTTTTTCTTTATTTTAAGAGAAAAAAAAAAAAATTTAAATTAAATAGAAATTAAGGTTTGGTTAGTTAAACTGTGGTTAAAGTTAAGTGTGATTAGTGTGTGTTTGTGAGAAATAATTTTTTTTTTTTTTTTTTCAGACAAGACAATACAAGACAAACACGTACCATAATGGAATATCTCTTTTTTTATTTATTTATTTTTATTTTTTTTTTTTTTTTTTTTTTTTTTTTTTTTTTTTTTTTTTTTTTTTTTTTTTTTTTTTTTTTTCTCATTTATTTATTATATATTTTCATTTATTTTTTTTATTTAGATGGTTCATACATGCAGATGGTTCACAGAATATGGGGAATTTTGTTTTTTTTTTAAGAAAGAGAGAGGAGATCAAACTATAAAAAGTAGAAACTTGAGTGGGTTTAATGAAAAAAAATATATATATATTTTATTCTTCTTCTTCTTTAACAAAACTCAGTTTATCAATTGAAATATTTTAAAAATTTATTTATTTCTTTTTAAAAAAAAAATAAAATGAAACATTTATTAGTGAAAAAAAAAATTATAAAAATATAAAATTCCTCAATTTGAGGGCCTCAAGTTATGTGTTTATGAAAAAAAAAAATTTTGCTCTCTCCAATTTATATAATTTTTTTTTTTTTTTTTTTTTTGAAGCAAATTTGAGTTTTTTTTTTAACAAAAAACTAAAACTAAAAAAAAAAAAAAGGTTTTTTCTTTATTCTTCTTTATAATTATTTATTTCTTTCTTTTTCTTTCTTTATTTCTTTATTTATTTCTTTCTTTCTATCTTTTTTTTTTTTTTTCATTTCTTAAATTAATCTCATTTCACAAATTTCCTTCCTTCTATTCAACTCCTTTCAATATCCATCCATACATCCATCATGGGATTTTGGCATTCGAGAAATCATAAAACTCGCTCAAAAGACCCCGAAGACTCACCCAGCAAAACAACTCATCATGGCAGTCTTTTCAGAAGCCATTCTCTTAAAAAATTGAGTCGCCGATGGAGCTCAAACACTATATCAAGCAATAATAATAACAATAGCAATAGTAACGGCGATTATCAAAATGATAATACAAATATCTCCGGATATCAAAATTTATCAAAAGTTCCGGACCAACAAAAAATCAATCATAACGGCACGTCTGCAAATGCAACAACAACAACAACAACAACCTTTGATAACAATCAAAGCCTCGGAGGTACTGCAAACAACAAGGATACCCACCATAACCATCGCCCACCATCCCCAGAAGGCAGCTCAAGCAATCAAAATAACAGTGGCGGCGGCGGCGGCAGCAACCCGCCTTTAAGCCATCACCCCACCCGCATTTTGTCTTTAAAAAGACATTTTTCTCTCAATCACAATAACAATAATGATAACAATAATAACCACCACCACCACCATTACAACATTTTCTCCCAAAACAGTGGTATACATCGACACTCGTCGGTAAAAAGTACCTCGGACGGATCTCCCTCGCCAACTACAAAGTCCCATTCTTCGGGTTCTCCTCTCAATGTTGCATCCGGTTCCAGGTCATCAGATGACCTTGACTATCAAGAAACTCCAGAACCTTTACTTTCCGGTGATGCCCTAATCCATCAAAGGGCCCGAGGAATGAGTATAGCCCCTCCTGAAACTCTCCCAGGCTTAACCATTCCTAAAGTTTCAACAACCCGTCCAAGCTCCATTTTAAATGAAAGTATATCACCCACTCCTCAAGATGACTCGTCAGAATTTGAGCGTTTCCTAAATGATGAAGAAGAAAAGCGCCTCGAAAAGAAAAAAACTAGAGAATTACACCAACATGAACTCGAAGAAGAATATAAACTAGACCCAAAAACTACCGCTTATCATCCCCTAAGTGCAGACCATTTACCTAAAATCACTGCTCACCCCTCTATCGACAAAAAGCGTCACGGTCTGTTTTCAACACATGCCCTCTCAAATGACTCGTCATCCCACTTTAGCCTCTCCTCTACAAACTCGTCCAGCCTTGGTACCAAGTTACGCGGCCTCCGAGGGTCCAAGGACTTGGCCGCATCAAGCGAGAGTCCCCTTCGTACTATGCACCAACAACTATTCTCAAAATCAAATGTAAATAATAACACTACCACCACCACCACTGCTATAACAAGAAGTGGTAGCTTGGGAGCTACATCACATCATCGTAGCCGTAGCTTTGGTCATAACAATCAATCGAATCAAAGCCTACAGAGCGGCTCAAATACTCGTTCTGGAACTCTCGAAGATTCCAAACCTCTTAGACCGTTTAGTTTTATGGACAAATCTCATGCGAGACACAAAAGTATGGAATTGCAAAAACGTACTTGGTCTAAAGATGGCACAAGTCCACCTCCGTTCACACCTGCAACTGCAACTGCAACTTCAGCAGCTACAGACTCGGCACATAACGAAGGTGCCATTATATCTTCCGACGAGTTTTCAGATAGCCCTGTAGGATTTTCAGACGAAGACGATGATGAAGATATTGATGACGAAGAAGAGGACGATGAAGATATCGATGATGAAGAAGAGGACGATAAAGATATCTATAACGAAGAAGGTGGTGAAAACCCTGGCAAAGACTGGAAAGCTAAACTCGCAGCCAGACATGCCCGCAGGCGTGCAAGGATACGCCGACACAAAATGATGCTCTTAGGACTTTTGGATGGCAGTGGGACTCCTCCAGTAGCACCAGACTCTAGCTCAGGAGTAGTATCATTGTCTGACGACAAGAGCAATGGGTTTTGCGATAATAGCAAGCAGCTGATGCGCCGAGTCAAAGATAAAGTCGTGGATCCAAGCGAGATGTTGTTGATTGCACCAGGTCGCCAGCTGGTTAATCTACACAATCACATTGTACAAGCAGCCGTCCAAGTTCCAACATTGTTGAAAGATTATGGAACAGGCTCAAAATCACTTGGCGAAACGTCATCAGGGCCATCCATGGAAAAAAAATCTAGCAAAAACAAGGAATCTACAGTGAATGAGGTCCCCACCATTAACAATAAAAATGCATTTTTGATTACCGATGAAGAAGTGGCTATCCCGGACTTGTCACCGGAGATTTCAGATAAACTGGACGATGATAGTGTGGATGATATGAGCGACATATACAGTGATGCCGAGGATGGAATCAGTTCTTCTATGGTAGATTCGAAGGATGATACTGGTAAATCATCTGATTTACTTGAGACACCCGCGTCACCAGAATACATTTACAAAAACAATAAGGAAAATACAACAACAACAATAAATGATGATAATGAAAATGGTGATGGCACTGGGCTGGCCCCGAAGGATGCGTCGCCTGGAATCTTAAGATCATGGCTCACCATGTTTTCAGGATCTCCTACTCAACAACAAGAAACATTGTCTGGTGGTTATGAAAACCTTGAAGAGTTATCAAAACAACAGTCGATCGGGAAGGATACTAAGCAACAGCAGGAGCAAGAAGTTACTATAGATTCCACTTTAGATTCGGCCTTTGGTTTTTGAGAAATTCTTTTTTTATTTTTTTTAATGAACTAGCGGGATTTTTTTTATTATTATTTTTATTTTACAAAGAGACTCTTATCTTTTTTGTTCTAACTTTGTAAAGTCGAAAATTAAAAAAAAAAATAAAAAAAAAATAAAAATAAAGTACCTCATGATGCGTACAAATTATTATCGAGACTTGCAAAAAAAAAAAAGCATCTCGTGTTCAACACCAAAAAAAATTTTTTTTTTTTTAATTAAAGGTTAACCTAAGAAAATCTTTAAATTAAATTAAATTAAATTAAATCCAATTGAAATTAAGTTAGAATAACTGCAATTGCCATTAATGTTATATCAATAAACCACACATACTTCAACGCCGTAATTGAAGTATCTTCTTTAAAAGTTGAGTCATTTATATAAAGTGAACTTTTCCATTAAGTTCTATCTCCAGTGTTATTGACATCAAAAAAAAAACAATTCTTAAAGCTATTATTATTAGAATCAATAGACGGTCATAAGAGCAATTGAGGTATAATATATAAAAAAAAAACAATTGATAAATTATTATATATATAATAATTTATCAATTGTTTTTTTTTTTTTTTTTGAGATACCATAGACATATATTCGCAAACTAATTGAAATTTTGTATATCCATCCAATGAGCCTTTTTTGAAATTCTGAAACTCCATAATCAATTACCATTGCTGAACATGCTTTAAATAATACCATTATTCCATTTGTTTTTGTCTTCTATATAACCATCAGTTTTTTTTAAAAAAAAAAAAAAAAAAACTTAAAAACATTACTAAATGTGATTACATTGACCACCTTGGAAAATTCTAAAAAAAACTTCAGTTGTGAATAGGCCAATATGTCAAATTATCTGTTTCTTAGTCTGCTCATTTTGAAAATCACTTTTTAAGACGAGCAAAACTCTGAATCTTATAGTCTCCAATATTACAATTGTGCTTAGTGGCAAGCCCAAGCATCTATAAGTTGATTAAAGTTGAAGTAGTTCTCCACATCTCTCAGACATATGGACATATGGACATATCAAATGATACATTTATACAGAAATAAACAGCCATCATCCGTCCTTCCCCCTTCGTTTTTGCTTATTTTATACATACTGTTATATGTCTTTACCTTTACCCTTAACAGAATTTTTTTTTAATTTTCTAATGGTATAGATATTGTTAATGAGAAACTATACTTACTACTGTTATGAACAATAGATCATAACAAAACAGCTTCAATCCCCGTATTTATTTTGACATTCTGATGAATACTGCGACAAGCCAATTCTCACAATTATTAAAGAGTGTATTCTATTGATTTACTTATTTACCGTGTTTGTATCCTAAGCAATAAGTTTTAATTTATTTAAAAAAAAGATAAAAAAAATAAATAAATAAAAATAAAAAAAATAAATAAATAAAAAAAATTAAAACTTTTATTCTTTTTTTTTTTTTTGTTTCTTTTTCTCTAATTTTAAGTCAAATTGTGGAGGTACTTAAACAAAGATGTTACAACTTTTTTATGTGTTACATATCACAATTAGAGTCGAGGACCTTGACAATGTTCAGGGTTTACGTACTACTTAGTAGTCAAAACTAGGCTAAACTAGTTGCATTTGTTTAATTATTTGTGTCCTCGAGGGAGGAGGGGAGGGAGGGGGTTCCCTTTTATAGATTCAATAACTGGAAAAATCAAAAACACAATTTTGTAGGAAAGTTTTATATAGTGAGTTATACTAAAAGTGAAATTTGAAAAATTTAGAAAAAATAAAGATTTTTATTGGCTCATTTTAAGACTTTAAAAATTCTAGAGAAATCCTCTTTAGTTTGAGAAACTTTTTATTCCAAATCAAGATTTTTATATATATTACTCGTTTTTTTTTTTTAATTTTAATTTTTAAAAAATTTTAAATTTCTCATTTACAAGGTCAAAAAAAAAAAAATGAATTAAAAAATAAATAATTTTTATTATAATTTTTATTTTTTATTTTATTTTTTATTTTTTTTTAAAATTACATGTGTAAATGAGTAGGAATGGACCACGTGAGCGACGAAGAAGTCTGGCGAGCAGCCGACGCGTGATCATCTTCAACAAGCCCATTACTTGCACTTCCTTCATTATCAGGGCCATCTACGGTGTCTGTCAAAGTGGTTGTAGTTGTAGTGGTTGTAGTGGTTGTTGTTGTTGTAGTGGTAGTGGTAGTCTTCAAAGATGAAGAAGATGAAGACGACTTTGATGAAGAAGATGACGATGACGATGACGACAAGGAGGTATCAATAGGTTTAGGCTTATCAATGTTAATTTTAATATCCAAGTTAATATTAATCTTGTCCTCCTTGTCTGTACCTGCAATTGCGCACAATAATTGTTGAGCATGTTGAGCCTTTGTAGCCGATCGTTTTAGGAAAACCGGGTGTGGCGTAGTAGTCGATCCGTTACCAATTCCCGATCCGTTCCCGTGAGTAGAACCATTTGTATGGGCATTATTGTTACCATTAGTATTAATTGTTCCATGGCTTGTACTATTATTTGCAGCTGCCGCAAAAGTCGCCATATGAGTAAGACCAATGGGAGGAGACGAAGAAAGTGTGGATGGAGTATGGAGAGAAGCAGGCATTGCAATTGAAAGTGGAGAACAAGGAACCACAGGTGACGGGGTAGACGTGCGGTCGGGGAAAAAGGCGCTTTGGCCCGTCCCAGAAATGGAAGCAACAGCTGCGGCCGCAGAGGAAGATGAAGATGAAGAGGAACTGCTAAAGAATGGTGATGATGGCGGACTGCTTAGCCGTGCAGCCGGTCCCGGGGGGTATGGTAATGTTGAAGAGGAGGAGAAGGAGGATGATGATGATGATGACGACGACGACGACGACGGGGCTAGTGAGGTGGAACCTCCCATGGCAGGTGACGAGCGTGTAAAGGGGTAGAGTTGGTGGGGGCCCACTGGAATTGCGCCACTGGAAGCCGGAACCGTAATAGTACCATTTATAAGAGTAGGTGACGAGGCAGAAAGAAGCTGTTGGGGTGGGAGTTGCGGGCTTGCAGTAAGCGAATGAGACTGAAATGGAGAGAAAGAGGAAGGTTGCTGTTGCTGTTGTTGTAGTTGCAGTGGTGTATGGGAGTGTAAAGGTGAAGAAGATGGGGGGACAGATGAGTTTGAAGAATAGGGATAAGCAGGTAGTGGTGGTAATGGTGAAAGAGGAGGTAATACCGAAAAAGAAGAAGATGAAGACGATGAAATGGCATTATTATTGGAGCCATTTGATGAATAGATATGGCCTTGAGGAGAGATCGGTGTAGGGATAGGGCCGAGACCTTGGTGAGGAGCAGCAGCCCATTCGTCTGGACCAAAAGCTGTAGAACGATAATGTCTGTTAAGAGAAGCGGAGCGCGTCAGCGGAGAGTGCGAGCTACCCCAGACATCAGAATAGAGAGTCATTACAGAAGAAGCATGGGAAGGGCCTGAGAAAGATGGTCTATCAGGGGAGGCGACATTTGAAGAAGATGAAGATGAGGAAGAGTTGAAATTTGCAAGAACAGCGTTAACAATACCGGTGGGATCTGAATGGTCAATTGAATCGAAAGAAGGAAGATGAGAGTCGAGGCTGGCAGCTACTCGATGGGTTGGTCTTTTCGGAGAAATAAGTGATTTTGGAGTAGATGAAGAGGATGATGGAGAGACAACAGAAGAAGCAGTTGATGAGCCAGAAGAAGAGGAAGAAGAGGAAGAAGGGGAAGAAGGGGATGGAGATTGATGATCTGAAAGAAGGGTGAGGTTTTTGACACCCCATGCACTAGGTGCTGGAGTTTCAATGCTTGATAGACTTCGGTAGTGAGCCGAAGGTTTTGGCTTTGTTTGTTTTTGTTGATGTTGAAATTTTTGTGATCTTTGAGATGAACGGCCATTCAGTTGTTTGGGAGATAGTGGAATTTGATTTATTGATTTTAAAGCAGAAGAAGAAACAGAAGAAGAAACAGAAGCAGAAGGCAAGGCAGGGGTTGAGTTTTGTTGTTTTTGTTTTAAAGGTTGAGAAGAGGTAGGTTGAAATTTAGAGCCTTGTTGATTAGAAGCAGAAGAGGAAGAGGAAGAAGTAGAAATAGATGTGGACGTAGACGTAGACGTAGACGTAGAAGAAGAAGAATTCTTTTTACGTCGAGATGCAGAGCCAGATTTGCGATGTTTTGAAGGGGCTGAAGTGACTGAATCCTGGGAGGCTTTTCTTGTGAGAGATTGGTTGATAGCTGGGCCTAATGGAGGATATTTAAAAGTAGACGACGAGGAAGAAGAAGAAGAAGAAGAAGAAGAAGAGATGGATGATGTGATTGAAATTGAAGTTGAAGTTGAAGCTGTAGAAGAAGAAGCCGAGATAGGTTCTGAATGATCCTTTTGGTCCTTTTGGTCCTTTTGGTCCTTTTTGTCCTTTTTGTCGAGATATTTAGAGACTGGGGTAATTACAGATTGGGTGGAATGCAACGATTGTTTGATTGAAGATTTGTGAGAAGAAGTTTGTAAAGACGAGACTTTTAAATTGTTGAGAGGAGATGATGAAGAAGAAGAGGAAGAAGATGAAGATGAAGAAGAAGATGATGATGAGGATTTTAAAGTAGATACTAGTAGTTGTTTAGTATTAGTGATGGGAACATGGATGGTTTGATCTTCAGTATCATCTTCATCTTCTTCTGCAATATCTTCTGTATTTTCTTCAGTATCTTCAGTATCTTTATTAACTTCTTCTTCTTCTTCTTCTTCTTCTTTTCCAGAATCATTTTCAGTATCATTGTCAGAATCATTTTCAAGTTGTTTTTGTTTTTGTTTTTGTTGTTGTTGTTGAGAGTCAAGGTCAGATTTAAAAAAATTCTTAGTAGGTATTATGCTTGAGACGATAGTTGAGTAATCTGGCAATGTATCATCAAAATCGATGGGGTCATCAGTTGGAGGTATCACGAAGGAGCTACATGGGCCAGAGGAATCTGAATCCAAGACAGCCAAAGAGATTTCAATTTCTTCTGAAAGTGGTGAGTTGTAATCATAAGGTGGTGGGCTTGAATAAAGTCTTGGAGAAGCTGGAGTTGAAAGAGATTTAGGGATTAAAGATGAAAAGGGAGAAGCTGAGGAAGGGTCTAAACCTGAATAATAATCTGGAGAGAGGAAGATTTGGAGATATTCAATAATGGCTGGGATGCAAAGGAAATCTGCGGTTGCAGAGAAAGCGGCTATAATTTTTGGGTAGATTGAACAGAAGATTGAAACGAAAAGCATTAGGATAAGTTTCCCGAGAAGGTAAAGTTGGTTGATCCATAGGTAGAGAAGGGTAGCGACATTTAAACGGGCAAGAGATTGGGAAGAGTATGATGTATTGTGAGAAGAAGAAGAGGACGATTGTGAGGATGTATTGTGTGCAGTTGAAGAAGAAGAAGAAGATGATGATGATGATTGTTGGTTATTAGGTTGAGATCCTGATTGTGATTGAGAAGATTTTTTCGAAGAGAGTGAAGCATTTGAACGTTTTGAATGTAGTTGTTGTTGATGGTGGTGATGATGGTGTAGATGTTTTCTAGGCAGCGGCATGGCTGATTTTTTAAAAAAAAAAAAAAAAAAAAAAAAAAAGAAGGAAGGAAGGAAGGAATAGAAAGTAAGATTATTATTGTATGCTGATGATGATGATGATGATGATGATGATGATGATGATGATAAAAAAAAATAAAAAAATTTAATGTATGTATGTATGTAAAAAGAAGTATATATAAAGAATGAAAAAAAATTAAAAAAATTAAAAAAAAATTAGAAAATTATAAAAAAAATTAAATAAATAAATAAATAAATAAAAAATGCTTGTTGCTGCTACTAGTACTAGTACTGCTGCTCTTTTTACTGCCGTGATGATTTTTGGAAAGTCTTTTGAGTGGAGTTTTTTTTTTTTTTTTTTTTTTCTTTCTTTCTTTCTTTCTTTCTTTCATTTGGGGCAAACGGGAGAATGCGGGAAATTTTTAATTGTGTATCACGTGGACAATGACTCAGTATTTATGTAATTGTATTAAATATGACTAATTGTATTATTATTATTATTATTATTATTATTATTATTATTAATTTATTAATTTTTATTTTAATTTTAATTTTAATTTTAATTTAATTATTTTAACTTAATTTAATTTAACTATAATTAATTTTAAATAAATTTATTTTAAAATTTTTTAAATTTTTTAAAAATTATTTAAATTTGTTTAAATTTAAAATGATTATGTAAAAATCAGATGTCAATGCCACATGCCTTTTGACCGCCTCAAAAAAAAAAAAAAATTTTCTTTTCTTTTTTTATTTTATCTTATTTTTTTTAGTTTTTATCAGGGCAAATCGATTGCGCATAGAATAAAAAAAAAAAAAAAAATTTAAATAAAAAAAAAAAAAATTTTTTTTATTTTTTTAATTATTTTTTTTTTTTTTTTTTTTTTTGACCTGCCAGCCAGTCAGCTAACCAACTAACCACCCAAAATGGTCCAAATTGTTATGTCTAAAAAGACCCAAAATAGTCACTCATCCGCTTTATTATTTTTATTATTAAAAAAATAAAATAAAATAAAATAAAATAAAATGTTTTTTTTTTTTCAGTACTATGAGTATATACTACTACTACTACTACTACTACTACTACTACTACTACTACTACTGTTGATGCTGGTTGCTGCTTTTGTCTGTGCTGCTGCTTCTGCTGCTGTTGCTGCTGCTGCTGCTGCTGCTGCTAAATAAAATAAAAATAAAAATAATAAAAAAAATTTCTTTACCGGCTGGCGGCAGAAATTTTTTTTTTTTTGTAGCCGCCAATAAAAGAAAATCAAAATCAAAATATTAAAAAAAAAAAAAAATTATAAATAAAAAATTAATTGTAGAATTAATAGAAATATTATTATTATTATTATTATTATTATTATTATTATAATAATAATTAATAGTAATAATAAATAGTAATAAATAAAAAAAAAAAAAAAGTTCTTTTATTATTATTTTTTTTTATTTTTTAAAATATATTTCCTCCTTTTTTTTTTTTTTTATTTTAATTCATTCAACACATCACCATCATCAATAACCATATTTTGGTCCACACATTTATCAAACATAAGTGTGGATACATTATATATCTTTTTTTTTATCATTCATTATTATATATATAATAAATACATGTATTATATATATAATAATACTATATAGTATATACTAAATATATATTTTCTCTTTTTTTGTTTCTTCTTTTTCATATTTCATATATTTAAAAAAAAAAAAAAAAAAAAAAAAAACTTATAAATAATATACCTTTTTCAGATTAATATCAAATAAACAAAAAAGAAAAACTTTATGACCCCAGTCCAAAATACCATCTCAGCTGCTGCTGCTGTGGCAGCTGCCAACATTGCAACATCAATCCAAAGTGATTCGGATGATGTTGGATCTTCTTCTCATGAAACACTTCAACTTCATCAAAAGTTACAACAACATCAACAACATCAACAACATCAACAACATCAACATCACCATCAACAGTTGAATCATCATGCTCCGTCTTCTCCTCCAACTCATCAAGATGAAGATAATAATATTACACATACAAGACTTTCTTCTTCTCCTTCATCATCATCATCTTCTTCTTCTTCTTCTTCTATGGACCATGTGGTAACCCCTCCTACTTCTTCCTCATCTACAGCTAATTCAAATACATCTACCAAAACATCAGAAACAACTCCACCATCTTCAGCAAGCGGTCCTTCAACAGATAAAAAACAAGGTCTTCCATCTACAGTTAACTCAAATAATGCTACTACTGCTTCCACCACTACTACCGCTAATACTGCTACCGCTAACACTGCTACCGCTACCACCAATACTACCACTACTATTAATACTACTATTAATACTACTATTAATACTACTATTAATACTACTACTACTACTACTACTACTGCTGCTGCTCCTTTTGTCTCTGCTGCTCCTACCTCTACTTCTACTACAACCAGTACAAAAACTTCTCCCAGCATTATGGCCACTGCTCCAGAATCAACTCGCCTGCTTTTTACAAAAGTCGCCATTCCTCCTCGCAGATGTACTTCTCAAGGCAAATCCGCTCTTTCTTCAGGTCCTGCAAGCCCCAAGTGTCCTGTTCATGGAACTGCCCGACCTCCATGGTCTCAAGAACCTCCATGTCCTCATTGTGCAGCTCTATTATCTCAGCAACAGCAACAAAATCAATACCAACAGCAGCAGCAGCAGCAACAACAACTTGTATCAAATAATCCTTCTTCTTCATCTAATCATCAACAGCAACAACAACAACAACAACAACAACAACAATCTCACCGCCGGTCTATCTCAGCTGCTGTCCCAAAACATACCAAAAATGAAGATCCTCTAAGATTTGTCAAAGATATGCCAATGTCTGTTGAAATCGGAACTCACCTAGCCTTTGCCTCAACAAATGTATCCCATTCAGGTGCCCGAGTACCTACACCTCCTCTTCCTTCTACTCAACAACAACAACAACAACAACAACAACAACAACAACAACAACAACAACTTGCCACTACAACTTCTTCTTCTTCTTCTTCAAAACCTACTTCATCTCCAGACTCAACAAATTCCCCAGATACTACCCCTATCCAGCGTCCCGTGGCTTCTCCTCCACTCTCACAGCCAGCGTCCCGTCAATCGTCTCGACCAGGATCTCCAGGATCTGCAGCTTCATCCTTGACATCTGTTAATACCCTTTCCACGGCTGTAATCACCCCGGGTCCTACCTTAGCAACAACAACATCATCATCATCATCAACAACATCAACTGCTTCTGCTGCTAAAAAACTTCCAAGTTCTACCACTTCCTCTACAGCCCGCTCAAATAAACTCGCAAAACGAGCATCGGAACGCGTATTGCCTGCACTCTGTGTTAAACCCCCACCTAAACTTAATATTTCATTCTCAGGCCCACGGTATAGAGATCAAAAGTCCCGCAGCGTTGCCACCACCGCCGCCGGAACGCCACTTGGCGCAGCATCAAAGTCATCTGCAGTGTCTGGTGTTGCTTTACTATCCACATCATCTCCGTCGCCACAAACTCCTCCGCAACACAACCCACCACCATCGGCATCCGCAACATACCTACACTCTTTAGCCACAAATTCTAATGCTGCTGCTAGTGCTGCTGCTGCTGCTTCTGCTTCTACTGCTGCAGCCACCACCACCACCACCACTAATGCCGCCCCCCACCAAACTTCTCAAATAGGCTTATCTTCCTTATCGCTCCCAACGTCGCCTATTGGCAGAGGTCCACAAAACACAATCCCAGCCTCTTACACAACTCCACCAGTCAAACAACTCCGCACCCCGAAAAAACTTCTTTATGTCCCATCCGTCCTGCGCAGAACAATGACGGTGGACCGGCTCATGGAAATTAATAAACCTGACCAACCTCTTCATGCATACCAACAACAACTCCCTCCATCTGCCTCCTCATACCATAATCAACCCTTTCAACATCAATTACTACCCTCCCATCGTAAATCAACCTCCTCTGCATCTTCTTCATCCATCGGTCCCTCGGCAATCCCTTCCTCATTCTCATCCTCATCCCTTGCTTCTTTAACCCCATCATCTCCAGGATTTTCCTTCTCTCGTTCAACTTCTTCAGCATCTCTTTTCCAGGAACCTTCTCGTGCCCATTGGCGACCGGATTCTGCCCGTGCTTCTTGTGCAGCTTGTGGATCCCCCTTTTCCCTCTTCACTCGTCGTCATCACTGCCGTAAATGTGGTGACTTGTTTTGTGATCGCTGTTCTACTCACACAGCGCGGATGGGTCCCGATGGTTCATTCCATTTGCTAGGAACTAAAACAAGAGCTTGCGATGCTTGCTATAAGGCATATCTAGACTTTGTGGATCATGCAGATGTGGCCTGTGAAGGTAATCTTTCTCCACAGCAACAACAACAACAACAACAGTTGTTGCAAAACTATCAAACAAATAATGCCAATCTTTCCCCATATGATTTGCCCGAGTCTCCATTCGAGGATCAACAGCAACAGCAGCAACCTTCAAACACTGCCCGCTTCTCAATTTCTCCAGATTCACCCATGTCTAGTTCGGGAGGAAGTAGCGTGGCAGCTTCTCCTCTTAAACCTTCATATCTTCCTCTTGCTTCACCCCCTAGACTCCCCAACCAACAACAATCTCTAGCCCCTTCATCTCAAGCCATTCGTGGCCGTCAGAAATCGCTACATGCCTTTTCAAATGATGTTTCCGTGGTAGGCTCTATTCCTGCCAACTGGAATTGGTCCACTTTTTGAATGTCAATCTAATACCTGCTTTTATTTTTTTTTTCTTTTTTCTTTTTTTGTTTCTTTATGTTCTTTTTATTTTTTTGTTTATTTTATATATAATATAGATTTTTGTTTTGTCATACACTACATAGTCTCTAACTTCTCCTCTCTCGCTTAATGTCTATTCTTGTAACGTTTCTAAAACTTCCAAGGCATGTTTGGCATGTCTACCAAGCTCACCTCCTTCCTTGAGCAGTGTATTTAATCCAAGCTCAAAAGCTGGCTTATAATAATCCACTAACTGTCGTCGTGACTCACAATCTTCAGTCACTGTAACATTGGCAGGGTCCAATCCAACCGCCGAAACTCCTCCTGTCGACAATCCTAGGCCAGGACTATTGCTGCCGTTGTTGTTGTTGCTGTTGTTGTTGCTGTTGCCTCTGCCACTGCCACTACTACCATTTTTCTCTGGTTTTGAAAATTCAGGCTTACCAGAAGGGAACCCGGTCTTTTCACCAGAAAATAAGTCTAACGAAAGATATGGAACTGATGTACTGGGGGTTATAAATTTAGACATTGCAAGTTGGGCAAACGAAGGTCGATTCTTACCCCCTTCAACAACAACAACCTCCACAATATCATCCTGATCTGGCTTATTTTCTCCATTTCCAACTTTCTCTTCATCAATATTATCATCTTCATCACTATCATCATCATCTTCTTCTTCTTCTTCTTCTTCTTCATTCAATGACGATTTCTCAGTATATGCATCCATCTGTGCTTCATCCATCAACCCAATCTTTAATAGTCCAGCCAGCGACTTGACATGAGCTGTGCGAGCTTTAATAACATCTCTATTCAATTCCAATGCTGCTCCTGCAATAATGCTATTCGTACTTGTGTTTGTACTTACAAATCCTTTACCATTTTTCCCACTACTACTTCTATCCCCACCAGATCTATCTCGAGCCCTTGCCGCCTCTTTGGCTCGTTCTGTTGCAATACTTTTAACCACATCTTGCCACCCAAGTAACGTCACAAAACACCGTAACGACGCAGCAAACGCTACTCGACATACTTGCCGTGGCACCCGCTCCACAAGCACGTCCAGCGCGCGCGTCGACGTGTCACGGACCTCGGGTCGGATATGTGTCATTGCCATGTTCAAATACAGTGCAATGTGAGCCGTACTAGTGTCTAAGATTGCTGGTGGGACTTCTGCAAGAGCTGTTGCAGCAGCAGCTCGTACACTAGCCGAAGTGTCTAGCAATAAGGGACATATTTTTTGAACAATTTGCTGGAGATCAGCCACAGACGCTGATGCAGATGAAGAAATGTAGGTCCGCTGAATGTGTCCAAGAGCTTCACGACGAGTCGTCCGGTTCTGATGACGAAGAAGAGGTAAATAAAACGCTAGAGGCTTGTCGGATTGTACAAGAACTTGTGAGGGTAGAGAGATTGCGCGCGAGCGGAAAGAAGTATCTGTGTAGGTTGTTGATTTGGGTTTGGTTTTACCCACCCGAAGTTTTTGTTTCTACCAAATCAAATTAGAACTCGGAAAAATTTTAAGAATTCAAAAATTACATACAATAAAATCTTTCTTTTTTTCTTTCTTCTTCTTTGACGATGCCATTGTTGGGATATTTAGTTGATATTCTGAATGGAAAATCCTGGTGGAGTTGACTTTTTAAGAAAAAAAAAAATATTAAAAAAAATATAAAAAAAAAATTCTTTTTTTGAGCCGCACTAAAACCCTAACCCAAATCACGTCTTGATTTTTGCCAACATCACCACCAAAACTTTTAATTTTTTTATTTTTTTTATGTTGTTTTGTGTTAAAATTAAAATAGACTTGACAAATCGCCATATTATTGCCCATCCACTAAATCACAATCATTTTATTATAAAAAAAATTTAAAAAAAAATAAAATAAAATGCCCACTCTTGAAGAAATCGCCGACGATGAAATGGACCTCGAATTTGACGAAGGTGATTTCGATGAACATACTCCATTCACGGCTTCTGCACTCGATGATTCCACAGGTGGCCCTGCCCGTCTGATCCCAACCAAGCCCAAACCTCAACAAACACCTTCAGCTTCCTCTTATACCCCCAACACCTCCAAACCTACCGCCTCTTCAAGCTCCTCATCATTCCCTACTCCAAATTCATCTTCCTTCCCAGACCCTTATTCAGGACTGACTGCCGATGGCCTGCCCATTAATGTCATTGAAGATACCGCAGAAAACCTTGCACAGTTCAAGGACTGGGATGTCCTTTACCCCGTTTACTTTGACAAGAACCGCTCTCACACCCAGGGACGTAGGGTCCCCACATGCTACGCCGTCGAAAATCCTCTAGTTTCTAATATTCTCTCGGCTCTTCGCAACCTGCTCATCCCATGTATTCTCGAGCCCGAAAAAACTCACCCCAAGGACTGGGCAAACCCGGGACGGATCCGGTACCTACTGCGCGATGCAGATGTTGAAAGAGAACGCCGCATTCAAAATCCTCGTGTCGCCGTCATCTCCAACCGCAGAATCCTCTATAAGCTTATTGGAGAATACCTTATTAAGCACCCTACCACAAAGGACACCCCCAAGGAATCCCCACTGTACCGTCAGGTCCACTTGTCTCTGGTTCAACAACAATCCCAGCTTCCACCAGCTAACCGCAAGTCTTCAGACGCCATTGTGATTCCTTCGGGCCCCAAAGCCTTCCCACGCGGATGGAAAAACCATACCGTTGGCTCCATTCTCCCAGCAAACTCCCCTGCCCTATCCTTTTCTGAGTTTACAGACGATTATATGGAGGTCATGGCCAAGCAAATGCTTGGAAACATGGGAGGTCTTATGCCCGGTGCTGGCGGCGCTGGCGGCGCTGGCGGTGTCCCCGGTGTGCCTCCAGGTATGAACCCGAACCAAAAACCCAAAAAGGTTTTTGTCAGACGGTAAAGCTCTGAGGTCATGTGATTTTCAGCCTTACCTCTGAAATTTTTTTTTTTTTGTAAAAATTGTAATTAAAAAGAAGAAGAAAAAAAATAATCTTGAAATCAATTTTGGAAAATTTTGCTATTTCATCAATCAAAACGACACCTCTAATGTCCTTTTTTTCACATAACGAATATATCCAAGAAGGCGATCTGGTGCTGGCATGGATGAACCGCTCTAATATCCGGCCACTCACAGTGACCCGCGGTGAAACCCTCCATACGCAATATGGTTCGTTCCCGCACGATACCCTCATTGGCGTCAAGTATGGCACCCAAGTCGGTAGTACCGCCGGGGCTTCTGGTGGTCATGATGCGCAGCGTGGACCCTCCTCGCGTGGTCATGGTTCTGCTGCAGGATTTATCCACGTTCTTGCGCCTACTCCAGAGCTTTGGTCACTGTCTCTGCGCCACCGTACTCAGATTGTTTACACTCCGGATGCTTCCTACATTGTGCACAGACTGCGTGTGCGCCCAGGGTCTCGCGTGCTCGAAGCCGGTACAGGATCTGGGTCGTTTACCCATGCACTCTCTCGTACTGTTAGTAGCTCAGGCCAGCTGTTTACATATGAGTTTCATGGCCCGCGATACGAGGAGGCATTGCAAGAAGTTGCTGCGGACGGAATCAACCTTAACACGGTTATCACGCACCGCGATGTGTGTGCTGAGGGATTCGATAACCCTACCATAGCTAATTCGCAACGTCCAGATCATGTTATTTCGCAGTTACGTGCGCTTAACAAGGTGGGTGTAGAAACCCCTGTTGAAGGACTTAATCTTCAAGCCAATGCTGTGTTTTTGGATCTGCCTTCGCCATGGCTTGCCATTCCTCACTTGTCGCGAGTTTTGGATACCTCCAAGCAAGCCCATATTTGCTGTTTTTCACCATGCATCGAGCAAGTTGCTCGTGCTGTGGAGACGCTTAAAAAGTATGGCTGGAAGAAAATTGAAATGGTGGAAGTGAGCGCCAAACGTTGGGAGGGCCATAAGGAGATGGTCAAGAGTGTTGGTGATGCTGTCGAGCGGTTACGTGATATTAAGCGCAGACGAGTTCTTGGGCTTCGCAAACGTAACGAGCGCATTGCTCGGGAGCGTGTTCAAGATCAGCAGAATGGAACTTCCGAGGAGACTTTTGTTGCTTCTACTGCAGGTGATTCGGCAGCCGGTGGAGAATCAACACCAGCCGCAGATGACGAGGAAGAAGGTGGGAATGATCAACAACAACAGTCTACAGAACTTAAGCACAAAAAGGGTCCCACGGAAAAATACCGTGGCTTTAATCCTTGGGGTAAAGGCCAGCGGATCCGTGAAGGTGATGAACGCTTCTCGTGGCTCGATGTGTCTCGTGTTGAACCTGAAATCAAGAGTCATACGTCTTACCTGACGTTTGCTATTCTTCCTCCAGTTATGCCGGAGCATCTTTTCAATGCTGATGGAATAGTTATTTCTTCATTGCCTGTTTCTACTGAATCTGCTTCTGAGCCTGCTACTGTTGCTACTCCAACTGTTGATAATGTTAAAGTTGAAACTACCTCTACATAAAATCATCATCTCTGTCTTTCTCTCTCCCTCTCTCTCTCTTTCTTTTCTCCCTCCACTAGTAACCTGATATAGACCCATGCTCCTTAATATTGTCCTTGAGAAACCTTCGCATTGCTGTTACAATTTTTTCTAGCGCCAGCTCGAGCGCAAAATGTCCTGCATTTTCCAACTTTTCCACCGTGCAATTGCGCACATCGCGCCGGTATGATTCACAAATAGATTCATCATTACCAACCGTTAGCACATCTCCCATCCCCCATAATACCAAAATAGGCATGTTGTTTGTGCGCAACCACACTGACGCGTCTGTGTGCAGTTTCTTTCGTAGCGCAAGGTAGTCTGTATACAAAGAGTCGTGCACGTGCCCTAATGTTTCGTGGCGTTGATGAAGCAGCGCATAATCCATTGTGTACAAGAGTGGATCCACCACAGCTGGTTCATCAGATGAGAAAGAATAAAATGAAGCAGCAGCTGGACGTAGAGCTGATGATGGCGCAAGAAACTTGTTTGATGGGAAATAAATTTTCTTAAACTCATCAAAAGGTACTAGCGAGTACGATGCTCGCTTAGCCTCTTGGAGAACCACTTCGGACAAAACCTCCGGTTCAAAAACCATGGTTTGAGTTTCCTCCTCGCCGGGAGATCCTGATAGCCCAGAAGGGTAGGTCGTAGTCACAAGTAAATTGTTGAGCTTGTCATAGGTAAACTCATTCACAACCTCGCTAAACGATACTCGAGAATGAGTGCGTGAGATTGGCTCACCAAACGCACTGCTTCCGTTACTGCTTTCAGACGCTAAACTGGATGAACTATTGCTGCGACTACCCTTGAAGCAAGACTTTAGCGAGTGGCCAGTTTGGCTTGATGTTGGTGATGTTGGAAGATGTAAGATTGTATTATTGTTTTGTTGTTTACTATCTTGAAACAAGTCCAACATACTTGTACTTGTGCGGTCGTCATAAAACATGGATGCGTTTTGAATCACCATTCCAAGAATCTTGCCCTGCTTGAAAGGCATCAACCGTAAAGCTAGCATGGTTCCATATTCGCCTGCACCATAAACAACAAACGATGAAACTCCCAAGGCTTCAAGGAAAAGCACCAGAGTCTCAGCAACTTTATCAAATGTAAAAGTGTAACCCTCAGGTGTTTCAGTTGCACCAAACCCAGGCAAATCCGGAGCGAGCACGTGCAGCGCAGGGCTTTCATGTTCTGATCGATTTGAAGAAGATGATGATCCGTTGGGTCGGCTTGCTAGAGCTGGTAGCAAGTTGCGGAAAGAGTGACTGCTACTGGGTGTCTCGTGGAGCAGTAAGACTGTTGTTGATCCATTATCGTGAGCACTACTGGCTCCGGCTTCTTTGTAATGAATTCGGACCTTATTGTGTAGAGTTCGGTACTTAGATACCGGAATAAAGTCAAGCGGCGATACCCCATTCCCATTATACAACGACGAAGATGACGACGAAGTAGAAGAATGATATAAAAGCATAGTAAAAAAAAATATTAGATATGAATGAATAATAATGATAACTTTTCAAAAAAATAAAAAAAATTAAAAATGAAAAAGAATAATATATATATATATATGCAAAGAAATACTTGGGATTATTTTATTTTGAGCCCAGGATAAGGTTACTATGTATTTAAAAGTCTCTCTCCCTGAAAAATGGGTAGCACGTCATGCGGCGAGCATCCTGGGTAACAATCGTGTGTACATCCCCCCGAGTACCGTCTAACAAAAGAATGAAAGAAAGACCAATCAGCGCATGATGTTTTAGCACCAGAATTTCGCAATAGCTGTTGCATGACCCGACTAAGAAAACAGCTAATGAATGAATGCGCAACTGCTGAAATGGCACAAACCCAAGTAGGTGCAACTATCGGCAGCGGTACGTTGCGGGTTGACAATGTGCTCCACATTATTACTAATTAATAAATTTTACATTAATATTTAGTTAAACCATTTAAGCTCAGATGACAAAAAAAAAAAAAAAGGTTGCAACTAACTATCATGTCATGTGATAGTCAGGTAATAATTAATTACCCTAACCCAAGAACGTTATTTTTAGTCTTTCTTAATACACCAACCTTTATTTTTTTTTTTTTTTTTTTTAGCTCAACTATCATTTACCAAGTTCTTATTGCTTAACAAACCTACACAGTCTTCAGCCACCCAAACTTGCTGCTACTGTTGCTGCCTCCCCATCACTTTAAAATGAAACCCTCCCGGATCTCACTTTCCATGTCAGCAATTGGACCCAGATCATTTGGACTGGCCCGTGCTCCGGCTCTTATATCCCCGTCATCGCTACTTCTGCGATCGCTTGCTATACCCAGAAAGACCCCTCAATTACAATTACCCCAGTCCTTCTCGACTTCTTCAAAGTACCCGGCGGCCGGCCTCGGAGCGCTTTTTGGCTCGCGGCCCCGCAGACCACGAAACCCATATTCTTCTCCATCAAATGCTGCATTCCCCTTTTCTGTTTTTAACAACCTGCCCACCCCAGTTCAGTCCATCTTGCCAATCGCTGGTATTGCTGGTTTGCTGTTTCTTGTTGCTGCCCCGCTGCTTCTTATAATTCTCCCCCCAGTCTTCCTCGCAAGTTATATCTACGTCCGACGATTGCGTTCTAAACGTCAAGATCTTTTTGAGAAAAGATGGTCTGATATGGCATCTTACCATATGGTGACGCAGACTGAGCGTGCTGCTCTTAACGAACAAGAAGCCCTCAAAAAATTGGTCATGCGCCGAGTCGTCCAAGCCATTCAAGACAATGAACATGGTATTGCCAAAAAACTTGGCTTCAAGGTTTCTACTGATGAAGCTAATGAGGGCAAGGTAAGCGATCGTGAACTTTTCAATCGCTCTCACCTAGCACTTACTGATATCCACTCCATTGAGGAAGATTGGCGAGTGTCGCCCCAAGGAATTGCTCAAAACATGACTGTATACGCCCTGGGTCTTGTTGACAAGAATAGAGATAATTTGCCCGTTGCAGACATCAACATTGTTGTCCGCACACGCACACCGAAAAATGCCTTGGGAGCACCTGCCCGTGGTAATAGAACTCAAGACGTGCGTATCGAGCTAGTTTCATCAATTGGCGGGGTTGCCAAAAAACTTTTTGTACTGGACGGCGGTTCTTCAAACAGTGGTAACGGCGGGTCTTTTTCAGGCGGATCAAGCGATGAAGTTATCGACGTCAAGGCAAGAAACGTTAGAGAAAATTAATTCAATTATGATTATGGCATACACTGTTAAAATTTAATATGAGTAAAAATCCAAATTTCCCATAGTAAATTTAATGTTGCATAAAAAAAAGGATTTGAGCCGCATACTTAATATTTTAAGCTCCTATTTGGGTCAAAAACTTTAAATTTCAGGAATATGATTGGCTTATTTACAAAAATTTCGACAAAAAGGGAAATATTTCTATCACGATGTTTTAATTTTAACAGTGATATATGTATATATTATGTAAGCACAACGCTCAGATAAATTTTAAATTTTTTAATTTGATGAAAATAAAAAGAAAAAAAAATTGGTAAAGACTCCCCCCACACATGGATTGATCGACATATTTTTAAAATCAGTAGCTTACAAAGAACCTGGTTCTCAGAAAGCTTCAAGCCTCAAATTTTCTTTTCTTGATTAAACTATGAATAAAAACAATCTCCTCAAATACCATTAAATTATTTTTATAATACCCAAACGATTTTTTTTTTCGTTCTCATGGGCAAACATGGTTGATAGCATAAAGAAGATAATCAAAAATTGAAGAGCTTCTAGAAAATCAAAAGAAGATCAACAAAATCGTTAAAAAAAAAGATCCCATTATTATCGATCTCGAATGATTTTTTTTTTAAAAAAAAAACAAAACGACTTTAATTTTTTCTTGAATTCCTCTTGTTTCTTCTGTTTGTTCCATTTCATTAATTTCACATATACTTGTATATTGTTTCTATCTTTGAGCACTAACTCTCATGTTTCTCTTTTCCTCCCCTCCTAGCATGAATGTGGGTACCAGTTTAACAATGCTTCTATTAATTCAAATAAAATGACCCCATTCTTCTAGAACTATGCAAAAGAAAAAAACTTTAATTTTTTAAAAGAATACCTCTGAAAAAAAAAACTGTTTAGCAAGATAATTGGGAACCAAAATACCTTCTTTAATTCTTTTTTTTTTAATTTTTTGGATACTTTTTCGTATTCTCGGCCAAGTTTTAATGAATATACGCTATTGTCGTCATCAAAAGCATCATCAGACGTGAGTGAAAAATATGTTTGCTCTTAGACAAAAATAAAAGTAAATAAAAATAAATATATTATTGTACTTTCTTTATTATATTTTATTGGGCGAACCAAAAAGAATATATTTATCGTTCAGTGAACACACATGATACCAGTTTAACAAAATGTATTGTTGTCTTTAACATACAAAACTATCGGGAAAAAGGTTGAAAGCATGAATTATTTGTGAGGAGAAAAGGATTTTTTTTTTAAAAAAAAAAAAAAAAGAACATTCAATTATTAGCTCTTGCATCATTTAATACATTATTGGCCTTTTGCTCAATTTCTATAAAAAGAAATAAAGTAGATACATAAGAATGACACACACAAAACAAAAACTTGGGAAAAATGAAGAAAAAAATTGGGAATGAATGAAAGGGGCAATAAAAAGTCGTACGATTTAACTCTTGAGTGAGCCGCCTTTCTTTTAATAAAACTCTTTTGAATTTTACAGATTTACAATCTCTCATTTTCCTTATCTTTCAATTACTAACGCGCTCGCATCCCACATGATTGTTTCAAGTTAAAATACAAGTGCCGGAGATATATAGCAAGCTGGATGTTATTTTTTTTTTGAGACAAGAGACTCAAAGAAGAAACCGGATTCCTTGGATGTGAACCGTTTTAATACTTTCCCAAACATGAAGCGTAAAAGGTCCCAGCCGGAAAGTTACTTTAGAGTATGCACTTTTATTCCAATTTGAATTAAAAATAAAGATTCTTCTTTTTTTCTTTTTTTTCTTTTTTTTCTTTTTTTGATTCACATATTTTGTTAACTGAATAAAAAAAAAAGTTATTAACTGGGCCGATCTGTTAGATGAGCTACTTTATCTAACCCGTAATCTCTTTAATTCCGTTTCTTTTTTGTTGTAACTTTCGGTTTCAAAAGTTTTTTATTTTTTATTTTTAATTTTGAAATTACAAAAAAAAAAAAAATAGGGGAATTTTATTTTTCTTTCTCGTTCTTACTACCTTAAAGACGGACATAAGTTTTAGTCCGTGGTTAAAGTTGCAACTATTTTAATGCAACAGGCACTTACTCCTCGGATATGTTTTCTCTTTTTTTTTAAAAATGTCATACTAAAGGAAATTACACTAGTCTTATTTTTTTTTTTCTAAATTTTTAATACTTTACTGTTAAATGATTGCCAAGTATCAAAAACTCATAAGTCCAATATTAATTGATTGGTTTTTTTTTTTTTTTTTCCATTCATTCATTTTGATATTCCCAATTTACTCCCCATCTAGCCTCTCCTTTAACCGCTGCCCCTCTCTCTTTTTTTTTTCTTATTTTATCCCGCCTCAGACTAAATTGGCAATGAAGCTCCGCTTTGGCGCTATGAAACTTTAAGTTGTTTTTTTATACGCGCGTTTGATGGCACTGGGAAATAAAATATTTGCCGTCAAATAAAGAGGAAAAATAAAGTAACTTCAGCTTCATTTCGTCTATGCCATGCTGGATTTAATACATTGTTTGAAAATGAATAAAGATTTATATAAATGAATTAATCAATCTATATATATATATACTTGGCCTTAGTGCCCTTTTATTTTTAATTTTTAGTTTTTTTTCATTTTTATTCATTTTTATTCATCTTCGACACTTTGATGCCTTGCCTCATGTTTATTTTATTTCATGACAAATCATCCTTCTATTTTAGTTTTCTAGAAAACTTAGTATTTGTATTTACACTACAAAGTTTATAAGCTTGGCTGCGTCATTAGTTTTTACAGCTCTAGAGTTTACCTATTTCTTTTTATATTTATCGATTTCCCCTCCTTTTTCCTGTCTTGTTTTTTTTTTTTCCATTTCTTTAAAAATAAATTTTCTTTATTATATTTTCATTTTTTTTTTATTATAATTCCATCCTAGTTAATATGAATTTTCAAAATATCTCTTCAGGTTACCCGCCAAGCTCTCCTCGTTCAAAGTCGTTATCCAATTCCGGCCCTTCAAGTCCCGAAATGAGTGCAACTATAGACGGCACTACTCATGGCAAGTTTACACGGTTTAAAATCAATAATTTGCTAAGCTCAGAATCAGAAAGCTACCAGCAGACCGATGAGTACATATATCATCAGAATCCTGATTTAAACCAAAAGCAGCAAAGAATTGACAGCCAAGATATTATCAACTTTAGACAAACAAGTAATTCATTTGAAAGTAGTAGTGAGACGAGTGATGCGGAAGCTCCAAGTGCATCTTCAAGCCCTCAAAGCAAAAATAAAACGAAATCCAGTAAAACAACTCGTTTGTTGAGAGGAACAGATCCATTGTCAAAAAAACACCATGAATTAGACCTCAAAAGGTCAATGGCTTTAGTAATACTTAGTGGATATAGTCTACGTCAAGCTGCATCTGCTACTGGTGTGTCTCACGAGACTTTAAGACGAAGACTGAGAAGTTTGAAGCAAAAGACAGACAAATCTTCAGGATCCAGTAAAAAGCTTTTTATCTCAGCAGAAAGATTTGACTGTCAAGCACCTTTAAGTTACCAGAATCAGACCCAACAGTCAAGCTTACCGGATCAAAACATAAGTAAGGGTGGTTTTCAATCTGAAGAGGGCCTCAATAACCAGTGCACACCAGAAGCCCTAAAGCCGATTTTATCAGGTCCACATTCGGCAGTAGATTACAAAAATAATGGGCCAGAGTCTGAAAATTCTGCAGTAGCAGAAGATAGCAAAAAATTAAAACTTAAAGACTTAGGGATTGATGGAAAACGCACAGCAAAACTCAAGAATGAACTTGATATTTTTGGACGGCTATTTCGTCGCGAATTAAGTCAAAAAGCGCCAGAGCTGCAAGATCGATTAATGGGAGAGTATGAAAAAATTAAGCGTCACGTTTACGACTACACATCTCACACAACAGAATCTTTGCAAATGGCCAAAGCAATGATATTTGATGATATTAAGCAGTACGAATGGAGATACTTCCATTCTAAGAGTGTCATGGATTTGACTGAAGCTGACCTCTCTTTAGTCATGTCACCTGAAGACCTCATCCCTCCAGTAAATAAAGAAATTCCAGGAATTAGTACTTCGTTTCATCATGAGGATTTTTCTGACTCTCAACAAAGTTTGAATGAGAGTGAAGCCTCACAGCAATTCCTTGGAACAAGCCCAGAAACAAACACGAGAGAAAATGACAATGTGAGAAGGGTAACTAGCATTAGTAACATTATAAATAAAGTGGATTATTAGATTTTTCATTATTATTTTGTTGTTTTTTATTTTTTTTTTCTTATTTGTTAATTGAATATAGATAATTTGTTATGAATTCGATGATTTTTATCAGATATAGACTTGACCCAATTGCACAACCTTGAACCAGGATGTTACAGTTTGTATGACAACTTTGTGTAACTGCTTGCGCCTCTCTCTAAAATCTCCCCGCGTCTCACAACCATCGTTTAAACCCTCAACCACCGAACCAACCGGCCAGCTCACCACCACCTTTTTTTTTTATATACAAATACTTCCACACACAAACACGCACACACACACACACACTGCCACTGACAAAAAAAATTGTCGCAGTTGCTCTCTTTTTTTTTTCCCTTTTTCTTTCCACAACAAACTTTTCATATCTACTCGTCGTCGGCAATTGCCTATTCCCATAAATCTTCTTATTACCCAGACTGGCTTTCTGCGTGGAGACTCTAGACAAAAGTTTTCATTTACGGAGGTGTACAAAGCAAATACATTCCGAAAAATAACGCGATAAAGGACCCGCTTTAAATATATATCCCTTTTTTTTTTTATCATCATTTATTTTCAGTTTTTTATTGATTGACCAAATAATTGCAAAATGGCCGACCTACCACCCATTGTTTTAGACCAGGGTACTGGTTTTGTCAAAATTGGACGTGCCGGAACCAACTTCCCTGACTATACTTTCCCGTCAATTGTGGGCCGCCCTATTTTACGAGCAGAGGAGCGCAGTACCGACCTGGCTGGCACGGGCTTAGAGGGCATTGAAATCAAGGACATTATGTGTGGTGACGAGGCATCTGCAGTTCGTTCACTGCTCCAGATCTCATACCCCATGGAAAATGGTATCATCCGCAACTGGGAGGATATGACCCACCTGTGGGATTACTCCTTCTACGACCGCATGAATATAGATACCCGCGGTCGCAAAGTCTTGCTCACAGAGCCCCCAATGAACCCGCTCGCCAACCGTGAAAAGATGGCCGAAGTTATGTTTGAAAGATATGGCTTTGGTGGTGTGTACGTTGCCATCCAAGCCGTTCTGGCACTTTACGCCCAGGGTCTGACCTCGGGTGTCGTTGTCGACTCGGGTGACGGTGTTACCCACATTGTTCCTGTTTACGAGTCTGTTGTTCTCAACCACTTAACCCGCCGTCTGGACGTTGCGGGTCGTGATGTGACCCGCCAGCTCATTGCTCTCTTGCTTCGTCGTGGTTATGCTTTTAACAGAACAGCCGACTTTGAGACTGTGCGTCAAATTAAAGAGAAGTTTTGCTACATTTCGTACGACCTGAACCACGACACAAAGCTTGCTGAAGAGACTACTGTTCTTGTTGAAAAGTATGAACTTCCTGATGGCCGTGTCATTAAGATTGGCCCCGAGAGATTCCAAGCCCCCGAGTGCCTGTTCCAGCCTCAGCTCGTTGACTGCGAGCAACCTGGTATAGCTGAATATCTTTTCAACACCATTCAATCTGCCGACCTTGATGTCCGATCCAGTTTGTACAAGGCTATTGTGCTGAGTGGTGGTTCATCCATGTACCCTGGTCTTCCTTCGCGCTTGGAGAAGGAGCTTAAGCAGCTGTGGCTCACCAGAGTGCTACACGGCAACCCAGAGCGACTGGAAAAGTTTAAGGTCAGAATCGAAGACCCTCCTAGAAGAAGACACATGGTTTTCATTGGTGGTGCTGTTCTTGCAAACATTATGAAGGACAAGGACCACTTGTGGATTAGCAAGCAAGAATGGGAAGAGCATGGACCATCTATCTTGACCAAGCTGGGCCCTAGATAAAAAGGGAATAAAATAAGAATAGGAAAAAAAAAATAAAGTCTCTTGATACGTAAATATACAAATTTATATATATTATCCAACTCACTGTTTTTACTTTTCATCAACTTCTTGTCGTAAAGGGATAGTGAGTTCGACGCCTGTGAGTTTTTGCATATACTTGATATAGTCCAGGCCTTTACCCTCTCTCTGAAGAGCCGCATCCGATTCCTGCTCGTGAGCAAACTCCTCATGAAGAGGCATGGAGCGCACCAGGACATCAATCATAGAATCTGGAACCAGAGAATTTTGCAAGTCAAGCTCTGTGACATAGGCTTTGCCCTCAGCAATGTCGACAAATGACTGCAAGACTTGGTCGGCTGTCTGTTGGTCCTCAGTAACTTCAACCATAAATTTAATAAATTGTTCAAACGATACTGAAGGAAGTGCCTGTTCGATTGAGTGAGTTGAGCTCCGATGGCTTGCATGTCGTTGGTCTATCGATTTTGGGTGTAAAAGAGTAGAGGATGAGGAAGCGTTACTATCCCGGTCATGTTTGGAGGAAACAGTAGTGTGAGAGGAAGAAGAAGAAGATCGTGAAAAGGGAGAAGAATCAGTCGAAGAAGATGACGATTCCGATGATTCAGTTGATGCACTTGTGTGGGTTTGTGACTGAGAAATGCCAGCGGCAAGCTCGAAAACATCATGCATTTCTTCTTCCGTGTAAATAAGCCCCAGCGATGCCAGCGCGCCGGAAAACTCGCTCTCAAGAAGAGCGTTGCGATGGCCCTTGTCAAAAAATCGAAACACAGACTCAAATTCCTCAAGTTGGATTGGTGTTAGATTGGTCATGCTGCGTGCCACAATTTGATTTTCAATAAAGGCTAGTTTCTTGACCACGCTCTGCTTCGCCAGTCCCAGCTCATACTCCAACTCGTCGTAAGAGTAGACTGTGTAGTCGTTTTCTTCAACACCAGCCTCCTGGCATTGTGCGTCAAGGTCTCGTAGCTCACAAAGTGTGCTATCAAGAGGCTTGATCTTATCGCTGAGATCGGTAATTCCTAGCAATTGTTTTTCAAGCTCGCCATCAAGATCACTAATTCGCAGTGACACCATATCTAGTGAAAGCGCAAATTCGTTTGCAGTATCAGCAAACCGTTTTCGTAGCAGTTCCTTGATTTCACCCAGTTTGTTGTTGATGCGTTTTGCCTGTGAGGCTTCAGCTGCTAGTAACGTGCGCCAGGCTGCCTCTAGATCAATGAGCCGCAGACCCTCTGGTGGATGGTATTCACAAAGCCCATAGGTAGCTAACTTGGTACGAATGTTGCCAAGTAAAGAAGTGAGCTCTGATTTTTCTGTGATCCATTGACGCTTGGTCGTACGCTTATAATTGAGGAATTCTGTGCGGTGAGCCTTTGCGTCAATATATGTATCGTCAAATGGTGCGCTAAGCCACGCAGCCTGTTTTGCCTCCATTGCAGCCAGTAGTGCGCTCACGCGTTTTTCATACGAGTGTTGCATTTCTAGAGCGGAGCCGGTGACTTCTACAAACTTTTCCACGCGACGGCCTGCTGTTTCAATTCGATCCAGGGAAGAAAAGGCGTGGAACCAATAAGCGACATATGTCATGATTGATCGCTCATCGGGTTTGGCGACATCACAAATGTCTTCAACGTCGAGCAACTGGGGGATACCAATTTCTTCAGATGCAATTTGGAAAGCAAGTTCCATATTGCCGCGATGATCGTCAGGGTCAAGTTTGTTATAGTCGATAAGATCTGGGCGGTGTCGGTCCAACAACGCACAAAATGCTAGGCCATCGGTCCATGAGGTTGAAAAATTTTGGACATCGACACCATCATATCCGGCAGTTTTGCGTTGGCACCACAACAGTAAACCTTCTTTTGCCGAAAGACCTTCTTCGTTAATGTCTGAGATGGTGAAGCGGAGAATGAGGACCCAAAGCAGACCCAACACAAGTTTAAGATTGGCGTCAATAATATCCTCAGCTCCGATATTATACACCATAACACCACGATGTTTAATAAAGTCAAGAGCAGTATTGACATTTTCAGCTTTTTGAACACGGAGTTTGGGATTAGGATAGTAGCGACCCAGAGACTCTCCTCCAATGATTTCAAGGAGCTGGATCAAACGAACTCCGTTTGAGAGGTCTGGTGCAAGGTTTTCGAGAGGTGGAATTGCTTGTGACTGCAGGTATGTATTTGCCCAACGCATAAAGGCCTTTTGCTGGGTAGCAACCCAAGCTGGTAGTTCTCTGTTTGATGAATTAGAAGATCTGTATGAATATGAAGACATTTTGATTGGTATGTGATGAGAAGAGATGAAGTATGTAGGTGTGGAGAATGAATGTAAAAAAGAAGGGATATTTATTCAATACTTAAGAAAAAAAAAATTGTTCTTCATAAGATCCCAATCTGTTCTAATCCAGAATCTAAGGCAGATCAGTTATGTCCATAAAGATATGTCAAAATCCAGCAAGGGAAAAAAAAAAAAAAAAAAAAAAAAAAAAAAGACTCAGGAAGATTTACAAATAAAAACAAACAAACTAATGAAGAAACGGGGGGGGTGTTAAAATGGAGGTCGTTTTGAACCCCTGGTGTCATGCGCTTCCCAAAAGAGAAAAATAGGGAGGTGATGAGGTAAAAGTCTTAAACATTTTAAATAATAAGTTATATAGTTTAAGTCTTATTTCAGTCACGTTATTTTTAATCAGCCGCATTTAAACAATTTTCAATTTTGTCAGGTTTTCTTTTTTTTCATTAGCTTATAAGCTATCTATAGCTAATTAGCTATAGATAATCTATAGATGGATCTGTGAGCTCCCAAGAACTGCAACTGCTGCTGATCTCAAATTCAAATTCAAATTTTCAAAAAAAAATAGATTTCGGTTGAAATTGAATTACTTAAAAAAAAAAAAAAATAAATAAAATTCTGGCAGTTAATAATAAAAAATGAAGAAATTTCTGGCAAGTACTTGTTGATTTGTTTTATTTTTTTTTTCATTATAATGACGTTTCTATGTGCAACAAAATGCAAATTGTTTGTTTGTTTGTTTTTATTCAAGGGTTAACAAAATGCAAAATACCTTTTTCATCTGAAAAAATTTCCTAAATATTTCTATATTTATATATCAAAATATCTTTTAAGGCATTTATTTCTATTGAGGTGTTTTTTTTTTCTTTCTTATGGACACTAATTATTGTTTTGATAGTTTAAATATTACTAAATTACTAATGAATATATAATCTTTACATAATATTTAATATTTATATAAATATATATAAATATATATAAATATATATAAATATGCTTGACATTTTCTTCAAACCACAGAAGGTTATGGAATATTCCAACGCGCCGGCGGAACACATTGGAATGTCACGGAACTTTCTGATCACGTGATAAGACACTGAAAATTTCACTTTGTTATTGTTATTGTTGTTGTTGTGGTTTTCATTTTTTTTTTTTTTTTTTTTTTTTTTGCAGGGCTCTGCGGGGTGGCAATTTCTATGGCTGAATGGTTGGCCTGGCTGGCTGGCTGGCGTTGGCGCTGGCGCTGGAAAAAAAAAAAAATTTCCTACGTGGGAGGTTCCAAAGATTTCCATGGAATCTGCTAGAACCTCCACAACAAGACCTTGCCAGCTAAACTCAAAAATTATATAAATAATCGAATCAGCCCCCTTTGCTTTTCTTCTTCTTCTTTTTTTTTTTTCCCTCTTTTCTTACTATACAATCAACAAAAAATAATTCTCTAATCAACAATTCCAATTCATCACAAAACATACATTCACTATGAGTGCCCCTGTTAAGTCTGAATCTTACGAGTTCCAGGCTGAGATCTCTCAGCTGATGAGCTTGATCATCAACACTGTCTACTCTAACAAGGAGATCTTCCTTAGAGAGTTGATTTCTAACGCTTCTGATGCCATTGACAAGATCAGATACGAAGCTCTTTCTGATCCTTCCAAGCTTGAGACTGAGCCTGAGCTTTTCATCAGAATCACTCCCAAGAAGGAGCAGAAGGTTCTTGAGATCCGTGACTCTGGTATCGGTATGACCAAGGCTGATCTCGTCAACAACCTTGGTACCATTGCCAAGTCTGGCACCAAGGCTTTCATGGAGGCCCTCTCCGCTGGCGCTGATGTCTCCATGATTGGCCAATTCGGTGTCGGTTTCTACTCACTTTTCCTTGTCGCTGACCGTGTCCAGGTCATCTCCAAGAACAATGACGACGAGCAGTACATTTGGGAGTCTTCTGCCGGCGGTAAGTTCACCATCACTCTTGATGAGGAGAATGAGAGAATCTCTCGTGGTACTGTCCTCCGTCTTTTCCTGAAGGACGACCAGCTCGAGTACCTTGACGAGAAGAGAATCAAGGATGTTGTTAAGCGTCACTCTGAGTTTGTCGCCTACCCCATCCAGCTTGTTGTCACCAAGGAGATCGAGAAGGAGGTCCCCGTCGAGGAGTCTGAGGAGAAGACTGAGGAAGAGTCCGACGAGAAGAAGCCTAAGATTGAAGAGGTTGACGACGAAGAAGACAAGAAGGAAGAGAAGAAGGTTAAGAAGGTTAAGGAGACTGTTACTGAGAATGAGGAGCTTAACAAGACCAAGCCTCTTTGGACCAGAAACCCTGCTGACATTACTAAGGAGGAGTATGCTGCTTTCTACAAGTCCATCTCCAACGACTGGGAGGACCACCTTGCTGTCAAGCACTTCAGCGTTGAGGGTCAACTCGAGTTCCGTGCCATTCTTTTCATTCCCTCGCGTGCTCCCTTTGATCTCTTTGAGACCCGCAAGAAGAAGAACAACATCAAGCTTTACGTCAGACGTGTTTTCATCACTGATGATGCTGAGGAGTTGATTCCTGAGTGGCTTTCTTTCGTCAAGGGTGTTGTGGACTCTGAGGACTTGCCCCTTACCCTTTCTCGTGAGATGCTCCAGCAGAACAAGATTCTCAAGGTCATCAAGAAGAACATTGTCAAGAAGCTCATCGAGACCTTCAACGAGATTGCTGAAGACCGCGAGCTCTTTGATAAGTTCTACACTGCCTTTGGCAAGAACATCAAGCTTGGTGTCCACGAGGACTCTACTAACCGTGCTGCTCTTGCTAAGCTTCTCAGATACAACTCTACCAAGTCTCCTGAGGAGCTCACTTCTTTCCAGGACTACATCACCCGCATGCCTGCCCACCAGAAGAACATCTACTACATCACTGGTGAGTCTATCAAGGCTGTTGAGAAGTCTCCCTTCCTTGATGCCCTTAAGGCCAAGGACTTCGAGGTTCTTTACATGGTTGACCCCATTGATGAGTACGCCATGGCTCAGCTCAAGGAGTTTGAGGACAAGAAGCTTGTTAACATCACCAAGGACTTCGAACTTGAGGAGACTGAAGAGGAGAAGAAGCAGCGTGAGGAGGAGATCAAGGAGTTCGAGCCCCTCACCAAGGCCCTCAAGGAGATTTTGGGTGACCAGGTTGAGAAGGTTGTTGTTTCCCACAAGCTCATTGATGCTCCTGCTGCCATCAGAACCGGCCAATTCGGCTGGTCCGCTAATATGGAGCGTATCATGAAGGCTCAGGCCCTCCGTGACTCTTCCATGTCTGCCTACATGGCCTCCAAGAAGACCTTTGAGATTTCTCCTAAGTCTCCTATTATTAAGGAGCTTAAGCACAAGGTCGAGGAGGACGGCACTCAGGACAGAACCGTCCGTGACTTGACCACTCTCCTTTATGAGACTGCTCTCCTCACTTCTGGTTTCACTCTTGATGAGCCTAACTCCTTTGCCAGCAGAATCAACAGACTTATCTCTCTTGGTCTCAACATTGACGAGTCTGAGGAGGCTCCTGTTGCTGCCGCTGCTCCCGCTACTGAGGCTGTTCCCGCTGAGGCTGCTGCCGAGTCTGCCATGGAGGAGGTTGACTAAACATCTCAACATTGTGCTTTTAACGAACTCCAAAAATTTTTAAAAGTTTGATGATTTTTTTTTCTTGTGTATATTACTTGTTCTCTATAGTTTATAATTTATTGGTTTAAAAATAACTTGGTTCTACAATTTTTCTTTTTTTTTTCTTTTTTCTTTTTGAAATTTAAAATTTAAATTTTTATTGCTGCTTGAGTGTAAAGGTTTTAAGTTGACATTTTATTACTGATTATTTTACTGAAGTTTTGTAAGCTGACTTTTGTCTCTCTGTATTTAAGCCAAAGTTTCAATTTAGGCTGATTTTTTTTTTTGTATCATTATTGCCATAGTATAAGCTTACATTGCTTCTAAAATTTACCGGTATTCAAAATTGATGCTCTGATTTAGTCGAAAATTCTCAAGACTTAAGCGATTTTCCTGTATAAACCTTGTATTTACGTACAATTGAATGATTCAAAATGACTATAATTTTTATTATAAACAGTTTTTGAATCTATTTCTGAGTGAAATATCATAACTACTATATATATATGTTAATTCTTTTATTAATCTTAACAGATTTCGTTGGTCTTTGGAAAGATGCTGCTGTACTAGTTTTTCCAAAAAAAAATTTCAACCTTGTGCACGTGGGTCTTACATAAATCATTATTTTTACAAGATAACATTAGCTCAAACATTTAATTCAAGATTACACTAACTTAATTTGTAACTAATATTACAGAATCTTAATGAAATTAAGCACTTAGCCCCCCAAAATCAGTGGTTTTCTTTTGTAAATATAATTAAGTTAAATACTTACAGATAATTAAATTTACACGTGACTACCTGGTTGTATAGTGTAGTGGTGAGCACATCGGATTTTGATTCCGGTAACCCCGGTTTGATCCCGGGTACGACCTTATTTTTGTTTTTTTAATTTTATAATTTTTTAATGTTTTGAGTTATGACAAACGCGAGAAAAATGTGGGAAATTTTTTTCACCACCACCATAATCATTTTCTCATTACACAACAATTTTGTTTATTTTTTTTATTTTTTTTTTTTTTTGAACACACCATTGCTTCGCGGCTTTGAAAAAAATAAACAACCCATTGTTTTAGCTTTTCCATAGTTGCAAAACATAACATCTATCTACTCATTTTCTGTTATTTTTATTAATTTCAATCCTCCTACTTGAATCCAAAAAACATTGCTCTGATCAAATCTCTTGCCACCAATTCTTCTGGAGCTGAAATCAGAACCAATGTCTGAGGAAAACAAGGATAGCTCCACTGAGCTGAATCCTCTTGTACTATCTTCTGCTGATGTTTTCACGGAGACAGCTCCTTCCGCAGTCAATGAACCGTCCTCTAATGATACTGCCCCAGAACAACAAGCTGCCCCTGTGGAAGACGTTGTACTCCAACAAACGACGTCCGTGTCTGCAGACGAGCCAACAGTACCTGAAACTTTAGTCGAACCGGTCACTATTAACAAAAAAGAACCTATAAATAATAATGAGCAGCAAATTATAGGAACACCTACGGTGGAAACAGCGGCTGTGGAAACACATGTAGCCACCGAACCATTAGTCGATTCTACTTTTACCACCTCAAATTTTGTTGCTGCCTCCAATGTTGTCGCTGTTACTTCTGATATACCCGCTGATCTTCCTGCACCCGTTCTAGAAACTTCACAACAAGAGATTCCAGCCACTGTTCAAACTGCAGAACCTATTACTAACCATGTGACAGCTGAAGCCAATCCCGCTTCAGTTAAAATCAACAACACTGTGCCAACAGAAGTTATTGCTGTTTCTACTGAGGTCAACTCTGAGCCGATTGAAGTTGAATCGGTGCTAGCTGAAACCGCACCTGCGGCAACTGAATTCATTTCTGTCCCAGCTGAAACAGTGCCTGCGCATACAGAAATTGCTTCTGCACTTATTGAAAGCAATCCTGAGCCAATTGGGGATAATTCGGTGCCAACTGAAAACACTGAAGTTACCCCCGCACTAACGGAAACAACTGTAGTTCCAGCTGAAATCAGTCTTAGGCAAACTGATGTTGGCTCTGAACCAATAGCCAATACGGATATAACTGAATCCCATACAGAGCCCATGGAAATTGACAACGATCTTATTGAAGTCATCAATGCACCGACAGAAGTTTCTCCCGAATCTATGGAGGTTGACACCATTCCAGCTGAAGCCAATCATTCACCTGCGGAAGTTACTCCTGCATCAGTCGAAGTCACTCATTTACCCGCCGAGGTTATTTCGGCGCCAACTGAAGTTGATAGTGAGGTTATGGAGGTCGACTCTGTGTCAAATGAAGCTGGGACTTTACCGGCTAATATTATTCAGGCATCAACTGAAGTTATTCCTGTACCAGTAGAAGCTACAAATTTACCTGCTGAAGTCACCACTGCAACAACTGAAGTCGACCCTGAGCCTATGGAAGTTGACCCAGTTCCAACTGAAGTCATTCCTTTACCAGTCGAAGCTACACACTTGCCTGCTGAAGTCGTTCCCTTAGCATCTGAAGTCAACCCCAAGCCTACTGAGGTGGATTCTGAATCAAAAGAAGCACAAACTAAGCTGAGTGAAGTTGAAACTGAATCAACTAATGCTTCACTAGCTACAACTGAGCTTGATTCAGCCAACGTTGATAATAAACCTGTTGAAGTTTCTTCCGCACCAACAGAAGTCAATAATATACAAACAAGACCGGTACCATCTGAATCTGCCCAGCTACCATCCCAACTTTCAGTACTTCAAACTGAAGTTTCTCAAACGATGTCTCCTGCACCTCCAGTTCTACCAAATAGTGAAACATCTGGGGTATGTTTTTGAATTTACGAAAAAACTTTTTTTTTTTTTTTTTTTGACTAACATTATTTTTTTAGACTTCTCTCAACCCTAATGTATCAACTGAATTAAGTGAACAACCTTTGGCATTACCAACTGATGAAAACAAATTAGCGATTCTTAAAACAGCGGCTCGATTTCTTTCTGTCGAACCCTTGCTTCTCGTAAAAATGCCAGAATCTATTGTGGAATCAATTGTTTCTCAAGCTACCAAGCTGGAAACGTTAAAAAGTCAACAGAAGATTGCTGAAATCTCTTACGAACAAAATATTAATGCCAATAAAAATAAAGTCACTCTTCTTTGCAAGCAATTGGAGACTGCCTCCGCTGAGTCCACTTCTCTTCGCTCACGACTTTTAGAAGCTCAAAACATTAAGTCAACAATAGAACACGACTTTTTGACTGCAAAGAGCTCGTCAAGCACTCTTTCTGATGAGCTTATTTCATTGAGGACTAGAATTTCTACTTATTCAGATGAAAAGCGTCAATTTCTGGAAAACATCAATCAAAAAGCTTCAGAGATTAAAGACCTCCAATCTGATCGCGAAAGGCTTAGAAAGGAAGAAATTGAGGCCCGCAAGTCTATTATCAACCTTGAAACACTGCTTCAGAAATTCCAATCTTCTCAAATATCCGTCCAAATGCGCGAACAGAATCAACAACAAGAAATTTCTTTGTTAAAAAAGAATAATGAATGGCTTGACAATCAACTTATGACTAAGTCCGATGAGCTTAACAACTTTAGAAGTGAAAAACTTTTTGTCATTTCTACCATGCAGTCTGATCTTTCTTCTTTACAGTCTTCTTATCAATCATTAAAGAAATCACACGACACTCTCAAAACACAATATGACCACACATCAAAGCAACTCAGTGATGCTCTAGTTAAGGTTAAGGATCTTCAGGATGCACAGGCAACTAATGAAGAAACTTTCAGAGTTGAAATGTCCTCACAAAAGCGACTGGCTGATCTTTGGGAGCGCTCTGCAAAGGACTCTAAGAAACGTGTTGAAGAAGTTGAGAATCTTCTTGAGTCTTTGCGAAATAATGAGTCCCAGAATATTGGTCAATGGAAGGAGCTTGCTCAAAAGGAAAAAGCTCGTGCTGATTCTTTGGCCAAGCAAATTTCTTCTCTTGAAAGCCAGCTTGAAACTACAATTATTAACTCTGAACAGCCTAGTGAACCAGGAACTCCATCATCTAAGAAAGAATCTGGTACTTCGTCTACTGTTGTCTTTTCTCCTTCAGCTAAAATTATTGCCGACATTCAAAAAGGCGGTGGGTCGCTTGTTCAGTTATACACAGATTTCCAAGAAGCCCAAAGCCGGCTTGCCAGAGAACGTCACAAAAACAATGCTTTGCGCGAGCAGATGAATGAAATAATGGATGAGATGGAACGACATGCTCCTGCAATTATTGCTGAGCGTGAGGAAAATAAGCGCCTTGAACATGAACTTACTGAGATGTCTATTCAGTTAGAGGCCGCAATTTCCACTTCTGACACTGCTTCTGAAAAACTTAAGACAACTGAAATTAAGGTGCAAGATTACGAAAAGGAAACCAAACTTCTTTCTCAGCAGGTCAACGATCTTTCTCGCCAGGTCCAAAATCTTATTATTCAGAATGATATTTTGTCGCACCCGGATCAACCAATCACTCCAGAGGAGCATACTGCTTTACAAAAGATTCTTAATGGCGGATCTCTTGAAGATTCTGATACCGACAAGTTGATTACACAACGATTAGTATTGTTTAAAAACTCATTAGATTTGCAACGCCAGAATGCCAATCTTTTAAAGATTACACGTGAACTTGGAAAGAAGATGGAAGAAAAGGAAAAGGAGATGCAGCTGAAGCTTGAGGATGTTGAATCAGTTGCAGTTTCTGATGCCAAAAAAGCCATTGAAAGTCTTCAGACTGAAATCGCGTCTATCAACACTAAACTAGGTGCTGTCACTCGTGAGCGTGACATGTTCCGACGTATGCTATCCACAAAGTCTGAAAATGGAGTTTCACTTGCCACTGCTGTTGAAAACTCTTCTGAGGGCCAAGCCACTGCTCAAACCCAGCATCTCATTAAACAAAATGAAAGACTTACTGCCCATGTCAAGGATCTTGAAACAGAAATTTCCAATATGCGAACTGACACAGCTGCCACTATCAAGGAGCTTGATTCCAAGGCCGTTGGATTGATGAATGAACGGTCTACTTTACAACTTCAATTGGCTAAGACTGAGAGCCAATTAGAGCTTGCTAACGAACGCCAAAAGCATTTTAGCAGCAACCTCGAAATTATTAGATCTGAAAATGAAGATTTCAAGAAGAGATACCGATCGATGGAAGAAACATTAACTAAGCAAGAACTTCGCGCCCAAAAACTTTCTGAGGATCTTTTTGCATCATCTTCTTCAATGGAATCAATCAAAAACGAGGTCGCTAATCTTAGAGCTGAGCGATCCATCTGGAAATCAATTGAAGAGCGACTCAATAAAGAAAACTCTGAATTGATTGAAGAGCGTGGACGTCTTAGTGGTCTTCTCGCAAATTCTAAGTCTTTCGAAACCGAGAGAGCCAACTCTACTGCTGAAATTACCAATCGTCTTAATTCTCAAATTGCCAAACTTGAGTCAGAACTTGTCGCCCTGCGCAAGAAACTTGATATACAGACTGAAGATGTTAAGAATATTTCTTTGCTCAAGGAAACGGAAGCCCAGAATTATCTTAAACGTATTGAGCAGCTGACCACTGATCTTGTCGCTGTTCGTCAATCACTAGCCAGGGCTTGTGATGATCATGAGAAGTTTAAAGCCGCTCATGATCTTGTCAAGACACATCTTGCTTCTGCCCAAGAAAAGCTCAAGGCTTTGGAGGCTGCTTCTGTTCCAGATCCCAAATCACGCGAGTTTGTTCTTACACAGCAAGTCAACTCCTTTAAGAAGAAGCTCGAACTTGTTCAAGCTGAGCTTGATCTTTCCAAGAAGAATTTAGAACAACTTCGAGAAGTTGCCAAGGCCGCAGAAACTGCATTGGAGGAAATGAATAGCACTCATGACAAGTATAAGGAATCTACCGACAAGCAACTTACCGACAAAGAGGTGTGTATAAATTTCTTATTAACGTTTTTTTATTTGCTAACAACTTTAGGCTGAACTTGCTTCTTTCAAAAAACGGTTTGAAACTACCACCAATATTTTGAACAAAACTAAGGAGACCTATTCCAAGATTGACGGACAGCGTCTTAAACGTATTCAGGAACTTACTGAAGAGCAAAAACGCTTACAAGGCATTGTTGATGTTTTGCAGACAAGTGAAGCCAAGTTCAATGCTAATATCGAAAAGTTCAAAGCCGATTTAGCTCAGCAAGTTTCAATCGCCAATAACGCTCGTCAAGATTATGAACAAGAGTTGGTAAAGCATGCTGAAGCCGCAAATGCTCTTAAGGTTCTTCGAGAGGAAGTTGCTGGTTCCAAGGCATCTGAAGAAGAACTCAAGCGGGCTGCCCAAGTAGCTGTCGAAAAACTTGCTACATCAGAAAGCAGTTGGGAGTCACAAAAGTTTACTTACGAAAACGAAATTGAACAACTCAAGTCAAGGTATGCATTTTCAGCAAAAAATCATTGCACTTTATTAACTTTTTTATAAGATTTGATGAAACCACTTTGCAAAACAGACTTTTACTTGATCAACTTGAAAGTGCCAACAACAGAATTAACAAGAACCCTCCGTCATACGAAGATGCCACAACTTCTGATGCCCAGCTTCGCGAGCTCGTCAACTTTTTGAAGAGAGAAAAGGAGATTGTTGATGTCAAATACGAGCTTAATTTACAGGAAACTAAGCGTCTGAAGCAGAAACTTGAGCAAACCACTACCTCACTTGACGAAACTCGTCTGAAACTTGAACGGTTAACTGAAGAGCAAAAGAAGGGAGGAAATGGGGATGATCAAAAGAAACTTCAGGATCAACTTAATGACATTAGCATTTTGCGTGAAAGTAACTCTACATTACGTCAGCAAAGCAACATGTATTCCAGAAAGGTTAAGACTCTTGAAGTCGAGATTGAAAAACTTCGTGCTCGTGTCGAGCCTTTAGAGGCTCAATTGCGTGAATCGAAGGTTGAAATTGAAGCCAAGGAAGCCCAAATCAAGCTGGTGGAACAGGAGGCCAATGACTGGAAGGCTAGAACTCAGAATATTTTGCACAAATATGAGGTAAGCAAATTTTGTGGATTTTTATTTTTATTCATTTATAGACTAACTTTTTTTTGAAGCGTATTGATCCTAAGGTTGTTGCTGATCTCAAGGCAGAGAATGAAAAGATTAAGAAAGATTTTGCTAATTCAACTCAATCTTTGACTTCTCTCGCAACTAGAATTACTTTGAAGGATCAGGAGATTTCTAAAAAGACTTTGGAACTTCAAAAGGCTGTTGGTGATCTTGCCAAGGTTAATGAACAGCTCAAGACTGTGGTTGCAGAGCAAACGAAGAGCAAGGAGGAAATGGAAAAACTTAAGGAAGAAGTAAAGTACCATGAGAATCGGTTTATTCGTGTTAGGGAGGAGTTTCTTGAAAAGCTTAAAAGGAACCGTGCCACTCTCAAGACCCAACTCGATGCTCAGGAAGCTGAAAAGAATACCCTTAGAACGGAGATTACCAACTTAAAGGTAGAACTTGAGAAAAAGAACAACGATGTTAAAGTTATTGATACTGATGAGGTATCGTCACTTAAGACAGAGCTTGCTCAAGTTAAGGAATCACTGAGTACCAAGGAGGCTGAGTTGGCAAAAATACCTGAGTCCAAACCAGTAAATGAAGAGGTTTTGGAAAAAAATAATCGCATCAAGGTACTTGAGGAGGAAGTTAACAAATTGAGTGACCAAATTCTTGAACTTCGACAAAATAAGTTGAAGCAGCCGCCAGATGCCGAGATTGTTTCTCTGAAAAAGCAAAATGCTGAAATTCAGACGAAGCTGGCCAAGGTTTCTGAAGAAGCGCGCCAAAACTTTGAAAGCGAATTGTTGCGAAAAACACAAGAAATTCAGAATGCTGCTCAGAAAAGGGTCGATACTGCGGTGCAGAACTATCAGAAGCTTATGGAAGAACAGGCGAAAGAAAATAGTAACCAGGACAACAATGGCGGTGGTGTAATTGTTCAAAGTGGTGACGAAGCTATCAAGAAGCTTAACGAACAGCATGAGGAGGCTATCAAGACACTTAAGACTGAGGCTGCAAATGAAAAGAAAAGGGCCCGAGACATGGCCTTAAAGGAAAGTGAGATGCGAATCAAACTTTTGCAGGCCAAGGCGGAAAAAAATGAACGCGAAAAGGGATCACTTGCAGAGCAGATTAATGAGTTGAAAAACAAACTTGAAATGCAGCAGAAACTTCCAATTCCTCCATTCTTTTCGCCAGGAATGCCGTTTGGTAATCCGTTTATTCCCAAACAACAGCCTCAGCAGCTCCAACAACAACAACATCAGCAGATACAGCAGCAACAGCAGCAACAACAACAACTACAGCAACAGCAGCAGCAGCAACAACAACAACAACTACAACAACTACAGCAACCTCAGCAGCTCCAGCAAAATGATTTGATTCCTGGAGTTTTGGCTGCGAAAAAGCAACAACAAGAAAACGGGACTAGTACGCAACAAGCGCCGGGAACTTCTGCTCTTTCTGTCACTCCAGGTAGTACACAAATTCCACGCAATGCATCACGGTTACCGATTCGCACAATTGGTGCTCCAGCAACACTACCGGATACATCACCTGCAGCTGCATCAGTGACTGCAGGTGCTGCAGTTGCTAAGCGAGGTCCTGTTGTAAGTGGGGTTCCAGCTTTTGTTGGACACACGCCTGGAGGAGGAAATGTGATTAATTTGACATCGATTGAGCCTGGACAAATGGTCAAGCCAACCGGCCTCTCAATTTCACAGCCTGCTACCCGGAACTCGTCGCCGCAACCCCCGGTGACTACTACCACTACTACGGCATCGCCTGGACTAACAATAACCGCTGTTGTGCCATCAAATTCACCTACTGGTTCATTAGGTGCTACATCTGCTACTTCTTCAACTGCTGGGTTGTCTTTACCAACGGCGCCTAGCGCTTCTCCATTTACAATTATTCCTTCAGGACCTTCTGTTACCAACAGCAACAGCAATAATACCATAATTGCAGGTGCAGGTGCAGGTGCAGGATTAAAACGGTCTAACGAGACCGTTGAGTCTGGAGGGAAAATTAAGGATGCTGGTGGAAATAACGGACAACCGGAAGCGAAAAGACGGCGAGAAGGTGATGATGGTGGATTGGAGGCTGAGACTGGATCTTCGAATAATCATAACAACCATAATAACAACAACAATAATAATAACGGCAATAATAATAATAACAACAACAACAACAACAACAATCATCATCAAAATGTAAGTTGATTTTTTTTTAATTAATTATTTTGTTCATGGATACCTTTTCAGAAAGCAGTGATTTTCAGAAATTTTCTTTCTTTGCTCCTGTTCTAATGATTTTTTAAAGTGAGAGAACTTTGAATTCTAACAATAGGTTTTTCTTTTTCTTTCTTTTTTTCTTAATTATCGTGCTCACTTTTTATTTTTTTGTTTGTTTCTATGCTAATTTTATTTTTTTTAGAAATCAAAAAAGAAGAATCAAAAAAAACAAAAAGGTGGCAGATAATGACAGTGAGGGCTTTAGGCTGCTGTCCTATAAAATGATGAAAAAATAAAATTTTAGAATAGTTTGATTAGTTTTTAATTCGTTATAATTGGAAAAAATATATATTATTATTATTATCATTAAATTTATTGATTTATTTAAATATTAAGTTTATTATTGTACAGATGAGAGAATATTACAGAATTATTCATTAAGTTTTATTATTCCTTCTTTTTTCCTCCATTTCCTCCATTTTTTTTCTTTCTATTTTTCTTTTTCAAAATCGTTATCAATGACGAGTCCTTCTACCAGGACACCGCTCAGGTATTCAAGGACAATCATAAACAAGCCCAAAAGACTTGAGATTGAAAAGTGGGAGATGCCAGTTCCTATATCCAGCCAAGAACCCTCATCCACCACAAGGTAAAAGAAGTTAAGAGTGAGAACGTCACAGACAGCAAGCACAGCTGAGAAAAGAGCTGATTGGGGGACACCAAGCTTGTGGTTAAGAATTCCGAGGGTGCATGAAATTATGGCGAAGGGGACGAGAATCTTGAAGAGTAACAGTGCACCAATAGAGAAAGGTTCAAAGATTGGAATTAGGCGGTAAACCGAATCAAGCGAAAAGGATGAAATGGAGGCAATGTTGCCTGTGCCGAAAAATCCGACTTGAGATAGGTAAAAGAAAAAGAGGGCCAGTCTAATTTCATTGATGGTGATGTGTTTTGTTTTAGTATTCTTATCTTGTTTTTGTTCTTGTTCTTGTTTTTGTTCTTGTTCCTCTTCTTCCTTCTTGTTGGCGATGGCAACACGGTCCAGGTGAGCTTGTAAAGAGAACTCACGCTCGAGGTGCAGCCAGACAGTGAGAATGGAAAAGAAGCAAATGTAAAAGAGACCCTCGTAAGAAATTGTGAGGATGATAAAAGTCGGGGCAAATGCTAGGAAGATGGTGAGCAGCCGCCATCGGTAGTCTGAAATTGGTGTGAACCATTGTAAGAATGGGACTGTGACGGATCCCACAAGGGTGAGCCAGCCAACGATTTGTGCTACAAGAGGAAGACCCTGGCGGTCAGCTAGAGAGATGACAGCAGCACGGGTAGAGAGAGTGGAAATGGCAATGAGAGAGAGCTGTGTAGCAGCAATGACCTTGGCGGCGGTAGGGAGGAGCTTGATGGTTGTTGTGAGGTGGCGGAAAACAAGCACACCAATGACAAACATGGCAGCGCCTGCAATTTGGATTTGAGTCAGACTCTCAACCTTGATGGCTGGGAGCAAGGTAAAGGAAGACATTGCAATACAGAGCAAGGCCCAGAGAGCTGATAAGATACGGTTGCGTTTTGCGACGATTGAGTTTTGGATCCAGGGCCAAAAGACAGCAATGCCAAAGCAGAAGGAAAAAACTTTACGGTCAAAGTAGCCGAGAACAATAGCTTCCATGATACCAATGCAAAGAACAAGGTTGAAGAGGGCAAAAGTGACTGGGTGGGTGGGATGAGATCTGCGGATAAGGGTGCGGACGCCGAGGAAAACTGTTTTACGGTTAACAAGGATTTGCTCCCAAAAGAAAACAGGGAAGAAGCAGTAGAGGTAATAGTTTGGTGGGGAGCTCTGCTTGTAAAAGAGAGCACAGAGAATGGAAAAGATGGCAAAGAAGGCAGAGCGCACGATTGGGTGGGCGGGCTCGGAAACAGCACCAACGACAAAAACCTTGAGGAAAGAAGTAGTGGCGTATCCGATCCAGCCAATGTATCCCAAAGTGACCAAAGTACGAAGCAGGAGCCAATTGTATGTCTGGAGGTATCTAAGGCCCTTAATACCAAGCTTCATAAGGTCTTCGGATTTTTCAATGGAAAGGGTATATTGTTTGGAATTGATGAGAGATTGGATTTCCTCGGCGCGGTCCTCAATGGTTTGGCCTGGATCTGAAAGGGGACCAAATGGCTTGAAATTGATATGGGATTTTTGATTTGAGATTTCCTTGACGCGGTACTGTTCAATAATAGTCATTGCGTTTGCAAAAAGAGCTTTTGCCTTGACATCATTGGGGGCATCCAAAAAGGCCAGGGGGAGCTCGCCCACGGAATTGGCCGGGTAGTTGACACCAACAAGGTAAGCCATAAGAGAAGCCACGTCTGCTTGATTTATATCATTACGTTTGACTGAGTTGAGTTTCCAAGGGGCAGAAAAGTCGTCATGGTCGCCAAGCTGGCCCTTGACAGGAGCTGCGACACCTGCACCCCAGGCAATTATTGGAGTACGGGTATTATCAGGGTGGCCATCACCGTGACTGCCCCAGTCACTCATTCCGTGATCTGCGGTAAAGACCCAAGCAGTTTTATTGTCGGCGTAAAAGTCCTCGACAATTTTCTCGAGCTCGTTAATTTTGGAGTCAATGTACTTAATATTGTCATAGTATTCTGCCGAGTAAGGGCGGTAACTGTGGCCAGCGGTATCAATTCCAAGAAGATGGAGGAAAAAGACTATTTTATCTTGACGGAGCGAATTTTCCAGGTCTTTGTCTTGGGCAGCTTTGGCAAAAAGGTCAAAAACGTGGTCAAAAACAAATCGGTCGAGTTCAATTGAAGACTTTGTGAAATCTTCGTCTTCGTGTTCATACATGATTGCATCGACGCGTTCAGCGTCAGAAGCACCGCGCGAAAACATTGGCAAGATATCAGGAGAGCCGTAAGAGTAAGTATGACGAGACTGGTTAAAGACGGAATCGAAATCCACAGGGTTTTCCTTCCAACCTTTGGTGACGGCAGAAACATCTTCGTAAAAGCCAGCAATTAAGGCGACATGGCCAGGTCTAGACTCTGTAGGCATACGCGTGTGGGAAACTCCAAAAGTACCATTGAAAAGAACGCGAGAGCGTAGGTGGGGTGCAAGGTAATCAGTGATTCCGGTGGAAGGATGAGTTACGGCATCGAAGCACTTATCAGCGCGTAATCCGTCACCTGAGAAAAGGTGGGATTAGTTTTTTTTTTTTTTTTTTTTTTGTAGAAGTGGATTCTGGTGAAAGTTTGACAACATACCGACAATGAGAAAAAGACGTTTTGCCGGGGCTGATTCGGTAGATTGCCAATGGTCCATGCCGTGGACTAGGGGGGAAACAAAGTAGATGTCAAAGATTGACATGAGAAACGCGACATGGAAGAGGACTCCCACAAAGAGGACGATTCTCTTGCTAAGAAAGTCCATTGTGGTGATTAATTGTTTAAGGGTAATGAGGGTTGAGGGTTGATAAGTTAGGGGAGAAAGGTGGTGATGGGAGGATTTTAAAGGAGGTTTAAAAAAAAAAAAAAAAAAAAAAAAAAAAAAAAAAAAAAAAAAAAAAAAAAAAGGCCAGCAGGTTGAGGGTTTGCGTGGAGGGCTGAGAGCCAAGGTACAAATCACGTGGTTGAGTGTTTTCAGCCGCGGGTCCTAATTATAACTGATTAAAAGAAAAAAAAAAAGATGTTTGAAGTTTTCGGGACACGGGACAGGACATTGGAAAAGTTTGAAAAGAAGATTATAATCTTTTTTATCCTAATTAAGAAGAAGGATATTTGAATTGTTGTCTAGCAGGCAGGTTATGATGGTAATATTGTATATATAGATAAGTTTCAATTGATCAATCATGATGATGAAAGAAAACGTTATTTTCAACATTTGGTGCATAAGAAAGTGGATCGTGTGAATACTTCAGTAGTTAAGTATATTTTATATTTGTTTATCAAAAAAAAAAAAAAAAAAGACTTTTAGGCGAGGACATTTTGCCAGCAAGGTTCTTATTTTCTTTCTTTCTTTCTTTCTTTATGTTATATAATTTATTTTATTTTTTTAAAGACAGGAGGTTAGTGTTTAAATAATAAAGAAGAATGAAGATGGCGACATTGTAACTACAAAGAACCAAAGAGTACGACATGCTGATTGAAGACTATTTGAAGCAGAAAGACACAAACAGCAATTTTGGTTGCCTGGTTGCCTAGGACAAGATCTGTGATGATGTTTGAAGAGGACGCTTAGTTACCAAGATCTGTACGCTTTAAGAACTACTAAGAACTACTAGCAATTGTCTGCAGGGAAAGTGCGTTATTAGTATTACAAGTGGTTTCGGATTCAAGTCTTTAATTAATCAAAAAAGTTTTTTTTTTAAAAAAAAAAATAAAATAAAATGTGGGGGATTTCTGTTTTTTCTGTTTTTTTTTTTTTTTATATTAATATTATTCAAAAAGATATGTGAAAAAAAAAGTGAGAGATTTTAAAATCATTTATAAGACCATAAATTTTAGGAAGAATTGAATTATTTTCGCTTTAGGGGTCCATTTTGATTTTTGATTTAAATTATTTTAATATTTGAATATTTTTTTTTTTTTTTTTGACATGAAGGGTTTTTTTTTTATCAATTCTGAATTTTTTTCTTTTTTTTTGAATCGTCGTTAAATAATTGTATATGGGTAATTATAATTATAATTATTTATATAAAATAAAATAAAATATTCAATGCCGTCCATCACGACTATTATTAAAGCAGGAAAAAAAAAAAAAGTTTATACCGGAATATTTTAGACAAAAGTAAATATATAAAATAAAATAAAATAAAATAAAAACAAGCGAGGACCTTGGGATTTTTTTTAAAAATTACCATCTAGAAATCTATTGGTGGGACTTTCCCTTTTTTTCTTTTTTTTTTTTTTATCCTTAATCATTAGAAATTCTCTTTTGAAAAAAAAAAAAAAAAAAAAAAAAAAATTAAATAATATTATATAAAAACCTTTAAGTGATTTGTAAATTATACTTTTAATTTTTTCTTTCTTTCTTTCTTTCTTTCTTTCTTTCTTTCTTTCTTTCTTTTAAATTATTTTTCAAAGACTTTAATGTTGGCACGCGTACTAATGCTAAAGACGCGTAAAAGACGCGTTTTTTTTGGTTTGGTTTGGTTTGTTGGCTGATTGTACACGCATTTTCAAAGCTAAGCTCGCGTTAGAAACTTCCAATTTTAAAGACAAACCAAAAAAAAAAAAAAAAAAAAAAAAAAACCTTCTAAACGCGTTTTAAAGACTTTTTTTTTTTTTTTTTTTTTTAAAAAAATTTCTTTTTAAATTTCTTTCAACTGCTTTTTTTTTTCTAATATTTTTTTTTCTTCTTCTTCTTCTTCTTCTTCTTCTTCTTTTTATTCTTCTTCATCTTCGCGTTAAAAAAAAAAACAAACACGTCGTTGAGGCTTACAAACTCAATTCACGGGATTACACTAACCCGCTTTTGAAAACAAATATTATGTTGGTGAGATTCACTATGATGAAAAGTTAATTTCTGCACCATTTTTTACGAATATAAAATAAAATAAAATAAAAAATAAAGAAGAAAGAAGAAAAAAAAAGGTCTTTTGTTACTTTCATATTTGAATTTCATTTAAAGTAGGCTTAGTAGTTTTGACTAATTATCATTTTAACCATCACATCACAAAATGTCGTCGTCGTTTGGAAAAAATCACTTAATTTTTTTTTTTTTTTTTTTTTTTGGTCCGTTTCTCTTTGCAATGAAGTTTCTACCACGAACACCTCCTTTGCTTAAAGTGGGTCGCTCCGTCTTTTTTCGTTTTCACCGATCGACAGAAACTTTCATGACCAACAGGTTATCAAAAAAAAAAAAAAAAGGTATTTAAAGTATATAACTAAGCTTATATATATACATTGTAAATCACCTCCTTTTTCAGATTCTTTTCCTTCTAAAAGCAAAGCTTGTATTCTTTTTTTTTTTTTTTTTTTTAGTGAAGATTTTTTTTTCCCTTATAAGAAACCAATTAGTTTATACTAAATAACAAAAAAAAAAACTTTCTTTTCCAATGGTTATTTTATTTTCGCGATTTTTTTTATTTTTCAAAAAAAAAAAAAAAAAAAAATTATCAATTGATTCACCCAAGTAATTTGAAAAATACTAAAAAAAAATAATACTAAAACAACCTTTCCCGCCTTAACCACCAAGAGGATTCAGTGGGTGCGGTTAAAGAGAAACGAGAATTAATATCCAAAAGTTTATCAAATATATATATAAAAAATAAAATAAAATAAAAATTGCATTAAAAGTTAAGACAAAAACGTGACACTGAAAAGTCTTTGAGACTCTAGTAAAGTGTCAAAAAAAAAAAAAAAAAAAAAAAAGAAGAACCCCTTCTCTAGAAAAGAGAACCTACATGGTGGTGTCAAAGGGTTTGGTAAAATGAATTATTTGTTAAAGAAAAAAAAAAGTCGAATGATTTTAAATGGAGAATGTGAAAGAAAAAGAAAAAGAAAAACAGAAACAGAAACGATGATCATCGCCATCACCATCATTAGAGCCATCATCATGGTTATCATTGGCACTAAGTCTTGTGTACTCTCAGCTACATATATATATAGTATGATACGGGTCTAAGTGTGTATTTAAACCTGGAACAAAAAAAAACCCCCCCTTTAAGTAGAATATATATAAGACTAAGAAATTATGGAGGCAGCAATGAGCCAATGATAACGGTCATCTTTAACTGGTGCTGGCGGTTATCTTTGTTTTTTTTTCACTTGAAGGGTAATTGATGAACTAATGATGATGATAATAGTAAAGAATCAGGGGTAAGGAAAGTGGGTATAATGAGTGTATTATTAGAATATGGTTTATAATAACTAAAGCCTGATGTGCATTTCTAGTTAGTTTCTTGAAATCCCTGAAACTAAAAGAAGAAAAAAGCCAATCAAGTAGGTGTTTGAAAGGTTCTCTATGAAATAGTTCTCCCCTTCCTCTCCCCTTTTACAGTTAAAGTATGGTATATATTATCCTGTTTAGTTAAAGCAATTTTTAAAAGGCTATTTATGCCACTGTGCTACTTAAGCCTAGCTCTTGAGTTTAGTTTTTTTTTGGAGAGAGAAGATATCACCACATCTCATTATGGAGACCTTTTTTTTTTTTTTTTTTTTTTTTTTTTTTTAATGCTGGTAATATTAGACCTTAAGTGCTACATATCAATATACGGAAATAAACTAATATATATTTGCCTACCTTCCGGTTGCTACTACTTTTTCCCGTAGTATTCTACTTCTCTTAACTTGGTATAGTATAATATAGTATAATATAGTATAATGAAACGTATTTTACACACTAAATTTGGGGTCTTTTTTTTTTTTTTTGTGCATATATTGTAAATAAAATAAAATAAAAAACAAAAGGAATATAACGTTGTTATCAAGACTCTGCCAAGATAGATAACGCTCGCGAGCGTCGTAAGGTGGGGTTAACAAGTTGAAAGTTTTTACTTATAGACGTTATTAAGTCTGATCATCATCATCATCATCATCATCATCACCATTATTATTATCATCATGTTCTAATGGTTGTTTTAAGAATATGGATATGTCTTGAGATGTTTTTCTTAGTCAATCCTTCTGATTGGGGGAAGTTTTTTTTTTATTTTTATAATTAATTAAATGTTATTTAACCCAGGGATAACTTTATATAATATTAGGTTGAATAATAATAATAATAATAATAATAATAATAATAATAATAATAATAATAATAACCATTGTTCAAATATTTTCTTTTTCCAACAACTATAAACTTTTCATGAAGATTCCCAATAGAAACCAAAAAAAAAAAATTATATTTTTTTATATAAGTGTTACTTTCTTCCACGTCTGGTAAAAAAAAAAAAAAAAAAAAACGCACTGAAATTTAAAATGAGTTGATCTTCTATGGAAATTATATATATACATATAAAAAAAAAAAAAAGGGGGGGGAGGCTTAAATAGAAGAAGATATTTCTGTTATAAAAACAACAACTTGGAAATAACACTAATGGGTACAACATGATAATCTTGGATTCAAGAAAAGAGTAATTTCAGGGGGGTGAAAGCAGAAGTAAAGAAGATGAAATTGACACAAATGCAGCTAAGAAAATGGGAATGATGGCAGTAGTTTCATTAGCTAATTAGTGTTTTTTTTTTAATTTTATTCTCAATTTTATTTTATTTAATTTTATTTAATTTTATTTAATTTCTTTAATTTCTTTAATTTTTTTTTTTAATTTTATATAATGGCTATTCCCATTCAAGAGGATATTGTTTTTTTAACCGTGAAAATATTTTAACAAATTAATTCGATATAGATACTTTTTTTTTTCATATATTTAAAAAATAAAATAAAATAAAAATTTCCATTATGGATGAGCTTTTTTTTTTTTAAGGTCC